ACGCGGTAGCTGTTCAGTGGTTTGCGGGCTGAGACGCGGGAGAAGGCGAAGAGAGGGATCGGTGGGGGTAGATTGGCGAGCTTGCTCTTCCAAAAGTCCAAACTCTCGCGGTAGGTGTCATTTGCCAGAGACTGGCGTTGTAAAAGTGTGTAGTCCCGGTATCGTGGAGCGGGCGGTAAGATTTGTCTGGTGGAGTAAATCAACTGTAAGTCTTTGATGAAGATCTGCGCACTGAAGCCATCGAGTGCGATATGATGAAAGCCAAGGACCAGGAAGTGCGTGGTTGGAGTGAGGGTCAGGATAGCCACTTTCATTGTTCTGCCACGAGGGAGATCATACACATGATCTCTGACTGATGCGTAGACTTTGTCGACGATCTGGGTACTTTCGATGGTATGGATGCTGATATCGATCTGTGTTTCAGGCAGAATGCCCTGGAATAATTGGGGCTCTCCGTCTCTCGAGTCGAGGAAGAAAGCCGTCCGTAGGGATTCGTGTCGATTGGACATGGCTCGGAAGGCAGTTGCAAGCTCGACGGGCTGCAGTGGCCCTTGCACGACGTAGGCCATGGTGACATTGAAGGTTGTGGGATCGGTCAGGTACTCGTGCAGAAACCAGATTCTCTCCTGGGCGAACGAAGCTCGCTCTACGGCTTCGAACTGTGGTTGTAGATCTGGTATGCCATCTTCTGATGGTACAGCCTCTAGATTGGGCGACAGGCTCCCTGGTGTCGAAGCATATGTAGAGTGGTATGCACTGGATGACTGACCGTCATCCTCCAGAGCGGTGCTGCAGATGCCCTCGTGCAGGCTTTTTGTGAGCTGCTGTAATGCTTGGGCTGATACAAGGTTGGCAGAGCTTTGTAGCTGCTTGTGACCAACATCCGTGATGCGGACGTGGGGTGTGAGGTTGGTGGGCTGGTCTCGACTCCCCAGCATCTGCCAGAGTTCACGGGTGGATGAAGCGCCCTCTGTCACGACCACAGACTCAGGAACAGTCATATCGTTGTTGGCAGTCATGGCCATGACGGGATCTCTAGAAAGAAGGCTAGAGTACCGAGCGTGTTGAATGTTGCACGGTATCTGTATTGTGTAGGAGCCGAATGTCGGACAGGAGGTATTGGATTGTACTTTGTATACTGACTGCTGGTTAAGCAGGTTGCCACCGACCCGTGTAGAGACAGGTCAGGGGCGCTGACACAGCCCTTCTGTGAACAGGAGCAGGCCTCGCCGAGTCACTGCCACTCGGTCAGTTACTCAAAAGGATCTCGGCGGCTTGTTGTCGCCACTGTCCGCAAAACGAATATGTAAAACACCATCCACAAGCAGACGCTGAGGATCGCTCACTAAGGCCTTGGGGATGAAATGGTTCTGGAGACGAGGATAGTAATTGGTAAGTGGCGTTTCGCAGCAACGGTTTCACCCAGGGAGCACCAATAGAAGTTCTGGTGTGAGATGGGCGATGGAGCGCAAAGTCGCCGAATGTCACCGATCGGGTCACCCAGGCAATTTGAAGGGTCATCAGGCTATGGAAGGATTTGATCCACTCGATCGGAACGTGGTTGCATGGTAGTAAGGACCAGGCTAGATCGGTTTTCGATGAGCTCAGGCTGCAACCTGTTGGCCGAATCCTGACGCGCTGTATCTGACCAGTCAAGAATATCGCCATGCAACGCCACCAACATTCCGTAGATCGTCTATCAAATGGCAAAACAATCAGCATTCGAGATCTAGTTCTAAAAATTTGAGTTGACATATCCAGGGAATCACCCCCGATGGAATACGTAGGTGGTGGCCTGGAAGGGCGGCGACGGGGAATCCGTCTGCTCAGCCGGAATGATATTGCCGAGCTGTATTAAGTCCCACGTGGCTTGCATGTAACGGTAGAAAGTGTCAGTCTCTTGTGTGGAATAGCCATTTGAGCCACGAAATAAGCAGCGTGGGCTACGCGGAGATCTGATGATTGCCTTCACATTAGGTGGGAGAGATGCGAGAGTCAAATTCAAGAAGATTGTTTAGTTACTCTCTCGAGGTGTTGATACGGTAGATACGGTGGTCTGTAGCTACCAACTATGCAGCCCGATACGGTGGGCGGCGCCCCGTGTCCGTCCGGGAGTCCCAGCATGCCATGCATGATGCATGCTACACAACAATATTCAGATTGAGTTTCAAATCCATGATTTTTTTTCAAACAACAGAAGCCTCTCGTTAAGCAATAGTACTTACTACCCTTGTGTTTTCTATATAGCACTCGCCTGATAGATGTACCGTACAGATGCCATAGACATTTACCATCGCCCTTCTCCCCGGGAGGCATTCCAGAGACATCCAGGTCTCGTCTCTACGGTCGCTCAACTGCACGGCACCAAATCAACTACCAAGCCAACACTGGCAACCCTCTACGGTAGCATTTCAACCACTTGCTAACATGCTATTACGCTTACTTCGTCGCCGAGGGCATCGTGGCCTGATCGATTGGCCAATACAAAGTCACCGAACGCGACCACCGGCGAGGATCCGCCAGAGATACATAGTCAGCCATAAAGACTCGGTCGAACACGAACGTGAGACTGAGTTGCAGTACTGGCACTGTAGCTGGTATTGCTCTAGGATATTCTTCACCGAACTCAGTTGCAGACACACTCAATGTCTTCACTCTTGGTGGATCTTCCCGCCGTCATCGGCGTGGAAAATCCCAAGGATGTATTACTTCCGCTCCTTGTGGGAGCGGTCGTGATCGGGTTGACGATTCTAGTCCGCGAAAGAATGAGGGTCAGGGGATTGGTGAGTCTGCCTTTGTTACTGTCGCCTTCTCGGACACAGCGAGAATACGTACTGACTGATCAGCCTGGTCCACCCCATCATCTCCTCTTCGGCACTCTTCCCGCATTCATGCATGTGCAGAGCAAGGCCCCCAAGGATCTCCACCCCCAGGCCCAGATGACGATGCTGCAACGGCTATACAAACTGGGTGACATGTTCACCGTCGATACCTGGCCTCTGATGGACCAAATGTACCTGGTGGCCAACCCTAAACTTGCCCACCAGGTCTCGCAGGACAGCAGCCCGTTCCCCAAACACCCGATGATCACGCGCTTCCTCAAGCCGCTCACGGGCTACAACAGCGTGCTGGCCGCCAACGACGCCAAATGGAAGGAGTTGCGCAGTCTGTTTGCCCCGGGCTTCTCCAACGCCCACCTGATGACCATGGTGCCGCTGATGGTCGAAAAGACCGAGGTCTTCTGCGACCTGCTGAGCGAATACGCCGCCAAGCACGAGCTCTTCTCCATGGAGCCGATGGCCGCCCGACTGACCATCGATATCATCGGCATCGTCGTTCTGGGGGTCGACTTCCAGTCACTGACCCGTCGCGACGAGCTGGTCGAGGCCTTCCGCCACCTCCTGGACCTCCTCCCCAACGGCCAGACCCTCGACATCAACCCGGTGACCCACTACCTGCGCCGCAAGTACGCGAACACGATGGACAACTACATCCGACGCGTGCTGCGCGACCGAGCCGCCAACGGGGCGAACAAGAAGTTCCGCACGTTGATGGACATCGCCATCGAGCGGTACGAGCAGCTGCCGAACGGGTCGTTGTTCGACTGTGGCTTTGAGCAGCTTGCCGTGGATAAGTGGGTACAGGTGCCCCCTCTGAACGAGCGACTGACTGACTCCGTGTAGTCTCAAAACCTTTGTCTTTGCCGGTCACGACACGAGCAGTACCACACTCAGCGTACGTCCGCGCGGTCCAAAAATGATCGGATGATGCTAATCCACCCCAGAACATCTACCACCTTCTGAGCAAGCACCCCGAGGCCCTCGCCAAGGTCATCGAAGAGCACGACCAAGTCCTGGGCAAAGACACGGCAGCGATCGGCCAGCTCATCCGCGACCAGCCCTCCATCATCAACAAACTCCCGTACACGACCGCCGTAATCCGCGAGACCCTCCGCCTGTACCCCGCGTCCGGCAGTCTCCGCATGGCACCGAAAGAGTCAGTCCCCAGCCCGCGCCCCCTTTCCCACCTGATGTCTCCCTAAAGATATTCGGCGATGCTTACTGAAAGGACAGCACAACGTTCCACCCGGACAAAGCGCCCGCCGTGACCGTGCCCAAGGGCAGCCTGATCTGGGTGGGGATCCACACGATCCATCACGACGCCGAGTTCTTCCCCTGCCCGGACGAGTTCCACCCGGAGCGGTTCATGACGGCCAAGACGATCACGCTGGCCGACGGGCGCACCGAGGCCGTGACCGCGGGGTGGAACGGCCACGCGCCGCCCGCGGATGCCTACCGGCCGTTCGAGAAGGGGCCGCGCATGTGCATCGGCAGCGAGATGGCCATGATCGAGATCCGGGTCGTGCTGGCCATGACGCTGCGGCGCTTCCGGTTCGAGTCCGCCTACGCCGAGTACCGGCGGCGGCACCCGGACGAGGTCGACGCCGCCGGCGGGCGCACCGAGGCCTTCGGCGACGAGGCGTACCAGGTTTTCTCGTCGACGGCCAAGCCCAAGTCGGGGGTGCCGATGTACGTGTATGCGAAGTAGGATGTTCTACTGGAGGGGAGTTATGTTGTTTACTTTATGAATTTGAATTACGTTATGGTTGTACAGCTGAACTTGTTCGGTGTGGTAGTTTAAATTGGAGGGCCTTAACTTTTTAGTCCCCCTGTTTGCATACAAAGTATATTCTCGTTCCACTCTTCGAGGTTGCAGATTTTGTTTTCCCTTTTTATTTCAGTTTTTTTCCTTTTTATTTTTTTTTTCTTCTTTCACCCTCTTTCTTTCTTCTTTAAGTACCTAATGAAGAACCGTCATATGGCATCTGGGATGAGCATATGCATAGACAGACAAAGGTAACAGGGCTAGCCTTACCCAAGCATCACTACAAACCTACAAGCTGTACATACTCATTCCACAAAATGCCTTTAAAACAGCAAGATTGATTACAAATCAAGAGACTCTCCCTGCAAACCTTTGTCATGCCCCTAAAATAGAGGTTATACCCTCTTCAACGGCGCCAACCCAAACACATTCCTCTCAAAGTCCAACACGACATACAACCCCTTCAGAATCCCATCCCCCACCGAAATCACCGTCGCATCCCCGCTCTCCGTACGACTATGCTCCCACACGTGGGCATTGAGATAGCACTCCCCAGTCTCATAGATCTTCTGCACGTACTCCTGGGCTCCGACCGAGTAATTCCCGCGGCGATCGAACTCATACACCAGCTCCGGACGGCCGTCCGTCGCGCAGTCAACCACATACCAATCCTGCGTGGCCATGCCCGTCGTGCTCGACGTCCACTGGGCCGCGATCGCCGCGCGCGTCGCCGCATCCGCCTTCCGGCCGCCGGTCCGCCGCACCAGCTCCGCGTACTGGCGCGCCGTCACGGGGACGCCCAGCCCCTCGGAGCCGTCGTCCAGCACCGCGAGCGGGGTGATCAACTCCGGTCCAGCCGTAGAGTTATACCGCGGGGACCCGCGCCGGAAGGCCCGGTCGCGGTGGTCCGCCGGCAGGAAGTCCTTGTTCAGGGCCGTCGCGGGGAACGGAACGGCGTAGTTGGTCGGCGACGACGACGACGACGACGACGACCACCGCTTCTCGCCGTCGGGGCGGGGCTCGGGCTCGACGATCCACCCCCCCGTCCAGCGCGTGGCCCAGAAGTTCCAGATCGAGGGCTTGATGGGCAGGAACATCTCGTCGCCGAGCCACGGCGGCGTGACGATGGGATACCAGATCACCTGGTCGGCGTCGTACAGGGACGGGTCCGTGCCCCCGAAGACGAACTTGGCGTCGCCGCCGTGGCAGAATCTCTTGGACGAGAGCTTGGCGCAGCTGTTGAACCCGATCTGCGCGCCCGCGCGGCCCTGTTTCCAGGCTTGGTAGTGCGTCGGGTGGTAGGTCGCGTTCAGGCCGGGGATGACCGGCGCGAGGCCGAAGATGCCCCCGAACGGGACGGGGGGCACGTAATGGCCCGCGAAGGGGAAGTCGGAGACTTGGATTGTGGTGGATGGGGTGGTGCAGATGTGGGAGGTGTTGTCGGGGTGGTTGATGCAGACTGTGTCGGTGGCGTAGTTGACGGTGAAGTCGGGCGAGTAGAGGCTCGTGTCCCACCGGAGGCGCGGGAGGATGGTTTGGTTGCTGTAGCTCGTCGAGGCGCGCTCGTCGAAGTAGCTCTGGCCCGCGGCGACGCAGTGGGCTGGGTCGTAGCGTCCCTCGCAGCGGGCGCTGCGCGTGAACAGCGTCACCCAGGCCCAGTCGCTCAGTACGGTCAGGCTCTGCGGCGGGGTGCCGACTGTGATGTTGAAGAGGTAGCCGAAGCCGTTCCAATTTGCGGGCACGGAGACCGATGGAAGGGACTTGGAGCTTCCCAGCCAGCCCAGTTTAGTCACGAAGGGTGACTGCCAGTTCACCAGATTGTTTACGCTGGCGGTTCCGGAGAGGAAGATCGAAGCAAGAATGGAGGCGAGCGCCCCGAACAGGAGAAGGACATACATGGCGCAACTGAGAGAGTTGTCGCACTCACGCAAACTGCCAAACCCGAAGCCAAAATGACAACCAGCATTATCTGCATCTGTCCCAGATATGGTAACTATAAATTATCATTATAGAGAGAGTGCTTCGGCGGTTTCCTGATCTCAACCTCGAATCTCGATGCTGTCACGTGGGGGACTTGCCCTAGAAATGCGCCGAAGGCCCCACTCGTCGGCCCTGCCTCGATTCCCGTCAGATAAAGTCCCCGCGGCACCGAACCATCCACCGGCGACGCAAAGTGGTAGATTGTGATCAGTAAATCCTATAGTTTCAACTAGAGACTCACTTTGAGAATATCTATCATTCAGAGCATCGAGCTTACTTGGCTTGAGCTTGACTCCTGCTGCTGAGTCTTACCAAGGCTGACTTAGCCTGGGCATAGCACATGATTTATTAAACATAGAGTTCGATTAGATGACCCGGGCACTCGAAGGCGGCAGGCTGGACTTGACTGACTTTGGACTGAGATAGCAAACAGACACCTTGATCAGGCCACTGAGTAAGAAAACTAGCTCAACATGTCACCACCGACTCATCACCCGGTCGGAGTCTATAGATGTACCTACTACAACCAGTATCTCTACAGTTGGGCAAATAATACATCGTTCTGACCAGCCCTTGTGCCTACTGCCGGTCACTGTGTGAAAAGTGGCAGGAAAAGAACATCTTGGTCCGTTCGATCATTCGACCGTATAAGTACGTTCATTGAAAGAAGGAAAGATGCCGAGGCTCTAGCTTGCTTTGTCTTCACATTGGAACGTGCCTTCTCTGAGGGTGTTTTGTGCTCCATTCTACAATACGACAGATCAGGAGTGCAAAAGTCGCTTCCTCGTGGGTGCGGGCCCGCTACTGATGAGACCAAGCTGACTGAATCCTGCACGCACCGGCACCATGCTAAGTTCCTCATCAAACGCAGAGTGCCATTGCACAAGAGATACAAAGACTGCTTGACAATGGTGATTCCCTAGGTAAGAGACTGACAAAGGTTACACCAAACGCCCCCAACTCCCTAATATGTCATTTGCTTAACGCAGACCCCCGGACTGGGTGCGTCATCTCCACAAAAATCATCATCATCATCATCATCATCATCATCATTTCATGCATCAGCCCGTGACCGTCGTGACCCCTCTCCAGCCGCTAATGCCTGTACACCCCGCCCGTCTCCTCCGCATTCGATCTCATCTCCGCGATATCCGTGTTCGCAATGACCAGATTTGCAGCGAGCAGGTCGAGGAGCTCGGGGACCATCCGCACCGTGGCCTCGACCTCGCGCGTCTGGTCGTGGATGCCCACCACGAGGACGGTCTGGTCCGCGGCCGTGCGCTCGTCCGCGATGAAGACCGAGTACGGGTTGACGACGGTGTCGCGGGCGGTCTCGGTAACGAAGCGGACCACTTCGGGGAGGCCCATCCCCACAAACGGGGAGATGAAGCCATCGGCCACGTGCCCGTCTGAGGTGGCGGAATCGTAGTCGAGCTGGAGAAGGCGGTCGCGCTGGTCGGTGTCGAGAACGATGACGGAGGGCGGCGCTTCGGTGTTGTGGTCCTTCGATGCGGTGAGCATCGCGTTGAGGGTCTGCGATGTGAAGTACAATCCAGCTTAATCAGCGTTGTGTGCGTGGGTGAAGTCGGTTGGGGGAAAGCAGACGGTATGACGGACCGGGATTGGTATTTCTGCGGTGCAGATAATCGCGACGAGATCTCCGCTCATGATGGATGTCCTCGTGAGGGGGAGATGGGTGGAGGTTGTTGTCAGCTTGTTCGGAGGTGGGTTGAGAGTCGCAAAGCGGTTTCCGAGCTGTCGCTTTATATCCCGGTCGGACACGTGAGTTACACCGTCCCAAGCCACCCATGCCATGATATCGATGCCTAGAATCAGACACCAATGAGGACTCGAGACTTGTCGAAATGGAGCCTACCTACCTATTCACTGCGGGGTGTGTGACAGCGCTTTCCCAAAAGGCCACCACCTTAGTTCTAATCTGGGCGATGCGGACTTCCGGCTGTGGCCTTAATTGAGAGTGAATTCTGCGATTAATGTTAATGGAACTACATGTTTGTACAAAGAACTTTACCCACGGCTTTGCACTCACCTGTATCCTCGTCCTCAATAATAGATAACATATCATACTGCCCATCGCTAGACGCCAAGACAACATCATCCCCGCCAACCGCATGTTGCGCTATTTGATCCTCAAGCTCTAAGTGCGGGTCATACAGATGACCAGTATCGTCTAACATTCCCGTTAATGGCCAAGGGATTTTCAGATGGTATATGAGGCCTTGATTTGTGTAGTTTCAGTCAGCGGTGACCCTGACACCGCAGGTCTTCCAGAGCTCCTATGCCATGGGGAGACTATGGCCAACAAACATCAAGGAAGACATCGACCCGCAGTCGACTTTACCTCCCACAGAGATTGGCAGAGTATCTTCAAAAGCGTACAGTGCTAAGAATACAAGTGGGGAGTACGGCCTGGTTCGCAATGAATGATAGGACAAACACTCATGATGGAGGTCCGAACGCGCCGTCAGCTGAGCTTTGTACCTCCCGACAAGCACAAGGCCAAGAGATGTACCCAGGAGGGTGGCCTGCCATGAATTAATGAATGAGTATAAAGGGCGCAATGACCTGCGTTAAAAGAAACGGGCATAATATGCCGATTCTACCGCCAATGTTCGGGATCGCAACAGAACCCCCAACATGAAGCTCCCCTCGGCTTTCTCCCTGCTTTTCGTTCTGGTAGTGGTGGAGGTGGTAGCGCAGATCAACTACTCGCAGAACTGTTCCAACAGCATCGGGACCTGCCAGAACGCTTGCTGGGCAGTCCTATGCAATCGCGTGACGCGAACGTTGACCTACGATTCCAACAGGGCCAACCAGGCCCCCCGCCGCAGGGCATCGGGCTGCAGCAGGAACCCGTGCAATAACAGCAACCTTCCCTACCGCAGGTTTGGAAACTCATGCGACGAGTATCCCTTCGCCAGTGTCAGGCAGGGCGGAGCAGGGGCCAAGTTGCGCTGTGTTCCTAAAGGCCAGAATGACAGTATGTGGATGGGTATCCCGAGCCCATGACTGAACCCGTGACTGGAGCAGCGAACTGACTTGCCTCTCTGATCTCCAGGCCAGGGAGGTCAGCTTTCGGCGTTCTACCGCAACAGCGGAATCCGGAACGGTCAGAGAAATGGGGTCACTTTGCGTAAATACGGGGGAGCGTAAGTTCTCACGTCCTTGTTGATCAGGCCGGTAACTGACGAGTATGGACCCTGGATCTTTTTGTAGACAGAGGCCGACCTGCACGAACGACGGGGGTCAATTCCATCTTCGAGGTGGCAGCTTTGTTCTCGGGCGCAGAGGAGGGGATCTTGATCGAGATGTGATCCCTGCTGACAATAGCACAATGGTTGACCAGGCAGGGGAGTGGGAGCCAGTGAGCCTGAGAACCCTTGAAGATGAGGATGGCATCCTCCATCTCGTCATCGCTGAAGATCCAGATAATCCGATCCGAGTGGGAGACGAGGTATGGACTGATTCGAAAAATGGGACTGTCAGACTTGTGCGGGAAGTTCCGAGTAGTGAAACATGAGACGAGGGATCCGGAAGACATGTTAGCGAGGAACGAGAGTAAATGGCTGCAATAGCTGGGACTCGTGGGAATGCATGCCTTCTCGGGAAGAGGACTTGTAGCATAAGGTCTGCTTTATGATGCTACATCTACGTTGCTAATATCAAGTTGTGTGGATATACACATGTTATTCTAAGGTATATTGCTTCCACTTACAAAGATCTGTAACTTAATAAGTAGTAATAGCACAGTAGTAGGTACACAATTTAGACTTTTACTTTACATACTAGGTCTTGTAAAACAGATGTAGCAGCTCAACACTACTATTTAAAATATAACCAGCAGTATTCCAACTCGGATTTATACAGCAATCTATATTATCAGCAGCTGATACTGATTAACAGAGCTTCCTTCTCACTAATAAATCTTTTCCTGGGGATAATTGCCTATTCGGTGCAATATCTATCATACGTCAATTTGGATGTAGAACTATGTTTCAAGCGAGATCAATAATTTATTCTATGAAATCTGAAAGGGAACAATACAAAAACAATGTTGAAGAGCAGGTAGACCTCGTAGAGACAGTCATTGTGGCTGACAACCCACGATATGGTTAAAGCAGCGACATATTTTGTTTGACCTGCGACTAGTCACCCTCCCACCCACAGTGAATGAAGCAAACGCGTTGCCAGATTCACAGCCAGGCCATACACCAGCAACCATCACATAGAAGTAGCGCGAGCCCACAAACACATCTACTAAGAAAACCACACCTCCTCTCCTACATCCCACCACCCTGTTACCCTGCCCCACCATCATCGAACCCATCACCACCGTCACCAAACACATCACCACAACCCACCAGCATCTCAAACTACACCACAATGCCGGCCTCACCCCCCACCATCTGCGCAGCCTGCGGCTCAAACGCCACCCTCCACTGCGCCGGCTGCCTGAACCCCCCGGCCTACCTACCAGGCCACACCATCAGCGCCGCGTACTGCACCCGCGCCTGTCAAAAGCGCCACTGGCCCGTCCACAAACACGTCTGCAAGGTGATGGCGCAGCGAAATAAGCTCCACCGCGCCGCCCGCGTCCTCAAAACAGCATTGCTCACCTACCGCGCGACACTGTACGACATCGCCCTCACGAAGATCGACCTCCGCGACGGGACGCTCTACCTGCACCAGGAGGCCAGAGACCCCGGGACCCGCGCACACTACCCAGAACACCTGACCACCATCCCGGAGGAGAGGGAGGCAGCGCTGTGCGTGAACCAGTGTACTGCCGCGATGGTGCTGTTGAGTGGGTTGATCAGGGGCCTTTTGGCTGGTACGCACTCCTCCCGTGATCCCGCACTGATGACCTGGGCCATGTGTACTGACATGGGGGGGTAGGGATGGACACGCGAATCGAATTCATGGACCTGCAGATCGAGAAGAAACCCCGTCCGACGAGACTCGTCCCCGGCCCTGACCCGACGGGGTGTCCGCATACCGTGCTGGTGGTGACGATGCGCCTCTCGGGCGAGGAGTGGGTGCTTGATCCTACGGGCGGACAGTATGGGTATCGCGAGGTTCTGGTCCCGTTTAGGCAGTATCTGGAGGATCGCGAGGCGAGGCCGTGGGGGTATCCGGTGCCGTATGATGCGACGGAGACGTCGGATTTGGATTTTCTGGTTGGTCTTTCGGGGTTGGGGGCGCGGAGGAGGGATTTGGAGGTGGAGACGAGGGCGCGGGCGCATTTTGCGGGGTTCGTGAGGGATAATGTTGGGAAGGAGATGTGGGAGGGTAGTGCGGATGAGTTCGAGAAGAGGTTGGAGGGGTTTGATAGGAGGTTGAAGGAGCATTTGTTGGAATTCCGTGTGTGGGGCGTGGTTGCGCAAGGTAGGTTTTCTTAGGCTGGTCGGGGTAAGAGAACATGGGAATTTGTTAATACTACCTTATCGACTAGCCACTCGGTGAAGTCATGGCTCCATGACAGTGTACACCAAAACCTGCTGAGCGTCTATGATGCTGTTGCAATAGCGTACAAATAGAAGCCACGCAGAACTCGCGCATCTGGTTACTTTTCAAATACTATTCTACATAAATCGCAGCTACTAGTCAGAAAGCTTAAAGCCTCCTGGCACATTACGCCGAAAGACACCCCTGGGATCGTATGCTGAAGCAACGCGTTGCAGCACTTCCACGCTGGCCGGACCGTAACTGCCGATCGGGCTTTGCCAGGAAGCCGCGTAATTCAAGTACCGGTATGGCACTTGAACACCCTCCTCCGGAGTCAGCGCATCCACTGCCCTGATAATGGACTGCGTTGCTTGCTGGACAAGCTGAGAGTCTTGCTCCAGCGGCCAGTAGAGGGATACGAGGCAGAGGACCTGATTCCGCTCCGGATGGCTGTCCGGCGGAATCCCGAGGCTGTTCGGCGGTGCCGATGCCGGCTGTAACGCAGGGATGGACTGATAGACGAGCACGCTGGTCAGGTTCAGAACATCCCCCGCAATGCTCAAGGTGGTCGCGTTCCACGCGTCGTACACCTTCTTGAGGATGGTGGGCGAGACCCGAAAGGTTGCCGTTGCGTAAACGGCACTGGGCGCCGGCTCTCAGCGAAGAACAACACTCGACGAGAGATGAACAAAAAGCAAAACAAGAACAAACAACGAGAGAAAAGAGAGATCCAGGGGGAAACTTACTACTGGTCCATAGGCTGGTAGCGTGTAAGCTCTGCACTGAAATCCGTGGTATTGGAAATGCGCATCGTGTTCAGCGCCTGTGGCTTGATGTCCGTAAACCGCTGCAAAGAGGCAGGGGCGGCTGATGCATTCGAATAGTACATAATGTTGGAGACGGACCCCTGATCCTCGGCGCCGTAGTACAGATAGCTCTGTTCGATCTCGGCGAAGGGGTCGAAATTGGCCGGGTCCTTGAAGGCCGTGAACGCCGCCAATTGCTCCTCGACAGTCGAGATATCGTACTGGATCCCGCCGCCCCAGTACGGACCTTGGGGGAAAGACCGCAGGTCGAAGCGGGTGACGATCCCGAAGTTGTTCTGGCCGCCCTTGAGCGCAGCGATGAGATCCGCATGGTGGCTCGCGTTGGCGTTTACGATCTCGCCGGAGGCAAGAACGACTTCCATGTTGAGCACGTTGTCGCAGGCAAATCCATACCTCGGGGAGAACGCTGATATACCTCCTGTTCGGCTTCAGCGGGATGTTTACACACAGTCACGAATTCTGGAAAAAGAGACCTTACCGCCGGTGATGAGACCGCCCACACCCACAGACCCAGTCCGACCTCCTATCACCACCCGATCATATCCATCAACTGCTTGGTATACTTCATTCCAAGTCAATCCGGTTCCAACCTGGACGGTGTATGTATCACTGTCGATATCAATGCTGTTCAGGCCCCGAAGGTCGATTGTCACGCCCCTGTTAGCAATAGCAGCTCCCGAATTGGGCGAATGGCCCCCAGAGCGGATTGAGAAGGTAGAGTTTGCTGATGCCGACAGAATTTTCACAATAGTCGATACTTCCTCCTCTAAGGATGGGGAACGATGCATGTAAGTCTTCTCACTACAATTCAGAATTTCAGAATCCATGCTATCATTTATCTGGAAAGACTGGGGTAGGCCTTTCTCCCAGAACTCGAATTGACTCCACCAGTACTGATCTTTCTACAGGTCATGCCGGCTCATTCTTCCAGGACTTCAATGGAGCAATTGCGGACGCAACGTGCGTACTTCAACATCCGTAACTCATGACAACGCCAAGTCTGACCAACCCAGAAAATACTACAACGACACGAAAGAACCGTTCCCCATGGTTGTCGGCGGCCAACAATTATACATCCTTTCGAGCCCAAAGCATATTTCTGAACTCTACAAAGACACCGTGAGCTTCAATCGTGACCTGATGAGCAAGGAACTCTATCACAGAGCCGGTATGCCTCGCCGAGTAGTGGACCGCATTTTTGATGTCGATCCCAAGGCCCCGTACAATGTCAATAGCGCCCGGTGTATGCACAGCACGGATGTTATGATGGCTTTATACCGTCAACATCTCTCACCCGGCAAAGGTCTTGACGACCTCCTCGCCGACCAAATAGCACCTTGCATCCTCAAAGCACTTGCTCCTAAGACGATGCCAGCACCTGCGTCCGTCCGAGCTGCATCTCTCCACAACCTGTGCATTGAGGTATTCGTGAAAGGCATAGCAGAAGCGTACTACGGACCTGTTCTCTGGGAGATTGAGCCGAACTTTGTGGAATGGTATATGGTGTGGGAAAGGGTGAACTCGAAGTTCATCTTCGGCTTGCCGGCGTTCCTCAGCCGGGACATGCAAACTGCCCGACGGCATCTGGTGGGCACCTTTTCAAAGTACTTCACCCTACCGCAAGAGCAGCGAGAGCGGGGGAATTGGTGGGTTCAGGCGGTGGAAGGGGTCCTCCGCCAAGATAAGCTCAACGACCATGAGATTGGCTGCATGTTCATGCTACAAACTTGGGCGTGAGTAGCCCTGTGCCGCTGGGATTGCCATTTCACATTCCCTAACCACAGACGAAAACAGGATTCTGGGAAACATGTTCAAAACTGCCTTCTGGCTCGTTGCGCATATCGTGTACGACCCAAGCATTCAGGACGCGATCCGGGTTGAGATCCAACCTGCCTTGACAGGCGACCAGGTCGATCATCAATATCTCGTCGAGCATTGTCCCCACCTGGATTCGCTCTTCTCGGAGGTGCTACGTCTAAGAATGGCCAGTCCCATGGTGCGCGACATTGCGGTGACAAGTGCGATCGGCGGAAAGACGGTACGAGCCGGGAGCCGCGTCCTTATAAGTCCTGGTGCCGTGTGTTTAGCGTTGAACCTAGACCGAGAAAAGACGCTGACACAAGATACGGTACAGGCCTCCTACAGGCAGTTGCACCTCAACCCCGACGTCTGGGGCAGTGCACCGCACGTCCTGGAGGCGGATCGCTTTGCCAAGGATCCAGGGCTGCGATCGAATGCCAGCTATCGGCCGTGGGGCGGAGGCAGTACGGCCTGTCCCGGACGGTTTCCGGCCAAACAAGCTATTTTCTGCTTTGTGGCTCACTTGCTGCGAGACTTTGAGATCGGGCTGCAGCAGCAGGAGGGGACATCCGCGGCAGATGCGCCGGACCACCCCGATCGCGGACGGTTTCCTCGTGCGGACTGGTCCCGCCCCAGCCCTGGCATCGTAGGACCCCTGGAGGGAGAGGATCTCACCCTTGTAATCCGTCGGATAAATCGGAAGTGATCGTGCCATGTTTGCTTTCTCCCTGGCTGAACTAGTGAATCCGTACTTTTCTGGTTGCATGGGTGGCCGGCTTTGGTTGGATGCACGAAACAAAGAAAAGTGACGATCGGCGGTTAGGGCTTACGACTAATTTCCTGATGCTTGAATCCTGCGCTGTTCTAGTACATCTAGGTTACCAAGTCTTACTATCCCCTCCGTCTCCAGCTTACCTTTCTGCCTACCTAAATTATTTTTCTTGTGTGCTCGATCGCCCTCAAATGGCTTCAGTTGTTTTGTATGCAGCCGGTGCTGTTGGGCTGTGGGCGGCTGCAAGGTTTTACCACCAGCAGCCAGCTACCAATCCAACGGCCTGCAACCTCCTCAGTTCCCAACTTCAAGGACTGGTGTCTCTCACCCACAGTCCCGGCTACAACGAGTCCATCGGTTCTTTCTTCAGTTACCAAGAACAAAACGTCCATCCCGCGTGCGTGGTCCGGCCCACCTCCGCCCAAGATGTCTCGATTATTGTTGAGACCATGGCCGTCGCGCACCGCGAGCGCGGGGAGCAGTTCGCCATCCGCAGCGGCGGACACGGCTTGTTTGCCGGTGCAGCCAACATTCAGGATGGCGTCACCGTCGACCTCCGCAGCATGAGCACCGTCGAGGTGAGTTCCGACCGTGCGACCGTGCAGATCGGAGCAGGAGCCCGCTGGCTCCAGGTCTACCAGGTCCTGGATCCGCTCAACATCACCGTCACGGGGGGACGCGATGCGGCCATTGGGGCCGGAGGCTTCCTGACGGGCGGTGGCATCGGGGTCCCCAGCGTGACGGCCGGATGGGGCTGCGACGACGTGCTGGAGTACGAGATCGTCGTGGCCAGCGGGGAGATCCTGCGCGTCTCTGCCGACAGACATCCCGACCTCTTCGTGGCCCTGAAAGGCGGGTCGAGCAACTTCGGCGTGGTGACCCGGTTCACCATGCGGACGCACCCGCTCGGCAAGCTCTGGGCAGGCTTCACCGCATACCCCGGGACGGAGGCGCCGCGCCTCCTAGCCGCGTACTCGGACTTCATGGAGCCGGCGAACCTGGACCCCCACGCGGACTTGATCGAGTCGTACGGGTGGACAAGTAAGCATGCGGCCGTCCATGCGACCCTCATCATGCTATACGCCCAGCCACGCCCGTACCCCGCCGTCTATCAAAACCTGATCAACAACAGCACGGTGCTGTACAACACCTTGCGAGTGACGAACATGTCCGACTTCGTCATCGAGGAGGATAGCTACCAGGTTCCTGGATTTAGGTCTGTCCTGTCTTTAAAACCTCAATCCCTGTTTCTGTGTGATGCTGACACCTCCAATAGCACAATGTACTACACCACCACTTTCGCCCACGATCCTGCCGTGTACTCGGCCATCTTCGACCTGTACAACAAATCCGTGGCCTCAATCTCGGTGGTTAAACACATGAACTGGTACATCAGCTTCCAGCCTACCCCCTCTCTGCACGCCCGCAACAGCTTGGGTCTGGATCCCGCCGACAATCGACTGGTCATTTTTCTGCTGGTGGCTTTCTTCCCGGATCCGAGTGATGCAGAGCTGGTTCACGGGACGGCTATGGCGCTCATCGAGGCGATTGAGGGAGTCACCAAAGATGCCGGAGTGTATCGACCGTTCAAGTATATGAACTACGCCGATGCAGCCCAGGATGTCATTGGGGGGTATGGGGAGGAGAGTGTGGCGGCGCTGCGGCGGACGAGTCGGAAGTATGATCCCGAGGGATTGTTTCAGACGGGTGTGCCGGGAGGGTTCAAGCTCTTTGTGTAGATAGGTTGTGTTGCAGCATTTCCGCCAGTTGAGAGAGGAGGGTGTGTTGCCGGACAGGTCTCTGACTCGCTGCCGCGGAACGACATTCTCGAGTATCGCGGTGTCATGGAACGAAGACTGAGCAAGATGCACCTGCCATCAACCTGATGCGAATTTCAGGGGCCTTGTCTCAGAGATAGAGAAAATAGAGCGAGAGCACTTGTCATGAGACAGGGTGCCTGGTTAGACTTGCAAGTGCCTCAAAAGACTCCCGTAACATGACGCGGAGAAGAGCGTAGAGTGATATCAACTGTCAAAGCGAGCTGCAGCACCGACTACAGGTTGTGTAGTGTAGTGGTTATCACTTTGGATTTTGACCTCGCTTGCCTTCGGGCCAGGAAATATTCCAATAACCCCGGTTCGAACCCGGGCACGACCTTTCTTTTTTGGCCAGCCATCAATGAACTGCATACAACCAGGCATACTTCAAGCTAGCACACTTGTTTTGACTGGAGAGGCACATCACCTATCTAAGGCTATTTCGTCAACTCCAACCGAACCATGGATCAACATCCATCTGACGACTGTGGAATGCCGGATATCTTCAGGGGCTCCTACGCCAAGACCATCGTGCCAAGAAGAGTCCCAGCCGTGAAGCCAAGACAAGAATCAACATCGTCATCAGCCCTGAAATGTCCGCCGCCCGCGAGTGATTCCGCCAATTAGTGCCGTTCCTCCCCCTATACCTCCGCAAACTATGAACCAGGGTCGCTGTATGCCCCCTCTTTACCCAGAACCCCCGTCTAAGCGAGCTGGACTATAAGGTGTTCGCGCCCTCACACGGGCCGTCCTCCGTCTGGGATGGAGGTTAGTCGTTTCGCACTGGTAGAGCGAACCAAGCCACCAGCCCCTGGAGAATATCATTCCGTCGGCGACTTCCCCGGATTGCCCTGGCGGCAACTCAGCCCGAGCTGAGAACACTGGATTCCACGACAGGCTCCTGTTCCCCTATGCTATACTTCGTCCTCGACACGGGGTTGAAACAACCCCAGTCCACCCAGCAAAATGGTTATTCCACCACTTACCATTGATCGAGACGCGGGGGTGGGAGACCCTGCATGATTGTCCTACACCATCACATCTCCTGAGCATCAACTTTGAAGGCTGCTAGAGGCATAAATACCCACCCGCGCCCTCGAACAACCACCACCAAGACCACCAAGACCACCAAGACAATCCGAAGCTTGAACCCTCTTGGCCCGAATCCAACAATGCACCTCAACACCACCCTACTCCTCTCGCTCGCCCTCGGGGCCGCGAGCGTCCTCGCCAGCCCAGCCCCACCAACCATCACGGCCCCGCCCACGGCCGAGGAGATCGCGAAGCGCGCGACGACCTGCACCTTCTCGGGGTCGAATGGCGCCTCGTCGGCCAGCAAGTCCAAAACCTCGTGCTCGACCATTGTGCTGTCGAATGTCGCCGTTCCGTCGGGGACGACACTGGACCTGACCAAGCTGAACGACGGGACTCACGTAGCCACTCCTTATTCCAAGCCATTGCCCCACTCCCCTCCACATTCGCCTCCAAACCTCCTCTTGACCATCCTCTAACGCTAAACGAATAGGTAATCTTCTCCGGCGAAACCACCTTCGGCTACAAGGAATGGAGCGGCCCCCTGATCTCCGTCTCCGGGAGCGACCTCACCATCACCGGGGCGAGCGGGCACAGCATCAACGGCGACGGCAGCCGGTGGTGGGACGGCGAGGGCGGGAACGGGGGCAAGACGAAGCCCAAGTTCTTCGCGGCGCACAGCCTGACCAACTCGGTGATCAGCGGGCTGAAGATCGTCAACTCGCCGGTGCAGGTGTTTAGTGTTGCGGGGTCGGATTATTTGACGCTGAAGGATATCACGATCGACAACTCGGACGGCGACGACAATGGCGGCCATAATACCGATGCGTTTGATATCGGCACGAGCACGTATGTCACGATCTCCGGGGCCACGGTGTATAATCAGGATGATTGTGTGGCTGTGAATTCGGGAGAGGTGAGTTGGGTTCACCCCTCAGCGATTGGGTCTTTTTTGGTCATGGTGGTGGCTAACAGCACCACGCAGAATATCTACTTCTCGGGCGGCTACTGCTCCGGTGGACACGGCTTGTCCATTGGGTCGGTGGGCGGACGCAGTGATAACACGGTCAAGAACGTGACGTTCGTGGATTCGACGATCATCAACTCGGATAATGGTGCGTTTGCGTTTACCTGAGCCCCAGCCTCTTTCCCTTCACCTCACCACCCGCCCCGGTCCCTCAGCCCTGCAGTCCCCTTCCCCTTTCCCTTCCCTTTCTCCACCCCGTACTCAACCCCAGCCCTACCCAACCCTCTCACTCTCAGAACCAAGACTAAGAGGGACAAAAAGGCGTCCGCATCAAAACCAACATCGACACCACCGGCTCCGTGTCCGATGTCACCTACAAGGACATCACGCTCACCTCCATCGCCAAGTACGGGATCGTGGTGCAGCAGAACTACGGCGACACGTCGTCGACGCCCACGACGGGGGTGCCGATCACGGACTTTGTGCTGGACAACGTGCACGGCTCGGTGGTCAGCTCGGGGACCAACATCCTCATCTCGTGCGGGTCGGGCAGTTGTTCGGATTGGACGTGGACGGATGTGAGTGTCAGTGGGGGGAAAACGAGTTCCAAGTGTACGAATGTGCCGAGTGGGGCTAGTTGCTAGCCTTTCTTAGCTTGGGATTGGGATGATGGTGGAGGGGAGGAGGGGGAGGAGGAGGAACAAGGAATTAGGACGTGTCGGGGTTTACTGTTGCTGTCAGGGTAGGGTCAGTGTCAACCGGCTTCATGAGAAATCCACTTCACGATTGTTTACTTCAGGAACGAGCAGGAGCATACGTTGTCTTGAAGTACGAGCAATCACTGGCAGCGTGCAAAGCTATGTTCTAGCACACCAGGTCAAGTCAAACCGTAGCTGAATTATAAACGAGCACATCTATATACAAGCCCACCTCTACGCAAAACATCCTCTCCGCCCTCACCACCACGCAACCCCCTTCCCCTATTCAATCCAGTGTATAAACCACCTAATCCCGCCGATACCTCCCACCCCGCCAATGCACCCAAACCGTAGGCAGAACACTGACCCCGACAATCAACGCGACCACCACCCCGGAACTCTCCGCGACCCCGACACTCTCAAACAAATCCGTAAACCAGAACGGCCCGATGAATCCCCACGTCGACCGCACAAAATTGATGAACACGCCCACGCTCCCCGCATCAGCCGGGTACGTATCCACGGCGTAGGTAATCATGACCGTGGTGACGACCTGGTTCCCGAACGCGGCGATCGCCGTGCCCACCACCGGCACGACCGTCCATTTGCCCTGCTCCGCCTGCGCCGTACACACTAGGAACACCACCATCCCCGCCATCGTCACCAGGTACCCCACGTAACTCAGCCAGAGCCGGTACTCCGGCGCCGGCGGGTGGCCGCCCGTGCGTTTGGCGCGCAGGTTCATCCAGGTGTCCGACAGCACGCCGCCCAGCTGCTCACCCAGAAGGGAGCCAATGATCAACCCCAGAAACTGGAGGCCGAGCTGCTGCGCGTTCAGCCCGAATTTCACCTGCAGCAGTTGCGGGACCTCGACGGAGTTCATTACCGACCCGAACAGGAACACCATAGCGTAGGCCACGGCCGCGATCAGGACGCGGAGGTTGGTGAACAGGGTGAGCGGGTGGTAGAACTCGGCCGCCCGGAAGGGGGTCGGGTCGATGCGGTGGAAGAGGGTGAGGTACTCGCGTTTGAAAGCGGACGTGGTTGACGAGTGCAGGTCGGTGCCGACGTAGCGGGTCTCGGGGCCGAAGGGGAGGTAGAGGATGAATTCGACGGCGTTGGTCTGGAGGAAAGGTCAGTGGGAGATAGATAGGTTGGGGGGAGGCAAGGCTCGCTTACAATAGCCAAAATCCAAAAGATCCAGCGGTATCCCACGCGCTCCGTCACGAACCCGAAGATGAACGGCCCGATCGGCACCCCCAGCGTCACCATCACCGCCCAGATCCCCATGTAGCGCGCGCGCTGGTGGCGGAAGAACATCTCCGTCACGACCGCGCTGCCGATCGCCATGGCCGGCGAGATGAAGAAGGCGACCAGCGCGCGGCACGCCGCCATCGAGGCGTAGTCCGGGCTGCGGGCGCAGCCGATGTTGCACACGCAGCTCAAGACCAGCGACAGCAGGAAGATCGGACGGCGGCCGTAGCGGTTCGACAGCGGCTTCCACAGCAACGGGGCGCCGCCCAGGATGGCGATCTGCAGCGAGGTCAGGTAGCTGGTGCGCTGGATGCTCACCCCCAGGTCCTCGGAGATCGATTCATAGGCAGGGATAATGGCCGCCGCGGTGAACGTGCCCATGCAGGCGTGGAAGGCCACGAGGACCAGGTTCAGGGTTTTCTGCTCTTGGTTATTATTCCCAGCCTTCTACGAGCCACGACACCAGGTGAGATGTTTTACCTTGAAGGCGGGCCAGTTGTACGGATCCGCGGGGTCCATACTCGGCACCGGATCGAGTTCCAGGGTGCCATGGCGTTCGATCAGGTAGGCCTTGTGGGATTCGGACAGTGACTCGACGGCATCGGAGACGTAGGCAGTTTTCTCGGTCGTCTCGAAGTAGTCCGAGTGTGCTTTGCCGGATAGGTCTTCCGGCGAGGAGGTCGACATTTCGATAGATGGCATGATGGGAGGATGGGGTGACAAGCTCTCAGCATCGTATGAGGCCCATGTCAACCTGGGGAAGGGGAGATAAAGAGAAATCCCCCTGCCCTCGACCCCGGACCCTCCGGTTTCCCCTCCCCTCCCCTCGCCTCCCCACGGGGGCGAATCCACGCCTTTCGGACCCGCAGCGGGCCAAACCCGGGGAGCAAACCACAATTAGCCGAGATAAGGACCTGTAGAACGGGCTGGATTGCTCACACGGGGTGACGTGGATCCCCCGGTCATTGCCGCCCATTGTGATTGCCCAGCAAGCGAGCCCCCGGTGGATCGGCGGTAGATAGGAGGCCGCCAACATTGCCGGTCACGCCCGCCTGGGGCTGTCAGGGTCGTTATATAATACCGTCCGACGAGGCAGCCGAGGTGGTCAGCCGTCCGGCCGAGGATGAGGGAGTTCAACTCCCGAGCCAAACTCCCGGATAGCTGTTTTGGGCCTTAGTCGAGCTGGTCCACGTGCCAACCCCGCACGCCGAGTTTGGGATCCAAGCTTCCTTCCCAGGGCCCTTCACATTGTGTTTCGCTGCCTCGAGTCTCTCGACAGTGGTAAGTTGCCAGGCTGCCAGCTAAGTTACGGATGGCACAGCTTAGGTAGCTTGATCCCAAGCCTTGAGGCTTGAGGCTTGACTGTGGCGGATATTTATCCGCTTTGATGAGTCAGTCCTTTTCCGATGGCTGGGATCGCCACACGTACAACATGCATCGTACTGCGCAAAAGGCTGCTGTGCAGCGAAGACAAAATCAGATGCAAGTCTGAAGAATTCACTACCGTCTGCATCGGAGATATAAGCACAGTATATAACGTCGTTTCTCGTGGCCCTGAGGATAATGTTTCACCCGCAACTGGACCCTGCCCAACCTCGGCAATTTAAAGGTTGAAAAGGTTGAAACCCCAGATGGGGTAAAACAAGTGAGATCCCGAGTCCGACTCGGGGTCGACCTGCCGTGTTCGCTCTCAGATCCCATCGTAAACAACTTCAGACGGCCGTGTGCGACAGTCACCTGACCACACCAGACCTAACGTATCGATCACAACGAGGCCAGATTAATTCTCTGCTGATGGACTCAACCATCCCTCAGTACTCCGTACTCAGTAGCAAACCATAACTTAGAATCAACAACCTCGGATTCGACCACCACCGTGACGCAGGGTCGCGCTTGGAATGCGCCGCCCGATCGACGCAAGGGATGTGATCAAACCACAACAAAGGGCCTGCCTGCCCTGCCGCGCCCTCGACAGCTTAAATACTACGTGTCAGATAGTGAGCGCCCGCGACAGTCCATCATCGGCCTCGTTGTTCCCCAAAGAATCAGACCCTGGTGATCTCTCCAACAGCCACCGCCACCATGCTTGCCATCAAATCTTTGTCCCTAAGTGCGCTGCTCCTCGCGGCGGTGAGCAGCGCAATGGAATGGACCACCGTGAGTCGCGTAGACACTCCACCAACCCTCAATCGCACACTGACCAGAAGACAGGTCGGATACGAGACCACGGAGGGGAGTCGCTCCATGCAGGTGCCTTTGAACGACTGCTGGAAGTTCTCGGAAGAGTAAGTGCGATCGATCGTCGATATTCCGAGCAGACATTGACAGGTTACAGGGAGGTCAACACCGTGTTCTTGTCGCGGCCGTGTCGACTATTCACGTAAGCTTCACCCCGGACCACAGAATTGAGGGAAGGTGACTGACAGCGACCAGTGCGATCGGCTGCACTGGCCGGAGTACCATGCTCAACCCAGGCCTTCACACCTCCTCCGACCCGATTCCCTTCATCGACAGTATCGAGTGTTACTAGCGGCGGGGAGGATCGATCTGATGTATCATATGCACTATACACCCGTCTAATGGAAATAATTGCCAATAGCCAGCTTTGCTTTTTCTGAATCGAAGCGGGATTGTCCCGAGACGCCGAAATGTTGGCTTCTCTGGCATGGGTGGATCTGTCGGCTGCGAATACCCGGGACGCCCTTCATGCTGTGTACCCAGCATGCAGGGTCGAAAGTTGAGGTTGCCTGATCTCTGGACCCCGTGGGGTATATAAGGTGCATTTCTTCGTAGTCGTCGCGCAGGTCTTTCAGCCTGAGGACAGGTGACTCGGCAGTTCGGTCAAGATGCGCATCTTCAATTCTCTCCTGCTTGCCGCCACCGTTGCGTTGGCGGCACCCCAGTCGCGGTGCCATCCAGAAGCTGCCCAAGTTCGTCGGGAATGGTACTGCGCTCCGTTCCCATATTAACTTGCAGACATCTCTGACCCTTGCCAGGCAGGAATTGAAACCCCAAGAGCGGACGAACTACATCGACGCCCTGTGGTGTATGCGCAGTCGGCCTTCGCGCCTCCCTCGCGATCGATTCCCCGGCGCGCGTGATCGTATTGACGATTTTGTGATGTGAGCCGCCCCCCTCCGACTCAACTCCCAGACCAACAGACCACTGACAACCGACAGCACGCACATCAACAACACCCTCGTCATCCACAACAACGGGCTCCTTCTCCCCTGGCACCGCCACTTCACCTGGCTGTGGGAGCAAGCCATCCGCGAAGAATGCGGATACACTGGCGCACAACCGTAGGCCCATTCTCCCCACCAACCACCTCCCCAAAAACTAATCAACGCGGCAGATACTGGGACTGGCCGCTCTACACCCACAACAACCTCCTATCGAGCCCCCTCTTCGACAACTCCCCGACCTCCCTCGGCGGCAACGGCATCTACAACGCCTCGACCGTCGAACACCCCGCTCTCTGCCCCGCCAACCTAGGCGGGTGTCTGCCCCCCGGCGCCGGCGGCGGATGCGTGACCTCCGGGCCCTTCGCAAACTGGACCCTGCACCTCGGCCCCTTCAGTCGCGATTTCGTGAAGTCCTACGGGCCCCTCCCGCCCGACCCATGGCGCTTCAACCCCAGATGTCTGAACCGGAACTTCCGTCCCGAGTCGCTGCAGATCCTCAACACCCAGCAGCGCGTGGACATGCTGCTCGGAGCACCAGATATGGACGCCTTCATGGCCGTGATGGACCCGAGTAACGCGACGCTGATCGGGTCGCATGGCGGCGGGCACACGACGGTCGGCGGGGCGATGCTGGATGTCTTCGCCAGCCCGCACGATCCCGCCTTCTTCCTGCACCATGGCATGGTGGATCGCATGTGGACGCTGTGGCAGGAGCGGGATTTCGCGGTGCGGTGGGACGCACTGAATGGGACGGCGGTGATCTATAACCCTCTCGACGCGCCGTTGGTGACGCTGGACACGGTGATGGATTTCGGGGTCTTGGATCGCCAGCGGCGGATCGGAGAGGTGGTGGATTCGCGGTCGGGGAAGTATTGTTACGCTTATACTTAGCTTGTCTCGGGGAGGTTCTGAATAGATAGGGCGGGTTTGCTTGTTCACAGAACTTGAGAGCCATGATGCCAGAGCCAGAGAGCCCTCGTATCGTCCCTGGAGTCGCGAGGATTGATTCCATTGTTATTTAGCCTGGACAGAAGTAAACACATCATGATCAGAGAAATTGCGCGTCAGCCTGTTTCCCCAAAGTGACTTACACGATGTCAGCATATTCCGAGCGTCTAGGCAACCGTATGATTAAACTTCCTGCTGGGATACCATGCTGATCTCGGAAGAGACCTCTTCTTCTCCGGGTCTCAATGGCCATGTCTCGGTTTGCCATTCTACCAGTGCGTCCGACGCATCCCTGGTATCAGGATGATCAGGGCCTAAGTGGTATCTCATCAGGCACACGCATTCAGACATCAACTTCAAGGCCTCGAAGTATTGATTCGTGTGTTTTAAACAAAATGCAAGGTTACTCATGCTGGTCAGTATTAAAGGATGTTCGGGGCTCAGCAATTTCAACTGGCTGTTCAATACTTGTGTGTGGAGCTCTTTGGCTTCTTCCCATTGACCCTGTTGCCCGCATGCGGTTGCGAGGTGGTGCATGCTCATCAATGTCTCAAAATCTTCAGCTCCTAGTTCTCTCTTGGAGCTCTCCACAATATGTCTACCCAGCTGTGCGGCCTCTTTCAAGCGACCCTGTTGCTGGTAGATCGGAGAAAGTTGACCCATGCTCTGCAACGTTGCAGGATGCTCGGGGCCTGAGATTGCGATGTGCGCCTTCGTTATTTGTACTTGAATCTCTTCGGCTTCTCTCCATTGCTTTTTGTACTGATATATGCGCGAGAGATATTCCATGCTGGTCAATGTAACTCGATGTCTAGGGCCTAGTGCGGTCTTGCAGGTATTCAGCACCTGAAGTTGTAGCGTTTCGGCTTCCTCGCATCGATCCTGGCTCAGGTATATATTCGAGAGGTCGGCTGTGGTGCTCAGGGTCTCACGGTGTTCGCGGCCTAATTCTCTCTCCTGAATATCCTTTACTCTCGACATACAGAACTCAGCCTCTTCCCATTCCGCAGCCTGTGCGTGCACAACGCCTATTATCTTAGTGGCCTGAGACGTTATAAAATGATCTGGACCAAGTAGCTCCCTGCATGCTCTTTCAGCCTTGCTTGCTAAGTGTTTTGCTACTGGTAGGTTCCATTTGTAACATGCATACCACGCTGCCTGACACATGAGTTTAGCCCAATTTTTTAAAGAGTCTTTTGTATCGGGTGGTTGAGTTGCGGCCATTCGTATATGCGGAAACAATACCTGCAATGTCCCCCAATTCCCGTAATCACTTGTTGGTGAGGCATTGCTGAGAATATCGATGAAACGTTCCCTCCAATTCTGAAACTGTCCTTGGATTTCAAGCCACTTGAGCGTTGCAAGTTGTACCAGCCGATGCATCTCGAAAACATCTACTCCTGTTATGGAGATGAACGAATAGTCTCTCAATGTCAGGACATCGACGTCGAATTGGTCATCGTGACTGGATGTACTATCTTCATCACTCAGGTTTGCCAGGCCCTTCTCCCGTAGATCTAGCTTATGGTTGTCTTCGTCTTCTTGATGTCGGAGTAAGGCTTCAGGAATCCCCTGTCTGTCGAAGAAGCTCATCAGCGACAACAGGTCTGCTGCCGAAGGCCTGGCTCGCCGCAGGTGATCGAAAGAGATTTGCCAGGTGAGCATGATCGAATTATGCGCTTCTCGGTCTCGACGTAGGTGGCCCCCTTCGTAATCCAAAAGACTCAATTTCTTGCGATCACTCTTCTGGAATAGTTGCAGATATTGTGACACGGAAAAGCGTGGCGAGCGGTATCTGATGTAGCTTGCGGCATGTACTCCAGGGCGGCCATAAGCTCATCCACCTCATCGCCAGCGCGGTCTTCTGGAACATCGAGTTTCTTCTGGAAGAGCAGTCGCGCATCCGTCTTGTGCATCGGTGCAATTGTGGTAATATCTCTTGACTCGACCATCCGCGAGGCAACCGCAGCACTGCGACTGGTGATGATGATGGATCCATGGGGGCTCTGAGGAATATACTCCAAGAGTACTTTCCCAGTTGTACTGCCTGAGTCACCAGGAGCAGCCTTGTTCAGAAACTCATCGTCATCGACATTGTCCAGGACAAGAGTCCATTTGCCCTTCCTCTCATCGTTAAGCCAGCCCCCAACAAGCTGGAAGATGTTGACCTTAGGATCTTTGCGACCGGGGATTCTGACACGGTCGGCAATTTCCCGGAAGCCCTGCTCGAATCGAGCAGCGTTACTCGTGTGTACCCAGAAGACCCACGTGTTCGGGAAGTTCTCGCGGACTCGGTAACAGTATTCGATGGCAAGTTGCGATTTCCTCCGAGGAATCAGTAACGCAGTCAGTCTTCCATGGGTTATGAGGACCTACCCAACGCCACCGAGGCCGACAAGCGCGATTCGAGAAGCAGGAGCGGAGCACTTTTCGCGGATCTGGTCGAGAAGTGTGCCGCGATCAACAAAGTCTGGATCGCGACGGAACGGAACGGTAGAGAGTGGATGGGGCGGTGTTTCGGGCCGTTCTGTGGAGAAATCTTGTCAGTGCGATGCGATGGAACTGAAAGGACAACTAAAAAAACTTAGTTGAACTCAGCTAGCCACAGCTAGCTCGCGACTGTTGCGGCGATGGCCTTCCGATGATACTTTGGTGGTGAGACCAAGAGGAAAGCCAAGAAGGAGATGGGAGCTGAGAGGGAGCACTGCCTGTGGGCTGCCTTCTTCCCATAAGTACAGACTGACTGCAGCGGGAGCAACTTACCCGGTGGGACATGAAGCTGAGCGTTGAACACACCGTTGTTGTTCCCAACCTGTAAAGCAAAGTTGGAACCATCAAACTTTACTGATGACATAGTTGGATCCATCTCAACCACTAGACTAGATGATAAATGAGTTGGGAAGTAGTGGAATGGAGGAGAGGGATGGAATGATGGCAGATACCGTAGTTTTGCTAGCCTCGGCCGGCGGCTAGACTAGACCATCAGGTGACTGGTGCCTTGGGCACAAGTCTCCGCGTCAGCAAAGCCATAGTACCATAGTGTTTGTTTGCTATCAAGCGGTCGTCTCAGAAACCCTGGCTACGAAGAAATTAATCAATTCCAGGTTGCAGCAATCCATGCCTGTCAATGGCCTGGTTATGAAGATACGTGCAGAATGCATCAATCAATTAATCAACTATCACATCACTGGTATCACGCGCATATAATCACAAAGCGCTTTAGAATCTTTCGCAGTGCACTCACGCTTACTCGTTCTCGTCGACCCCGATAACAGTCGACTTGAACTTCCGAGCCGGAACCTTGCGGTTGAACAGGATATCGGCTTCACGGTACGTGCGGTGCTTCAGCTCGGGCAAAAAGAAGTAGGCCACAATCCAGCACACGCAGGCAGTACCGCCCCAGACGTAACCGCACTTGCCCGCCAGGTTCCATCCGGTGGTGTTGAGCATCTTCGAGGCCAGGTAGATCATGGGGATTTCTACCACATAGTAGGCAGCACGACCGACAGCGGTGCTCAGCGCACGGAGGCGGATGGAGGAGGTCTCAGAAATGATGGTGTAGGAGATCGGTCCGAGAGTACCCGCGAAAATGAAGGAGATGAGAATTCCGAGAGAGGCCTGGGCGATGTTGGTGTGGTTGTTCTGTTCCACCGAGGCGACGATGCCAAGAATAAAGAGCAAAGCGATGTTGGTTGCAGTACCCCAGAGGTAGACCGTGCGGCGTCCGAACCAGGCGGTTACAACCCAGGAAAGGCCGTTGGCGACAAGTTGGAGGCACGAGTTGACCAGGTTAAGCTGGAAAGCACGCTCGGACGACATGCCAGCCTCTAAGCAGCTTATCAGCCATTACATTCTTCACATGCTTCGTCTCGGGAACTGGGAGATTACTCACGCTCGAAGAAAAAGGTTGCTTGGTTGGCAATCAAATTCCCGGCCAGGTTCTGGCCCCCATATACAAGACACGTGATCACCGTTCTCCTTAGATCAGTACCCTTGAAAAGGTCGAGGAGGGTCGGGCTTCCACCCTGCTCCTTTTCGATCTTGACGGTACGCTCCATCATGGCCAAAGCCTGGTGGGCCTCCTCTTCCTTCTCCTTACCGAGGCGCTTGATGGAGCGAAGAGCCTCATCCCGACGTCCACGACGAATCAACCACCAAGGCGACTCGGGGGCAAGGAAAACCAGGATCAGGAGAGGTGTCTGAAAGGGTCAGCTTGCGCTGGTGGAACAAAAGCAAGGGTCGACTGACCGGGAACATCCACTGCAAGGCCAGGGGCGCTTTCCAGGCCCACTCATTCTCATACTTGTTGTAGCTGTAGGTAGCACCGGCGACAATAATCGAACCGATGGACCAAGACATCTGCAAAGTCGCGGTACATGCACCTCGCAGAGCGAGGGGCACAACTTCACTGGCATAGGCTGGGGAGTTGGCGATAAAGAAACCCCATGGGACACCTTCCAAAGCTTGACCCACGGTCAGAAGGGCGAGTGAGTTGGCCTAATTGAATTGCGTCAGACGGTAGCTCCGAGGGAGAATGCAGAACAACTTACAAAGAAGGAGACGAAGATAGTGGCGTTCATGAGGATCAGGCCGATTATAGTCGTCCATCGGTATCCCAGCTTATTTGTGATTGGACCGGCTAAAAAGACGCCGACAAATGCGCCACATTGGCCAGCCTGGAACAGAGCACTCTGCCACCGAGTCGGGATGACCTTTTCTTGTGAACCCGCCACGGAAACACCAAACTTTTGTTGGAATGCATCGAGGGCGACAAAGTTACCGTTCAGGAACATGTCGAACGATTCCATGACCTACTTGCATTAGCGGCGATCCGGCAACCATCGACCGAAGATCAGCTCACAATAGTGAAACACATGATGAAAGCCCACAAGCAAGCCCAGGGGTGCGTCTTGGCGGCCTCCCACACACCCATTTCATGCTCGCGATTTTCGGCATCGAACGCCTCTCTCATGAGCTCCGAGTTCTGCTTGAGCTCGACATGATCAACGTCGACGTGCTCCCCTTGGAGCTCACCCTTGGATTTCTCATAGTCGGTCGACATACTGCAAGCGCGAATAATGCCAAAGTGCCACACGGAAGGAGAGAAAGCCAAGCCGGGAAAAAGGGTAAGTACCGGGTCTTATAGTTTCGGCGGCCTGCACGCCTCCCAGCCTGAGGTTGCATTCACAGCCAGGGGAGCTAGTCTGTGTTTGCCCGCCGGGGTTTTGCCAGTTTTCCCGACGCAGGAAGCGAGCATCTTGGGTGAGACGACAGGGGAGCGTTACCCGAAGCAGGGCAGACGCCGAGACAACAGGGTTCGATTGGAAGGGGAGGTGGTTGTGGCGTGCGAAATCCGGAGCTAAAGGGTTGGTGGCGTTCTGGCGAACCAGTCGCAAGGGAGAGGGAAATCAACTGAAATTGGATGGACTGGTGCGAGGGCCAGGCGTGAGACTGTGAGGATGGTAACCCCGCGGGGGATTAGCCTTCTGTGGATAAATCTCAATCCGGGTATGCGGGGCCCCAGGGCCAAACTGGGATAAGCCTGGAACTGTGGGTGCTTGGTGTCGGGTCATTCTTTGCGGGGATGGAAACTGTGTCCGAGACATTTCACATCGGTTGGTTCAAAATGTTCCACGCAACCTGGTTTGCGGAGAGCCAATGGACTGATAAGAACCTGGTGATTGAGTGAGAATCGAGGAGAAAGTGGGAATCGAGCCCACCCCCAGAAATCCCGCGTTTTCCCCCGCAGCCGCAGTCTGCACCCAGGTCAGGTGACCTCAGACGGCAGAATCCTTATCCAAGCATCGGGAAAGTTAGGCGGTGGACGCATGGCGAAGCTTGAGCGAAATTGCCTTCGTGCGTTGGCTGGTGGAAGATTGAGGCGACAGATTGTGGCTGCCCCTTAGCGGGATTTGGGAATTATCGCACCTATCGAAGAGAACGATTTGGACAAGACGTTGCAGCCGAGAGAAGCTTGCTGCACATGGTCGCCGCATGCGGTCACGACCTGATGCATCCGAGCCTGTCCGAGCCCGATCAGGATCTACCCATCTCGTGGCGGTCAGCTTTAATATCCAGAGAGAGATTCATTCGTGCTATACGCCAACAGGTGGGGTGACTCGCGTGTGTGTTGTTTCTGTTCTGATGTCAGGCCCACGGTTTAATTTGCATCGAGAACTGTAAGTGGTTGCTTGCCATGGTAGAGCTTCGGTTACAGAGCACCTGCAAGCTTCCTCGAAGCTGAGCAGGGAAGAAGTACCCGAAGAGAGGAAAGCGCGGGTGACTGCACAGCTCCAGTCCGGCTCAGCTAACAAGTGAGCTTCCTTGTTCGGTCCAAGTCTTAGCTGAGGGAGCCGAGCTGTTCCCAACCATGGCTCAGCCGACGGTGTCAGGAACCGTTACTCCAGATCACATGCTTCCTTTGGAGACAGATAGTCAACCCGGATGATGACACCACCCCGGCCATATGACCCGGCCATTGCAGCCTGTCCACTCTCCATGCACAGTCTACTAGGATCCTTACTCGCACCGCAACATACCTCCGACCAGATGGCCTGATCACTCGGAGAATGAATACATGCAGAACCCGATCCCTCTATGGGGGATTGCAACACAGAAGATGTTGACAGACCGAAACACATCGATATCTGAGGTCTCAACCGCTAAAAGTCCTGAAGACCAAGGCAACAACGAGCTAAAACAACACTCGCAACGCAAGCTGTAGTACAGACTACATCAAGTATCCAAGGCTACAACAAAGTTATCCCGAACGCCACTCCGGTCCGTTGTAGCAAGGATCTCATTATATCGAGATTGCCATCCACTCAGTACGTAATACCACCACATCCTGAGCGCCATCAACACACTAACACTAACTCCGAGCAAGCTCACCCCCCAGAAAAGGAAACCCACCCCGACCCCGCGCTTCGTTCGTGCCTGACGCCCACACTTGTGACCCCCCCTTCCCCGCCTTCCTTCTTACCAACAACCACGGTACCACGACTCTGACCCCTTGTACCTTGCAGGGATTATGAAAGCCACGCTTCACATCCGAGTAAGTAAAAGTCCGCGCTACAGGAATGACTCACCACCCCAGCGCACCAGGCACATTCGGACGGCACGAAACACACGGCAGCCCTTCGTCGCAGAAGCCGCCGGGACAAGGGGCGCAGATCTCGCCGGGGCCGCGCTGGGCTGTTGCTGTCGCTGCCAGCCAGACGATGGGATAAAGTGATCGGGAGTGCATCGTCGATTGGTTTCATAATATAGATGTGTGGAAACGGGCCTTGCAGGTGATCTCCAGCAGGCGATGTGCAAGTCGAATGCACTGGACGAGGTGGGATTTGTGGAGTTCGTAGTGCTTTGGACGACTGGACTGGGGATAGTCATCACCAACATCATTGTCGTTGGGGTAGCTGTGGTCGGGACTGAGTTCCTCTGCTTGAGATCTTTTCTGGGTGTTGGTATGGCAAGGCATCACGGGGTTGAAACTTCTGTTGGGATTGTAGACGCGCTCGAGGAGGCCGCGGTTTATGCTGACCAAAATCACAGGATACCGTGGATGAGGTCTGAAGCTGGCATTTGGCAGCGATTGCAGCGGAGTTCAATGCCGACTCTTGTATAAAACGATCGTAGAGAAAAGTCGTATGGAGTCCTTAAGATAGAGAAACAGTCAAGATACGAATAGAAGACGCGGTAAGAGTCATTGGAGGTGGCCATCACGGCCCTTTCTTCAGGAAGTATCTTGTCATTGACTCAGCGAACGCAAGGTTTTTCATTCCCTGTCAAGCCCAATTACAGCTTGCTAAAACTTTTGCTGGGCGGCTGAAGCCCTGATATCAAAACCATGGCTTCGATCCATGATAATTATAACTAAGTATGGAGAGAAGTAGAACTTGTTTTGAAACCGTTTGTTTGGCATTTGCGGCTTAGCTGGTCAAGAAAGGTACACCATAGCACCGTTCTATTGGTAGGCTCTTGTTTAAATTGATGTTATATGCATTATAGCATCCTAGAGATATATCTCCTCCAAAACGTAAGCTACAACCTATACCACCACACCCGCCTCATACTTCCGACTGCTCCCAAGAAACCAGGTGCGACTCGCCCAACACCCCCTTAATCACCAGCACCAGCTCGTCCACCGTACTCAGGAACTTGACGTAGGCACTCACCCCGACGCAGTACCGACGATAATCCTCCTCCCGCAGCATCTCCGGCGACAGCAGAGTATCCATTGCGTGCGCGTGCCAGTACTCCATGGACCGCTGCATCAGCGGGGTGGGCAAGAGCTCCGGTGGAGCGTCACCTGTTTTCAGCGCTTGCTCGCAGACGCTCAGCACGGCCATGATCTCGCCGATACAGCGATGGTCCAGCAGCCCCGTCATCCGCGCGAGGCGGTCTTGGTATTCCTGCGGCAAGGACGCGGAGAGGGAGAGCAGCCGCCCGAGGTTCCGGTTCAACCCGTGACAGAGGAGCTTGACTTGGTCCATGCTCGAGCTGTCGAACCGCGAGCTGGAGAATTCGTACCGCAGAAGCTGGATGGGCCCGTCGAGCAGCACGAGGGACTCGGCCATCTGGAGGGAGATCGGCTCGGCGAGGATGCGACCGTCTTCTTGGCCTCGGCCCCAGCAGGATAGGAGGAGTGCGTAATGATCTGAGATGGCGCGGATAGACGTGGACAGGGTCTTGCTGATATGCTTCGCAGCGGAGGGAGGGTGCGGGAACAGCTGAGCTACCGTTCCCACGCCGACGCCGATCAGGACTAAAAGCAGTCGGCGCCAGAAGACGGTATATCCGACGCCTGGATTGCCATAGGTTGGGATGTGGCTGCATGAATAGTCAGAGTCAATCACGGTAAGACAAGGGCTTTGCGACTTGGAGGGTACTTACGTATCGTCGTAGCTGTACGCAACAACAAGCAAAAACGTAGCACCTCCCATGATGCTCCCCTGTAGGAGGCTGGGAGGCAGAAAAAGACGCGACCAAAGGAAGATGACAAGCATCACGGCCATGATAGCCGCTAGTCCATAGGGACTGCCCGGTCCATTGCCTGAACCGATATACCATGCCAGCAAGCCCAAGAGGCCGCCAACAACGGTTCCTATAACGCGCGCAATGACAGAAAATAAGTAATCAGCCATGTACGGCAAGAGACCTGTCTGCGCCATGATCAAAGCCCAAAGACCTTTCTCGCGATAGAAGAAGCCCGCTGTACTGGGTAGAGCAGAAATAATCCCAATGGCAATAGTGACCACGACCATACGTAAAGCGTAGAGTCCTTCTGCTGATGTGAACCAGTGGTACGTGCCCAGAATAATGCGACTAGGAAGACCGCGGCGCTTGACGCGGTATCCACGACTCAGCCGCAATCTTTCTTGCACTGATTTGGTTGCGTCGGCCTGTTCTTCTGGATCGTCGTCTGCGACCTGAGCCATGGCAGGGGCTTTGTTGCCCTTGCCTGACACCCAGGATACAAACGCTTTGAGGCTCAACGGCCACCACACTCGTGTTCGCTTGGAGCTCTGGAAGATGTTCAGCACTTGATCCAGTAAGGACTCGGTTTTATCCATTGCGTTGGCTATGAGTTCCTCGAACACCATCCCCACTACAATGCCTCCAAAGTTCTTGGCGTGACGGTCAGCGTCCTCACCCGGTCTCCCGTCCATTAGCGGCCCGTAGCAGCTAACCAGCGACTCTGTTGTGTTACGAATAAAGGTTTGGCGCACTGCGCGAAGATCTTCGAGAGCCTGACGGCTCCGCTGGCACAATTCCTCCCGCGCCTCGGGCGAAGAGCGCCGAAACCACGGTCGGCCATTTGCCATGTGAATGCAATCCTTCGCAGCGCCCAGCGCAGCCACACATGCTTCAATGGCCTTTGAAGCCGCGCTCACGAATGCCTGAAGGGTTTCCTCCGGGATAGGTCCGCTGTCGGAATTGCGCAAGCCATCTAGCAAACGCGCCATTTGCTGCAGCTGGTGGCGTCCCACCTCGCGCGAGGGCTTGGCCTTTTCATCTTGCGACACAATTTGGTCTGCATACTTTTGTAGGACTTCTCGTGCGCGAGCCTTGCCGGAGACGCGGTTCATATGAAACTCGAGCAAGGAGAGAATGGCTCCGATAGCCTGGCGTACAGGTTCCTTAAGAGTTCCCACATGCTGCGCGCCCCAACACCCGATCGAGAAATCCAACGGCAAAAAAGCTAGGGCGGGCTCGACCTTCCGGTACTCGCCGATGATTCCGACTTGTGTCTTGCGCAACTGCGTCATATTCAGGTCTGGATCACGTTTTCCCAGGGTCGCCAAGGTGAACGCTAGCGGGTGAGTGAGCAGCTCAATGATGTCCTCCATGCTGTTGAGAACGACTCGAGATGTGGATTGCGGAAAGATCAGCACCGAACAGGCAAACCCCAGGCCGATGCCGACGCCAGCCGGCTTGGCAAGTGCAAGGGGTAATGTACCGTTGAAGGAGGGAAGCAGGGGCAGATACGTGAGAAACAGGTCGGATATGATGATGGCGAAGATCGCCGTAAAGGTTGCTTTCGGATTGCTGGCTCGGAGGCGTGCCTGTCTGCACGGTTATTACTGACCGGGTAAACGAGCGTGGGTCAGAGTCATACCATGAGATAAATGAAAGTACAAATGAGACAGTAAGTGACCGCCGTCACTCGCGCATCCAGCATGTGGCCATTGTAAACCAACACCTGGGCCAAACTGGCGACTGATTGCCCAGTTGCGTTAGCCTGTTGCGCGGCGAGTTGCTCCAGGGCCAGCAATTGTGCTTGCGTGTCTGCAGATGATCTGGCCGCGTAGGCGGCCTTCATCGTAATGACGCCCCATGCCCAGGCCAAGCAGACACCCAGGTATAGGGAGAGCGCTCCAAGGAGGTAGATAAATACCACACTCGAGGGCGGGAGCATAAGCAATACAAGACTGGTGCAAGCAGTTAGCGCGTATTGCAGAAGAACAGTCAAGTCTTTCCTACCATGCGAAGAAAGTAGCCTGTCCCAAACTCGACAGGGATGGACTGATCAAGAACAACAAACAAGCCACCCAGGCTGCGACCCAACAGCGGAAAAGGATTTTCAGATCGCGCGCGTTGAAATGGTCGAGGAATGGCGGCAGACGCCTTTTCCCTCCCTTCAGAACGGTTTCTTGAAGGTTTTCTAGGGATTTCCCATCGTTCCTTGGCGGGTGTTCGTTTGTGTCGGCCATGGTGTCACCGTTGGTTGCTTTTTATCCAGGGACAAGGTGATTGCCGACAGACCTCTCTCTGCGCTGCATGGATGAATTCCCCGTGACACTTCTGTGGTGATTCAAGGAGATGTGAGACTGATGATGAGCGACCGTAATACCTACCCAACGAGGTGAATAGAAAGGAGTGACTAGTGTTGGACAGGCGTGATGATATCGCAGCGAGGCCGGAAGGCAAGAAAGGGATGATGAATAGACTTCAGGGGAGGGAAAATGTCAGACGGTTGGGCACACGTGGGGGCGAGGCGAGTCTATTTCACCTGCCTCGAGTTTGTGTTCGGTGTTCGGAAATCCAAGTCGATCTGCAGCCCATAAAGTTTATGATTAGTGAAATAGTCGGGCTGATCTTTGCTGTTCGCATGCAGCTTATGCTCTTAACCCCCCCGTTATGCAGAGGTTGTGCACATCTACGTGCGTCATCGATCTGGGCTGATGTAATCCCAGCGCACAAAACCGGACAATGCCAATGACATAAGCACAATTTTGATTAATTAACAAACACACTAGACCTAAATAGTCTATAGCTGTCGAAATTGACTGAAACCTGGATCTGGATCACTAATCACTCATTTTTCTATTGAGTACTCCGTAGAGTACAAGCAGAATTAGCAACACAGACCCCACTTGGCAAGATCGAGATACCCCTAAAATAACCAATTCTCTAGCTTGCGACAAAGATAGGCGACTGGGGAGAGAAGGGAAAGGAGTACGTCGCGACCCCCAAATCGCTCCCTTCGGTTCGGCCAGCCTTTACAGCTGCAATACCCGTCTGAGATGGGAGCGCCGCAGCAGTAACAGAAAACCTTTCCACAACTAAAGGAAGTCAGTACTTAGTTCCCAAGCTCGGTCAGGTATAGCAAACTTACTGGCATGTCACGATCTTGCAACCATTCCTAGCATGTTCCACCATCGCCTGGCACCAGTAGCATCGTCGCCATCTCTTAGCCTTGGCCAGTTTCAGAGTAGCCTGGAGGGCCTCATCCTTATGACACCTCCCGCGATGCGCGATGGCGCGGCAAGGGATGTGAGTCTTGGTCCCACAACTAGGGCAACATGCATAGTTTCCTTTAATGTTGTTGCGAGGCGCGATGAAGACAGAGCAAGAAGGGACTGCGCAGTATACCGGATGTCTGCTAGTATATTCAAGCGCCCTGTCCTGGTACACGCGATATTCATCATTACCGAGCACCAAACGGATCAGCGGTTCCGTGTATTTGAAACCACAGCATCGAGGTGGCAGACTGCACCTCTCTGTCACGGCGATGTGAATCATCACTCGAGCACAATCTCCACACGTCCGATGGCCACATTCGAGGATCCAGACCCAATTGCATTCTTCGTAGCAATACATACAACGGTGACTATGCACTGTTGAGTAGGCTAAGCTTTCGGGTATAGCTTCGCCCATGCTGTTTGAAGTGCTCGTGATTCTTGTCCTAAGTTCGCTGATATGGTGGCTCGGGCAGTCTGATGTGGTCAATGACCTCGTCACCATGCTTGAGCAAAAAGAAAAAGAGAATACTGCCCCAGGCAGTCGTTGCTCACCCTGTGCAGCTTTTTTCCGAGCATTTTGTACACATTGACGTAGTGTTGCGGAATCATAGGTCCTGGCCTGGGTGCGGTGAGCTCATGCTATCATAAGCGCACAGCGGGCCCCAGGAATTGTCGGGATTATCAAGCATGGATGGGAGTTAACTCCGCCGGGAAGCTTACGGGGATGTTTCCGCTGCTATCGGGGGCATTTTCCGAGTCCGCATTGGTCTGGGGATGACGAGTTAATTGTATTCGGCTGGTGAGGAAGGCCCGGTCTGATGCCAAGATATATTCACCAACCATTGATTGTATTCTTTCTGCCTGCTAGTGGTTTGATAATATCCTTGGCGGTTTGAGGTGTGCATGATTATGTAACAATAGACTAGCCAAAGAAGAAAGCTTACTGACATGATGGAAAGTTCAAGAATGGGATCTTGTGGTCTCGATTCGATCAGTTTACGAATATGGTCGGCTACTCGAGCTGATTTTTAACAGAAGAAAGGCGCTGAGACCAGCAATTCAAGCGAGCAAAGAAAGTCATTGAAACAAGATTGAGATGAATCTGTTGTCAATAGATCAGACTTTGTGATCAGTTTCAATGGGAGATGCGAGTAAATCAGCTCGCCATCAACATGGAAGTTCCTACAAGATGTAAGTTAACTTTCCTGGCAAGCGGGCGCCGGGATCAAGCGGTAAGCAGCGACAGAAACAAAATCTGATCACGTGCCTCGCTCTCGGCTATCGGCCGAAGCACCAATTAGCGTAGCTGCCCATCCATCCAATCGGAGTAGGCTGCATTCGGCCAAGGTACTGAACCCTTTGGACCTCACCACCGAGGAAATCGAACATAGTGCAGAGCAGACCCCTTTTCAAGCTTCAATGCCGATGATCATAAGCCATAAGTCATAAGTACATACGAAAGCCCTTTTATCGCCCTTTCTCTATGTATCCAAGGTCCTCCCCATTTTGATTTCTTCCAGCGCATCTTTCCTCCTCTCCCCTCGCAGTACCTAGGTTGCCTAGTAAGCCTGGAGGACCTCATCCTTAGGGCTCAGCACTCTTTCGAAGTTCATTAACAGTTCACATTGACTCATTGAGTATTATACGAGAAGTTCATAGATAGTAGTCACACCACAAAGACCTCATGATACACTCCAGACTACTCCTTGGACGTATCCTCGACAGCCACTGCCTCAGGACCCTTCTCTTCTCTCTCCCACCCAACCGCAGGAAGATCGTCTCCAAACAACGTATCCATCTGCTCCAGTGTCTTTCCCTTCGTCTCAGGGAAGAAGAAGATATAGCAGATCATGGCGATGAGGTTGAACACGAAGAAGACGTAGAAGTACCGGAACCCAATGTTCGTCAGCGCAGTGGGCGAGAACTGCGCAAATATTAGATTGATGGCCCAATTACAAAACGTGGTAAGGCTGTTTCCCTGGTTGCGGATGTCCACAGGGAAGATCTCGGCGGGGTAGACCCAGGATATGATTCCGGGGGCAGTGTAAAAGAAACTGAAGACAAAGTTCATGGCCACCATGGCGCGGAGCTGATTGGCGTTGTTCTCGTCCCAGTGCTGCGACATTGCCGCATTACACACCAGAGCTGCTGCCATGCCGGCGGCAGAGAAGATGAGAGGCTTGATGCGGCCGACCCGCTCGAGGGCCCACAGACCGATGGTTGCATAGACGATCGACAGCGCCCCGGAGATGCCAACGATCATGAGCGTAGTGCGCGTATCAATGCCCAATTCCCCGTAAATTTTGGACGCGTAATAATTAATGCAATTGATTCCTGATAGAGGACCAAAAATCTGTACACCGCAGCCGAGGATGAGACGCCGGCGCCAGGAGGGCTTGGTCAAGATAGAGGTCCAGGTAATGCTATTGTGTGCGCGTTCCGCCTCGATTGTGTCCCGGATTTCCTGGTATTCGAGCTCGATGTAGCTGGTTTTCTCGGGGGTTCCGTCGCCGTGGAGCTTGTGGAGAGTTGCCAATGCTTCTTCGTGGCGGTCTTGCTCCATGAGCCACCGCGGGGATTCTTGGAGGAACCACACACCGCCCATAAGGACTATGCCGGGAACGCATTGAAAAGCAAGTGGAAAGCGCCCTGTAGGAGAATGAAAGGGTCAGTAGACGCTTCGGTGGGCAAGAGAATGGGGAACATACATTGGAAGGCGGTGTTGTTAAAAGAGCATCCATAGCCCAACCACTGCGCCACCAGATATCCCCAGCTCAACATCCACTGCAGCAGGCCGGACATCATGCCGCGGGTCTGCGCCTCAGCCATTTCACCGGCGTACATAGGCACAGTAGATGTCAGCATGCCCACGGCGGCTCCGGCGATGAACCGGCCGATGATGAGCATAGTCATGTTAACGGCGCCTGCCTGCAACGCACATCCGAACACGGAGATGCAAGCTCCGGCGAAGACGGACAGCTTGCGGCCCAATCTGTCGCCGGTAAACATGTTGATGATGGTGCCCAAGATGGCGCCACCCTGGAAGGCGGAGACGACACCCCCCGTGACGGTGTCATTAGGGTTGGAGAAATACTTGATGAACTCGGTCTGCGCGATGGTCGAGGTGACAATACCGCTGTCATAGCCGAAGAGGAAGCCTTTTCAAATGAACAAATCAGTCACAATGCCCATGATCTCAACTCTCGGGTATGATGTACATGACAAACTAACCTCCGATGGCCAAGAAGACAGCGGACAACAATGTCGAAATTTTAGTCATTTTCCTAGGGAGACAGACGACGTCGATCTTCTGTGGTGTTTCGAGGAAACGGCAGAGTCTGCATCTTATATGAAGCTTGTAATGCGCTAGGCCATGGGTGGCGGGTGACCTCTTGGCTTGACTCCAGCCCCGACAAGCGATATCTAGCGTAGTTGACTGGGGGTCTGGGCCAAAATCCGGGACAAATCTGGGGTCGTCTCATTCCTCTTGTCCCCCATGGGCCATGGTAAGCAGCGAGCCTGGCTACTTGCCGTGGGGAATAGCCGAGGAAGCGCCGGCCGTCATGAGATCTGGGGTAGCACCAGCGCCGATTCAAGCCGATTCGGGGTTCTCTCACCCGAGACCGGGTCACGCCCCATGGGGAGGGGAAGAGCTCTGGATGGCTGACAGCTATGCCACTGGAAGTTGGCTGTTATGCCCAAGGTAGTCGGATCTCCGAGACACCGCAAAACGCAGTCACAATCGAGATGGATGGGGGGGGCGAGCCCTAAGACGGGAAGTGGCTTGTTCCAAGACGGTTTAGCCTCGCCCGCCAAGTTCGACTAAAGTCGACTAAAGCTTGGGCAGACTCGGATTTTCCGAACTGCTTCAAAGATTGTGGAAGCGCACACGCCCTTGGTTGGTGTCTGACCGTCTGTTTGCCTCTGCACGGCTTGCCCTCGCCTCCGGTTTTCGTATGAGTGGGGATTCTGGAGGGAAAAAAAAGCTCGGGAAACCGTTCCCCGAATTACCATGACCATCCCTACCTGCCCAATGGGTGTCGTCAACCCTCACACTGCTGGATCTATTCGCTTAACGATCCTGGCCATGTCCGACCAACTCACACACTAATGCCGAGTTCGACTTTCGCCAGGATTGAAGTACTCTTCGGTGGCCTTCAGACCGAGATACGAGTCCATGCTCGCATCGGGATCATCTAACTCCACGAAACTTCGATTCGGGCAGAGAAAATCAGACCATGGCGATGACTGGTAATCGAAATGACTCCCCATTGAACTAGTCTAGCCTCTATATACACATGTATCATAATTACAGCTGCACGAAAACAGAATACTCGCCGTGGGTTAGTCGCACGTCATCGCCCTCCACAGCCTGCTTTGCTTCGCCGGCTCGAAGATAAGCCGAGTTCTTTGCGTTCTCGGGCAACTTGACGACAGCCGTCGTCCCGAACGGCACACGCAGACTAAGCGTCACCGCACCCTGCGCACCGCGCGTGAATTCGACAGTTATCAAGCCGTAAGGACAGTCCACGCTGCCCTGAACGTGGTCGAACTCCGCTTCGTAGGGTGGGTCTACCACAAAAGTCCGATACGCCAGTCCGGTTGGCTTCAACCCCAGCACGGCGGCGTAGAACCACTCGTAAATGGTTCCCAACATGTCGTGGCATTTGCTGCGGCAGGCATCCTGCCAGAACTCAAGCAGGGTGGTTTCCCCGCGCCGCAGGAACCGCATATACGATGGATGTTCCTCCTGGCGAGCCATCTGCAGCACCAGATCGGGACGCTTGGCATCCGCCAGCGTGTTGAACAGGAAACGCAGCCCGATCTCGCCGGACCGCATGCGGCCGTCAGCGACGTCGTCCATGAAGGCGGCCATAACATCGGCGCGATGCTCTTGTGGCACCATCCCAAATTGCAGCGCCATTGCTTGCGCAATTGCGTCCCGGTCGCGCTCCGGGTAGTTGTCCAGCGAGGTGTAATACGCATACGGGCGGGAGGGGTCGTCGGTGACGAGGAGGTGGCGATTGTATGCGGCGTAGATGCGCGCTGCCCACTGCTGGAATTCGTCGGCCTTCTGTGTCTCGCCTAGCTCCCGTGCCATCATCTCCACGTTCTGCAGGCAGCGGTAGTAGATGGCCGTCTCGATGTTGGCCTGGTTATTGCCGTGGGCAATGCCCCGTCCCCAGTCGCCAAGGCCGTGCTCGATCAATCCGCCCCGTCGCTCCTTAGTGCGCATGTATTCCATATAGCGCACTGCCGCGGGGAAGACCTTGGCGATGACATGTGTCGAGCCATAGTATTGTCGAAGGATGTCGGGGAGGAAACACAAGGCGCAGCCCCAGGTGATGGTATCGTGGAGTGGTCCACACATGTAGCGAATCTCGGGAGCCATAGTAGGAACCAATCCACTGGGTTCCTGGGCGTCAAGAATATCATCCAGGATTTTGGTGTACAGGGACTCCATGTCGCGGATGTATTGTGTTGCGGGGGCCAGCAGGTGGGTGACCTCCAGCCAGCCGAATTTCTCAATCTGCGGACAGTCGGTATGGTAGCTGAACAGATTACTGCTAAATGTCCAATAGCATGCATTCAACAAGGCGTTCACATCCTCCTTATCGGTCTTCATCGTTCCTAGTTGTCTTGCAGCAGATGAGATGTGGCGGCCAACAACCGATATGATTTTCGGGAGGCCATCTTCCCCGTCCAGTGAAACACCTTCTACTTGGATATACCGTGCACTGGTGAAGCTAAAGTCCGGCTCCCACACTTCAGGGGCGCCCGTGCCGGCCAGATAGATGCGGGAAAAAACACCCGTCTCGAACTCTTTGAACAAGGGATCCGGCATTAGAACAGTGCCATCCTCCTTGACTGTCTCGCTGTATCGGACAATAATTTCGGAACCTGCGGCACCCTCAACGACAAATTCAACCATTGTGGATGCATTCTGCCCTAGGTCATAGCAGACAACGCCAGGGCTTGGGCTGTGGGTTTTGATAGGCTTAAAGGTCTCGTGTAGCACGACGGGAGGTTGGGTCTGATAATAAATGTGACCTCGTGGTCCTGTGAGAGGCTTGGCGGGAGCCCAGTGTGCATCGTCGAATCCGGGGGCGTCCCAGCCGGTCGGATACAGGCGGCGATCGTGGGTTTCGGAGGCATAGATGTTGGCAAGTGTAGTGGCACTCTTGCTTACGCGCCAAGTGGGATCAGAGATCAAGGTGGTGTGCTCACCGTCCTCATAGAACAAATGCAGCTCACTGAAGAAGCACAGCTCGTTGCCGTAGCGGACATAGGTATTATCCTCGTACATCGGCCAGAAGAAGCGATCATCGCCCTTGTCACCCGCATAGAAGCCATTGCCCACATGAGCGCCCAGCACATTCTGGCCCTTCTGCAGCTGGGCAGTCACGTCGTAGGAGGTAAATTGTACACGACGGTGGTAGTTGGTCCAGCCGGGATCGAGGCGGTGGTCGGAGGCCGGTCGGCCATTCACGCTCATATTGAAGTGACCCAGTCCCGATGCAAATAGGATGGCGCGTACCGGCGTCCGCGAGAGGTCGAACGATTTGCGCGCGTAAATGGGCTTGTCTCCTCCGTCGCCAATCCACACAGCCTTCCAGCGGTTGGGCTCATCCTCGAACCAGGTGCGGAATATGAGGGCGGTATGAGGCATGTAGGTCTGGTTCATGCTGTAGGGAGGCAGGAGATGAGAACGGGGGTAGGCCGTGAAGAAGTGGTTTGGTGCGCTGTGGAAGGATTGATTTGTTTGATCCCAGACGGTCACTCGCCAGTAGTAGCTGCAAGTCGACTGGAAGCCGTTGTCGGGTTTGCAGATGATGTTGCGCTGCTCATTGCTCGTCACGTAGCCAGAGTCCCAGGCCAGTTTCGAGGGACTGACACTGTCATCACGCAGGCTCGACTCGTCCGTAGCCAGTACCACGCGGTAGGCTTTTTGCGAAGCATTTGGTTGGGTGGATGCGATAACCCAGAAGAAGCGGATCTCGTCGACGTCGATTCCCAAAACCTCATGGAAACCATGAATTCCGCAGCGCGTTATCTCCATGGTGGGTGTAGCGAGAGTGTTTCGGCGAGTGTCATGAGGACTGCCCCCAGCTGGGAGGTATTCTCATTTTGTCCCATTCCCATAGCCCAAAGAGGAAGCATTTTCAGTTACCCCTCCATAAAAGTGGGACGATAATGGAGTCAGTGGTCGGTGTGGGGAGGGGCAAGAAGAGGGGAGAGCGTCGAGAAACTCGCGTGAATTGACCCCGAAAGACCCCCAAAACACCGTCGCGGGTGAAACTAGTCTAGACCGCTTTGGGTCTTGGCACTCTTGGGTGCCTTAGTCAGTAATCGCTTAGTCACCGCTCAACAGCAACTGCCGGTTTTTACTTCCGAGGTTCTGCCGCTCGTTCATTTCCCCGACCAGCAGCTCTGCTTCCCCACGGGGAATCCTGGTCTGTCCTCGTGGACCATTATTGCATGGAGTTATGACCACATGCCGCCCTTCTGGCAGTCTGGTAGTGTGTGATCCAACTTAACCCCACCTCCAATCTACAATTCAATTCGTTGTCTAATCTTCGTGTTGCTGCAGAATCCATGACAAGTCGGACTTTCCGGTGAATACGGGACATCCGTCTACTGTCGATCCATTGCCAACGATATCACGGGTCGGCACCCGGCGAAAGGCTGAAGGAATCCCTCGCTGGACTTGGCGAGCTTGCTAGTTTCTTAGCAAGCGATCCTCTTTGTCACCACGGAAATTCCAAGAGAATCAACGGAGCGATGGCTGAGGGTTCGGACTGTGGATTCGCGTCGATGGAGCCTGTGCTCGCAGCATAAATTGCGCTGCTTCGCTGTTCGACATGGAGAGCCAGACAGCCTGAGTTCATTGTCAGCAATCTATTAGTCTAGGTTGCACTCGCATATACATCATGGGAAAGTTTGGATTTGCTCTTGCGGCTTTGGCCCTTCCAACAGCACTGGGAGCTCCTACAACCTCCCGCAAAAGCTCCAGCTACGTCAACTGGAGACAGTTCAAAGCCCACGGAGCCAACCTTGGCGGATGGCTGGTGCAGGAGTCGACCATCAACAGTGCATGGTGGGCTGAATATGCTGGAGGGGCTTCGGATGAATGGGGTTTCTGCGAGAACTTGGGTCAACAATGCGGACCCGTCTTCGAGGAACACTATGCCACTTGGATCACCACCGCCGATGTTGACAAGCTTGCGGAAGTCGGGATCACTGCACTGCGGATCCCTACCACCTACGCTGCCTGGATCCATTACCCCGGATCCCAGCTCTACTCGGGCAACCAAACCAAGTACCTGTCTGAGATCGCCACGTATGCTATTGAACAATATGGCATGCATGTCATTGTCGACATTCATGGACTGCCGGGAGGCACCAATGGCTTGACGATTGGGGAGGCGACTGGCCACTACGGCTGGTGGTACAACCAAACCAATTTCGACTACTCCCTACAAGCAGTCGACGCGGTGATCGACTACATTCAGAATTCCGGACACCCCGAATCCTACAGCCTGGAACCCGCCAACGAAGCCGTCGACAACAGAGATTTCTCTGTCTTCGGTACCCCCGCCGCGCTGACAGACAAGGCAGCGGCCTGGCTCTTGAAATACTACCAAGCCGTGATCGACCACGTCGCCGCAGTGAACCCCAGCATCCCCGTCATGCTGCAGGATAGCTTCAAGGGCGAGAGATTCTGGTCCGGCAACTTCTCCACCGATGCCAACATCGTCTTCGATTCTCACAACTACTGGTTCGACGATACGAATGCCACGTCCGTCACCCTGGCGAAAGACATCTGCACGCGAGCCAAGTCGGTCGCGGGCGATGGCAAATTCCCCGTCTTCGTCGGCGAATGGGCCATCCAGGCCGGTTCCAACAATACGTTCGCCCTGCGGGAACGCAACCTCAACACCGGTCTGCATGCCTTTCACCAGCACACCCAAGGCTCTTCTTACTGGACGGCCAAGTTCTATGGAAATGGTACCGTGAGCGGACAGGGTAACCAGACGGACTACTGGAATTTCGAGGGCTTCATCGACCTGGGCCTGGTGCATCTCGATAGCAAGAACTATCAGTGCTGATAAGGAGTCTGCCTGGTGGTGGTGGATGTCATTTTGTAAATATGTTATGCAGCGTGTGTCCATAGAGCTCGAAGATAGTCTTTCGAGCCTGAAGAATATTTATGCTCGAATATTTTCAAAGTCATTGGCTTATGCTTCAGTCTACTAATAATAGTCACAAATTCTGACGGCAGCAATTAGAACAACTTGACTTTGAGAATTGTCAACTTGGGACTTTTCCGGTTGGAGACTCAATGAAGCTATCCATGGTTTGCTGATACCGACCGCGCAAGCGGACGGTCGACCCGCCTTTTTCCTAGCTGGGTTAGACTGACGCGTGTTTGCCGTACGCCCCATCAACGGTCATGACGTCAGAAATCAAGGTGGTTCTCGCACGGCCTCAAATTGTGATCATGTCGACACGAGTACAGTACATTGCTGCACGTGCTTGATGGCCTAAGTCTGGACCTAGGCCAGATGCCGCCGTGTAAGTAGGCTCCGCGGTGAGACTACCATATTTCAAGATAGCTCAACGTGATCATCTCTCCATGTTCAGCATAGCGTTACGACGGAGGGCAATTTCGTTGGCTTACCACCTGCTATAATTTGCAACATAGAAGTAAGTATCTATAAAACCAATCTAGCAGACAAATTTCAATTACTATGATACAGTACACTGATAGCAATTAAATCCTATCAAGTCTAAGCACAAAGACAATGATCTACACAGATCAGAGAAGAAGACTAACTAGTGTACAGGCATGTCACGTCGATCGACAAGGTGATCGAGAAGACTGATTAGTAGATAGTGATGTTGTAAGCATCCAGCTCGTAAAGGAAGGTCTGGATCGACGCCTTGTCCTCGACACACTCCAGAGTGGTGCCGTTGTTCTTCCACAGGGGACGAAGAGGCCACGAGCAGATGTTCTGGTGCTCGCCGGCGTTGTCGCCAGTGAGCACGGTACCGTTCAGCGTGACGGGGTCGACTCCCTTCTCCACCCATCTCATGAGGTCACCGAGCGAGTCCTGAGGGTAGGGACCGTTGGGCTGCAGCGAGTTGGTGTTGCAGTGCGAGGCACCGGGCACCAGGTACAGGCGGTAGAACTCGTTGATGGCCTTGATCGATTCATCGTAGGCGTAAGTCGAGTTGGGGAACATGGTGTTGCGCACGGACTCGAAGTAACGGATCGATGACGACGCGGGGATAGAGTTATCGGATTCACCGTGGTAGTGAATAACCTTTCCACCAGCAGCCTGGAAGCGTGACAGGTCGGGCCAGGTCGTCTGCAGCACGTCCTCGTACCGCTGCAGGCCCTCCAGCATCCAGTCGCGGAGCACGTCGTAGGTCACGTTATCGAGGTTGGACAGGTTGTCGAGGTCCAGCAGCTGCAGGCCGTGAGTAACCCACTCGCCGCCCAGTTCGGAGATGTCAATGCCATAGGTCTTAGTAGTCGCGTCGTAGCTGGTTTCAGCGTCGGTGAACTCGGATCCAATTTGGTACCAGAAGTAGGCCTGGCGACCCTCGGAGTCCTTCAATCCGTCAAGGATGGTCTGCGCAACGCGGACACCCTCAGCGGTGATGGTGCCGTTCTGCGCAGGAGTCGAGACGCCCATGCTGGTGCTGGCTGCGCACGAGTACGGCTTTCCGATAGTGGACTTGAGGTCGAAGTTCAACTTGCAGAGGTCGCTGCGCGAGATGACTCCGTCTTTGCGACCATCCAGAGCGTCGCACCCGTCGATAATCTGCGTCACCAACTCGGACATTTCGCAGTTGGGGGGGTAGTATCCCAGAGTCTGCTGGACGACCTGTGGCACAAGATGGTTGACCTGTTGTTGACCGTAGCGAATGGCCGGGGCACCAATAACAGCACCGCTCCATTCTTCGGGAAAGCGCTGAAGCTGACTCCAACCCTCGCGACCGCCCTCAGAGCAACCCTGGTAGTAGGAGTAGAGCTTGTCGGTCATGTTAAAGAAGTTCTTGGTGAACGCCTTGCCAATGGAGGACATCTCGTGGTGGGCCTGGTAGCCGAACATGTACAGGGCATCGTAATTAGCGGTGCCGTTCACAAGAGGGTAGACAGACGAGAATTGAGTGTCGAAGCTGCCAAACCCTCCATCGGTGCGGCCAGCGACGGCACCGTAGGGCAGACCAGCGGGGACGTTGGTGGCGACGTTGATAGCGAACCCGAAGCCACCAGTCGAGAGCCAGCGGTTCTGGAAGTCCTCGGGGGATGGCATCCAGAACTGCAGCAGAACCTCGTCGTCCTTACCCGCATGGGAGTAGGTCATGGTGATGTTGCAGTAGTTGTAGGTGCCGGCAGGATAGTAGTTGGATCCAGCGGTGGATTCATTGTAGACCGGGGCTGCGGTGACGCTGGAGGGGTTAGTGACCACCCCCTGGGCCAGACCGGTGGAGGGAATCGCCGCCTTGGCGTAGGCGGAAGTACAGACATCTTCCAGGCTGACAGCCTGGGCTAGAGCCGCAGCTGAGATGGCCAAAGAGAGGTACTTGGCCATGATGAATGAACGATTGAGCAGTAGAGAACGAATGGAAGGAGTGTGGTGAGAGTGAAGAATCGAAGTCTTGGGCGGGTTACAGCGAGTTCTTATATGAAGCCATACCTTTTCGCAAACAACCAAGCATTCAGACCCGCCTTGGGCAACGTAACCAGTTCCACCGGGTGTTTCCACCGACTTTACCTTAATCTTATGCTTGTGAAGATCTTACGACCATTGACACAGGTCAAGTCGGCTGAGGGACGGAACGCCGCGTCAGGTCCGATGGTGAAGATCTCGGAGATAGTATGATAGTGGTGGCAGGACCAAGGCTAGATGATGGAGATAAGAAGCGTCGTCATGTCTCCATGTCTGGGGACCGGTGAATCCACAATCTGCAGCATAAAGTGTTTAAGCTTGTGGAGCTCAGTGTGGAGAATGGGGTTGAAGAACAGGAACAGTGGTCGATCACTTACCCAAAAGGCATAAGTCTCCGCAAGTAGTGCGAATCATCCCAAAAGATGCTTACTATCCCAATTCAAATGCCGTTAAGGCTTCTCGTGCAATAGGTTTCGAAGCTGTTTCAATGATATTATTGTGGTAAGAGAATTGAAGAACCCGTTCGTGGGTCCGGGATAAATCTTATCCAGACAACCAACTGACTAATATATCAGGTGACCGTCTAACTCAATAGTAAATCCATGACACAAACAGTACAAACAAGAAGGCAACCATGCCGGGGCCTAGACTAGCCTTCCATCTTCAGAGTCATCTCCAATTGTACGAACAAGATACTAGCAAATTCAAATCTTTCCATGATTCACACGTCCTTCCTTTGCAACCGAAAGTATCTCTTGCTCCAGACCCTCGACCAGTTGCCACTCAATGCCGGCCTCTCCGAGCATCTGACGTGCCGATGACTTATTGCTTATCGAGCACGGCGACAGCGAGCCGAAATAAACCTTCTCGATGCCTTTTCGCCCCTCCTTTCTTGTTTCGATAATTTTCTGCACGCAGGACATGTCACTTTCCTCATGCTCCACGCAAGGCTCAAAACTCATGTACATGATCAGGGAGCGATCAGGCTCAGAGGGTAGGACATCCCCGACCTCATCGTCTGGGACTCCATGGACGGCAGCGTAGTTGGAAAGACAGGCCTGCTCCGCATGGGGTCTCTTCACCAGCTCCATGGTATATCCTGATGATAGAAGCCGGTCGTCGTTGTACAGCTCGTTGTCGGTTCCCCGGACGAGTTTTCGCGAAATCAGGACTGCTCCGGCCCGGAAGAGGGCGGGGCGCGGCGGTGACAGCTTGGCCAGGTTAAGACAGTGGCGGAGATATGTCAGATGCGGACAAGGCTCCACGAGCGTACTATTATTCGCGGGCTCGGGATATAAAGCGAGAATCATGGTGGAAACGGTTTGACTGCTTCAACGGGATATTGGCTGCATGCGATTGCGCAAGATGACTGACATGGACAACCACCAGGGGTATCTTGAACACCGCATTTTATACCACGCACGATGCTGAACTCGGTACTCGGACGTTATCCCTACTCCAAGATATGACATCATAATGCCAGCTGACGCTATGGAACGTTTCGAGGAAGGTCTCTGAGGTGCACGATTGGTGATCTAGGGGCAAAGACCCGTGGCGAGGTATGTAGGGGTATCCCAACGTGGCAGGAGGGGAGACAGGCTCCTTGATGACTACTCATATAATCCTTATGGATCATCTGAATGTGATGTTCTTCTTGATGCTTATTGCGTGACTTCGTGACTTGATTTGTTCGTTTGCCCGTTTTCCAGCCAGCTGCTCAATTCTTCGTGACGTCAAACTGTCCCTTCCCCTGAGAATCTGTGGCCAAAACAAGAGGAGTTTCGACCTTGATAAAATTCTCGGCAGTCCAACTCATCACGGACATGACTGTCGGCTCGGCAGGTTGCCTACTACGATGGCTTTTGTTTCCGCTGCACGCCGCTTCAAGCGGAACTGTGACGAAAGAAGCCAGAACAAGCTTGTCTGAAGTCACACCCTCGTTTACCTACTCTGTAAAACACCCTCAATCAGTCATGGTATACTATTGTTGTGGAACGTCGAGTAGAAGGCAGGTTCCTGCGCCTGTCAACGCCAGCAGGCCGGGATCGAGGTCTCCTGTATCTTGCCCGTTTGGTCGGACGAAGGGCCTCGATCGTCACGACTATCTTTGATGTCTCCCACCACTAGGGTCTTCGGCGTCGCACAAGAGCTGGTGGGTGGTAGTCGATCAGAAGGAAGAATATACTCAACCAGGCATACCCAGTGATATCAGTTCCTGAAAGATAGCTTCCAAGATGCTATAAATCCCAAGGTAGCCTCGGCACTCGAATCTCGCGGACCAGTATCACAGCTTATGGATCAAATAATGACTGACACCAGATCACAGACGATCCAATGGGGATACCGATGGAGATCCTCCGAAAACTTCATCCTGGCGACAGTAGCCGGGGGGATTATGCGGAGTGAGTCCCCTTTATGCCGCAACCCATTGCGCGGCCCTTCAGAGAGCCACGGACACTGATCTCCAGCGATTACAGGCATGTTCCTCTGGAGCTTCATCATCCCTCTCCTTCCTTACATGCTAGAGGAGCGGATTGGCCTCGACCAATCCAAGACGCAGAACATGACGTTCCTCGTATTGGCAGAAACGGCCTTGACGTCTGCCGTGTCCAGCCCTGTCATTGGCACGCTCGCAGATCGCTGGGGTGCTAAAACGGTCTTTCTCTTCTTCTCCGTAGCTCTGGCGACATGTTGTACAGTAAGTGTGGCTCTTGCACGAACAGTAACGATCATCTTCGTCGCGCGCTTCTTTCAAGCCATCGCCGACAACTGCATGTGGATCGGCGGCCTGGCTGTGATCGGCCGGACCTTCCCAGCGCACAACTTCGGCAAAGTCATGTCAGTGCTGAGCGTCACCGTTGCCGTCGGCACCTCCGCGGGGCCCGTTCTCTCCGGAATCCTCTTAGAGAAGGGAGGCTATTGGGTGGCATGGAGCAGCGCCTTCGCCGTCCTCGTGGTCGACGCAAACCTGCGCTTGCTAATGATTGAGCGCAAACCCGAGGAATCAACAAGTCAGCCCGCTTCACTCCCTTCCTTCTCGCGTCATCGTCTCCTCGCATCCACTGACTTCACCCAACAGCCTCGCACAAGCAACCCCCGCCCTCCACCTCCAGTTCCGACCCCGAACGCGCCCCCTTACTCCCGCGCACGCTCTCCACCGACTCCTGGCGACACCAGCAACCCACCCCGCAGCCCAGCAGCGCGAACCCGACCGCAACACAGACCCCCGAACAAGCCGGCCTCCAATACTACCGCTACCTCCTCCGGCAACCGCGCTTCACCGCCGCGATGACCGCCTACACGTTCTACGCGATGCTCGTCGCCAGCTTCGACACCACCCTGCCACTGCACATCCGCGACGTCTTCGGCTGGGGCAGTCTGCCGGCGGGGCTGCTGTTCGTGGGGCTGCAAGTGCCCGGGATCCTCCTGACGCCCGTGTGCGGGTGGCTGAAGGACCGCGTGGGCACGCGCCTGCCCACAACGCTGGGGTTCCTGCTGCTGACCCCGTGCCTCTGGGTGCTGGGGATCCCCGGAGACGGACGGTTCCCGTGGGCGAGTGGCGATTCGCAAATGGGAAGGGCGCTCTACACCGCGGCTGTAGTGGTCATCGGGTATTTCTTCTCGGCGCTAAACGGGGTGGGGTTCTTGGAAGCTACACGTAAGTTTGTGCCTCCCACCCCTGTGAGTATTGCAACATCAGAGTGTACTGACCTGGTCGGTCTGGGAATGGGGATAGTCACCATCAACGACCTCGAAGCCAAGCATCCCGGCATCTTCGGCCCCCACGGCGGCCACTCCCGCGCCCAGTCCATCGCGTGGATGGGTTGGACGATCGGCATGTTTCTGGGCCCGATTGTGTCGGGCCTGTTGGTCGACAAGATCGGGTATCTGAATTTGAACTTTATCTACGGTGAGTTTTCCTTTAGGGAGAGAAAGCGCAGTCGATAGGGCGCTGACAACACCCAGGCAATCTGTCGCTCGTGTTTGCGGTGGTTGTCTTCCTTAGCTTTTCGAAGAAGCAGGAGTGAGAATTCCGCGGGCGCGTGGTGTGACTTTTTGTGTGGGAGCAAGGTTTTACGCTGTCGATTCCTTCTAAGGTGTGCTGTTGTCTTCGGGGTTATTGTTTATCATACGTCGGGAGCCAGGGAAAATTTACAGGGCAGACATGGTTTCTTGCTTGTTTTCCGTTAGCGCACTGCATCCTTTCGAGTATTGACTATGACTATGGAACTTAGCATGATATATTTGCGGTTCTACTATACGTACGTCCAAGCACTGGTCACCAATGAACAACATACATGCAGGCATCAAGGGCGCACCTGAAACTAGCAGCGGAAGCCCCACGCTTATTTCAACAACTCATTGATCATGTGTCCATGACTACGCAACCACAGTAGATGCAGACCTCTGATTAGATCTCGGTCGATTTTCGCCTGGTTGTGCTCCTACCCCATTGCACTAGCGGCAGCCAGGACGCAAGGCCGCTGGATCCACCTGGACAGAAAAGAATATGATCAACTGCCGTCGAGCCCCGTCTCGGAACTGAACCCAGGGATCGGCGGCGGCAGGTCGCATGGAGGGCAGGCATTTATTGCAGGGCGAGGAACCCAGCTTTGGAATGTGACTGGTCCAAATCCCGATAGCATATGCGGGCGCGAAGGAGTCGTATAAGAAAGGGGGGGAGGGATGACCGGGAAGATCCTTCCTTGGATTTTCCTCACATACCGGGGCGTAAGTCTTTTCAAATCGGGCACACCATGCTGCTGCTGGTTGCTGTTTTTGCTCGCCTGCTGCCTCTGCTGCCCCTGCTGCTGCTGCTGTCGGCCAACCCGGTCGCAGGGGCCTGTGGTGAGGATGGGGTCTACGACTACATCGTCATCGGAGGTGGCACGGCGGGAAATGTAGTCGGCGCTCGTCTGTCGCAGGCCGGTCACAGCGTCTTGATCGTCGAGGCGGGTGGCATTTATGAGCTGGACAATGCGAACCTGACTATTCCCCTCATGTTTGGCGCCGTAACTGGAGGGAGCCCGGATACAATCGATGCCCGCGTCGATTGGGGCGTGATTACCACCCCGCAGCCTGGCGCGAACAACCGTCAGCTGCATTATGCACGGGGCAAGACTCTCGGTGGCTCGTAAGATGGAAGTTCCCGTGTCGCGGTCAGCTGAGCTGATGTGGTTGTATAGGTCTGCGATGAATGCCATGCTATACCAGCGGTTAGTCACGCGTCTATCCCTATTGCTGTGCAGGATTGTTGACCACGGACGACAGAGGCACCAAGTCGACGTATCACGCTTGGGCCGAAGCCGTCCAAGATCCCAGTTACGAATGGGACGAGATTTTACCCTTCTTCGAGAGAACCTTCCACTTCACACCACCCAATCCAGACAATGGATTGGATAACACGTCTATACACTGGAATGCCAGTGCCTTTTCATCCGAGAACCCCGTTGAGGGCTCAATTCAAATCTCATACCCCAATTTCCGGTCGCCGTTTTCCACCTGGTTGAAATTGGGCTTCGAGGAATCTGGGATACCTGAGACCAATGACTTCGTCAGTGGCAGCTTGATGGGAACGCAGTATTCTGCCGCAGAGATTTCCCCGGTAGACGAGCGCCGTAGCAGCTCGGATTTTCTTCTAGGTCTGGCTGAAGAAGAGCCATTTTTGACTGTCTGCACTCGATCTCTGGCACGGCGTATCTTGTTCGATGATCAGCTTAATGCGCAGGGCGTAGAGATCGAAAAAGATGGAAAGGTTTGGACGGCGTCGGCAGCAAGGGAGGTCATTGTGTCCGCCGGAGCGTTCAATTCACCCCAAGTCCTCATGGTGTCCGGCATTGGGCCTCGGGATCAGTTGGAGAAACTGGATATCCCTGTGCTTGCCGACCTGCCTGGCGTGGGTCAGAACATGTGGGATCATGTCTTTTTTGCTCAATCCTATCCGGTCGCAGTCGAGACCTTGACCAAGCTCTTCACGGACACAACCTACATGACTGAACAGATTCTAAGATATCAGACTTCTCACGATGGTCCAATGACTTATGCCCCCAATTTCCTTGCCTGGGAGAACCTCCCGCCTTCCTATCATGCCGAGTTTTCCGCCGGAACACAGGAAGAATTAAGCAATTTCCCTGCTGACTGGCCACAGGCTGAAGTATGATTTTCTTCTGAGTAGGAAGTTTTGAACTATTGATTGCTGACGACAGTGGCAGTATATCGCATTCGATGCGCATGTTGGAAACTACAGCAATCCCGCAGAAGGTCAGCCCACAGATGGACGGCAATACGCCTCCATAGTCGGCGCTCTCGTTGCGCCAACATCTCGCGGGAATATCACCCTCATCTCCAACTCCACCAACGATTTGCCGGTAGTCAATCCGAATTGGCTCACAAGCCAGACCGACATCGAGGTTGCGTTGGCCATCTTCAAACGCACCAGAGAAATCTGGGCCAGTGACGCCTTGCAGTCGATCACAACTGGGCCGGAATACTATCCTGGAGCAAATGTGACAACCGACGAGAAGATCTTTGACGCCATCCGCAGCTCTGTCATCACGGTGTGGCATGCATCCTGTACATGTAAAATGGGGCCTCGGGAGGATCCCATGGCAGTTGTCGACAGTGAAGCACGAGTTCACGGCGTCCAGGGACTGCGTGTGGTCGACGCGAGTGCATTCCCTCTTCTGCCTCCTGGTCACCCTACTAGCACAGTCTGTGAGTCATGGTCGCATCAGGGGTCATACATGAATCGTGCTAATCCCTCTTACAGACATGCTAGCTGAGAAAATCAGCGCGGCTATTCTTGCGCAGTAGAAGAGACGGAAGTATCGATGACAACTGTAAACTGACCGTGTGACACCTGATCACAACCCATAAAGAAATATTATCAGTCCGCATCATGCGTCTTCCCAATATAGAAACAGCCGCAGTGCGTAGCAGCACGTAACTCAGAAAGCGAAAGGTCCAGTGCATTCTCGCCTGGACCTGCGGGAAAATAACTCCATTGGTCGGTTCTGGGCTTCACAAGCAGGTGTTGCCTGAACTTAGTCCTAGATTAAGCCATACTGTGTCACCGACCCAGTCAACTTGGCGGCGATCGCCACAGTTTCATGCATCACCGACAGAATAGAGTTAAGATTTGCCATGAGGGTGGTCGCTCCCCACCACATATTCAGTAACAGAGAAACACAGATTACGGGACTCGATGCAAGTAAAAGTGAATGTATCCGACAATAGAAGATTGATTGGCTGTGTGGAATGTGTTTGTTGACGAAATGACGTTGTGGCAATGGGTGCAATGGCCTAAGCAACCTAAAAAGTTACCAGCGGTCAAAACATAAAAGTTGAGATCAGCCTGGGTTGTACTCTAATGGTAGGAATCATCTTAGTAGCCTGGAACTGTTTTCCTTGCCAAATATACTTTCGAGATGAGAATCAATCTATTGTCTCTTTGCCTCCTCCCAGGCCTTGATCTCACACAAGGCCTGCAATTTCCACTCGGTCGGGCAAAGGCACACAAAGGTCACGCAGACGCGAGCTTGGTTCAATTTCTCGGGCCTTACCTTGTTGAGACCGGCTCTGTCCAGAATATCCAGCTTAATTTCGCACAGGAGAGCTTTGCAGGCAAGCTCCATGTCGTCTATGGGGACTGCAACTTAGAACAAGCAGCCGATGCAACTCAGATAGTGGGAAGCTTCGAGGTACAGAGTACGGAACACCCAGATCGGCTTGTATGGGTTGTACCCTCTGATGCACAGGAATCACAATGTCTGCTTGCTTTTCACGGATGTGCTATGGTTGGCCGGTCGCCGCCTATCTCTTTGGAACAAGCGCCAGATCATCCTAAAGAAGATTCTCGGATCGACAAGGACTCTGTAATCTGGTTCAATGCGGTCGAATACACTCGATCGCGGTTCCACGCCAAGGCGGTGGTGAATAGCGCTGCAGCGAAGAATTCCAGTATCGCCATCGTGGGCGCAGGCATCGCGGGGCTTTTGACCAGTCATTTGCTAAGCTCGGTCGGACTACACAACTGGCATATCCACGAGGCCTCCCAGCGTCTAGGGGGGCGAATCCGAACAGGCTACCTCAATGGCACCTCACCCGAGGATTATCAATATTTTGACATGGGCCCCATGCGACTACCCACCAAAATCAGATACACCGGCACCACCGAGGTCCTGCCGTTTGAAGATCGCCGACTAGTGATCAGTCTCATTGACAAGCTCAATCGACTCAATGCCGACCACCACCCGGAGTTAAAGATGGAGTTCCTTCCTTTCGACGTGATTACCGATGAGGAGGACGGGCCGAGCCATACGCTTAAAGACCTGGATGAACGCGATCAACAGAAGTATACCGAGTTCCTAGCTAACAAGATGTTTCAGGCTCACAAGGCTGCATTGGCTGTGGGGAGTACGCACTGGTCTGAAGGCGCATACCTGCGCCAGCTCCTGAGCCCGAAGGATCAGATGATTAATTACATCGCCGACCGGGAAGATACGCCTATCTGGGAGAGCCTATACTGGAACAAGTATTTCGCGGCCTCAAGCTGGGAAACTCTGGACAAAGGATTTGAGTCGCTACCCAGAGCATTCGCGCCTCATGTAACGGACAAGATCACGCTGGGCCGTCGAATCAGCGGGTTGAGCCATGACGTATCGACAAACAAAATCTCTTTATCATGGCGCAATGATCCGAAGGACCCGGAAAGCATGGATGAACATTACGACTATGCCGTTGTCGCTGCTCCGTTCAGCATGGTGCGTGCCTGGGAGTTGCCGGAATACCCCGAGCTCCTTAGAAGGGCGATTCATCAGCTGCATTTCACGCAATCATGTAAAGTTGCTCTGCACTACCGCTCGCGGTTCTGGGAGGACGGCAAGAATGCGCAAAATCGAGGCTGCGCCCGTGTGGAGAACTATCCCGGTATCGGCGATATGTGCTATCCCCCGTATCAAGTGAATAGCACGGGCCCGGCAGTGGTTCTAGCTTCCTTCACTACGGGTAACATAGCCCGGACGATGTCTGCGCTGGGAGAGGCAAACCACGTCGCTCTGGCGCAGCGAGGCATGGTTCGCCTTCATGGGAAGGTTGCCGATGAGGAGTTCACCGGTATGTGGGTTGGATCTTGGCATAGATATGGAGATGGCTGATTTCTGGTCTGATAGGAGTATACGAACGGCTGTGCTGGGAAAACGATGAGTTCACAGGTGGGGCCTGGGCGTCTCCCCTCGGCGATCAACAAGAGACGTTCCTGCCAGCAATCTATCAGACTGAATTTAAGACAATATTTATTGGGGAACATACGGCTTATACGCATGCGTGGCTTTCATCGGCCGTGGACTCGGCCTTTCGCGGCACGGTGCAGTTGTTGCTGGACCTGGGTCTGGTGGATGAAGCCAGGGAAATTGTGGAAACATGGGGAGCAAGATGGATCACATTGTAAGGGCTGCTTCAAAGTTCAAAGGCTTGAGACTATGCTGCCTTGAATGAGGACGCTGGAGACAAGGAGTAAGCTGGAGACTGGAGAGGATGTGAAGGAGTACGGAGTACAAGTACGAGGAGTGCAGCAGCTGCCGAAACAGGAAACCGCCGGCGGTGCGGGCCGCATCTGCGGTACCATTCGAATGCCCAATAATGCCGAATGCCATTAGGCGGTGCATGCATCACGACTATTCAGCAATCGATAACTTATAGAATGTCTATGGTTATTATGATGATGTGTATTTTGTTCTATTTGGATGTCTTTTTTATTCGGTGAGTATTGGAATCGTATTGGTTCACTTGGTAGTAGTGAAAGTAAACTTTACAGTAGGCAGTGGAAATATATTTTCTGAGGGAAATTGTTGAGTGCTCCAGGAAACCTTGACGAATAGGATAAATAGCATCTTGAAGCATTCTTTTATCAAACAAATAACTGACACTGCTAAATCTTGATAAGCTAGCTCTAATCCATTTTAAAGATGAAGAGGCCAAAAAAAAAGAGAGGAAGAAAAGGTGATGCGAAAGAAAAAGGCAAAAACAGAATGGGACGAGCCGGGCTTGAACCGGCCACCTTCAGATTTACGGCCGAAGTTAGTGCTTCAGTCTGACGCGCTCCCAGATGCGCCATCGTCCCAATTGTTAAAGTATTGCCATCTTATTTTGCCTCATATCTCAGCATTACCACATACACCGTGATCCTGGCTAATGCACACTAAACCTCTAGTAGCCAATGGCCGTCTTCTGCATCGTCCGCTCCTTTCCGCTCACTCTATATTAACTTATCGATAGATAACACAAACTTCATGGTCGAGACTCTTCTTCTGGTCAAATCCCATCTTCTTCAACCGCCTTACTTGGACATCCAACATTTGTAAACTAGGTTCTCAAAGCTGCTTCCACCTACAAGATCCACTCCGTCTCCAACATCTCCACATTTCGCCTTGGCATAACCTACCAAGTTCTGCTTCCCCAAATCTCCAACTCTGGTCCCGCGCCTTACCGACCGAAACCTGAGTCTGCGCCCTGCAGAAATCCTGTCGATAAGATGTGACTCAATACCGGTTCTTGAATCCGACACGGACTCCTTCTCCTCAGTGATACGGGCCTCACCTGCAAATTCTTCGAGTGATAAGCATCTGATTGGATGCACGGGTCCTGCCAGCTGCTTTGATGCGAGTCATCGGCTTTTCTGAAGACATCTATCTAATACAGTCACTAGATCCCGGGCTCTCCCCGTCTTTACAACCTTCTACAAATCCAAACGTACCAGACCACATCACCATGGCCTCAGCTACACTTCCGACATCAGCGATGTCCCAAAGGGCGCAGGATGTGATCCAGAAGGCCAGCAACAACGTCATGTGGGACGTGATGAAAGACGTCTGGTGTGAGACGACCAACCCAAGTGGCTACGTCAATGTCGGCGTAGCGGAGAACTCGCTGATGCACGGGATGCTGCTGGAACACCTGAACCGATCACTCGAGCTCCCAGCCAAATACCTCACCTACAACGACGGTGGCGGCGGTTCCGTGAGACTCCGCCGCGCGATGGCCGCATTCATCAACCGGCATTTCAGCCCCGTCATGCCCGTGACGGCCAACCACCTGGTCGTCACCAACGGGGTCTCCCCGGCCATCGAGCACGTAGCGTGGTCTTTCTGTGATCCCGGGGAGGGGATCCTTCTCGGCCGTCCATTCTACGGGACCTTCATTCCCGACCTCTCGCTCCGGTTCGGTGCGTCAGTGGTGCAGGTCGCCTTCGACGACTGCGACCCGTTCAGCCTCGAGGCCGTCGACAAGTATGAGCAGGCTCTGCTGCGATTCCAGACCGACACCGGCCGCCGAGTCAAGGCGCTGATGCTCTGCCACCCGCACAACCCGCTGGGACGGTGCTACCCACGTCAAGTGCTGATCGCACTGATGAGACTCTGCCAGAAGTACCAAATGAACTTCATCAGCGACGAGATCTACGCATTATCGGTGTGGGAGAACACCGTCGATCAGGCCCCGGCACCTGTGGCGTTTGAATCCGCCCTCTCCATCGACCTCACCGATATCATCGACCCCGCCCTCGTCCATGTGCTCTGGGGCCTGAGTAAAGACTTCGGCGCCAACGGGCTGCGGATGGGGGTGATAATTTCCCAGTTCAACCAAGACGTCCACGCGGCTTTGGGTGGGATCTCACTGTACTCGTATACTTCCGGGACGGCCGATCACCTGGCGTCACTGCTTCTCGAGGATGTCGAGTTCACGGAAAGGTACATTGCTAGAAATCAAGACAAGCTGTCTACGACGTATGCGTATGCGACGCGCCGCCTCAAAGGGTTGAGGATCGAGTATGCGCCTGGCTGTAACGCTGCGTTCTTCTTGTGGGTGAACCTGGGGAAGCGGTACGTTGAGCTGCATCCCGAAGAGGCGGGGAGCGTAGTGGGCGAGAAGGTGATGCAGCGACTACTGCAGAAGAGGGTGTTCCTCGCCAGTGGCACGTTGTTTGGGTCGGAGAAGGACGGGTGGTTTAGGATTGTTTTTACGCATCCCGTGGAGTTCTTGGACTTGGCTTTCGACAGGATAGCTGCAGCTCTACAGTAGCCTGCACTAGAATTAGATTAAAGCAATACACTTAAGAGTGTTTTGCAGAGCCCTGCTGCACTACTGTGCTGTGATTCTAAAGCCCACAATCGAACGGACGCATGAGCATTCATTCTGATAGCTTCAAAACTTGTTATAGCATCAACAACTCGAATTCACCGACCCCTCAACCAAAGCGCGGCTCCTGCTTGGCGCCCTCGACAGCAGCCAAATACGACGGCCGGTCCTTGACGTAGAATTCGATATCCACCTTCCCACCCAGGTTGGTGTCGCCGTTGTCCAAAGTACCCGCCTTGATCACGGTCTTATCGGCCATGACTTCGAGCTCAGTGTACAAGCTGGATCCGCAGGTCGGACAGAAGAAGTGCTTGTTGATCTTGCCGCTGGCACCGACAACGTCATAGGAGGAGGGTGTTCCTGTAAGCGTTAGAATTGACTGACGGATTGGGACTGGGGTCTGTCTGCCTCTACCTTTGTTAACTTTGAAACTCTCGCGGGGAACTACTGCGTTGGAGGTGAAGGCGCCGCCGGTCCACTGAAGGAGATTAGTTCAGCCCGCCTATGGCCCATATGCGATTTCATCCGGACGCACCTTCTGGCAGTCAGTGCAGTGGCAGAGCGCTTTCAGGTACTCATCGGCTGCGGGGAACTTGGTCAGCTCACGGTCCTGGTTTGCTGGGGTGAACATACTTTCAGCGGTGTAGGTGATATTGCCGCAGAGACAGCTTCCGGTGAGAGTCATGGCGTCGAATGATTAGAATATTGGGCTGGGGGGAGAAGATCGATGGGTGTGTTGAGAGCTGAGGGGCAGTTGCAGCTCCCACTCCAGCTGCCAGCTTTATATGACGATCTCCACCCCGCTTCGGAGCAGACACCGAGACGCCGAATTCAATGCCCCTCTTCATTCCCCGGTAACACCGCCCCAGCAGCCCTGGTTCTGGCACCGGGATAAGGTACAACCTGTCATGCTTAAGGAACCAGGTTAGATGGCCAAACCACGTCCATGTCGGTTGATCATGGTGACACGGGATATGAAAGATCTGGTCTAGACTCGGTGATTGACCGTTCGGTCGCGCGCGCAGTGTGACTTGGCTCAAGTCGCGGGGCGATGAACAATTGCACCGATGACATGGCTCCCAGTATCTAGAGATGAAAAGAGTCAACATAGGCCTCTGCGCCAAAGAAATTATCGACTAAGGAAATGGAAAGGCTTTAGTGGCTTACTCATATTTTCACAGCAGTCACAACCATGTGAAGACACAGTGTATCCATTGAGAGGCATGGCGGAAATCGCAAGGATTCTGGGCTAGAAAACTCATCGATATAGAATAAAATGATAATCGAGCTATAGCTGACTAGCTTCTGCCATCTTATACCTCTGGGCCGACTCCCAAGGTCCTTCGCGACAAGGCTAATGATTCAACGCCTCAGGCACGGGTATATGATGCCTTAGGCTGAAATCCGGACTCCGAACGCCGAACGCCGAGTCCCGAAGGCTAACCGAATACAGACCAATGGAGGGGAACAACGACAAGCTTGACAGGTAAACATCCATGACACTCGCACGCTCAAAGTGCCACAGGATGCAGACCTCATCATCTCACAGGCTGCGGCAGCTGGAGAGCTTCGAAAAGTAGACGGGCCCTTCACCCTCACATGGTACTGTACCATAGAGTCCACGTGAGTCCTGCATCTCCGAACAACACACACCAACTAGATACCACACGTCAGATCTGACCCTCGCAGTGAATCAGTTTACCAGATCAGACAAGATGCCAGGAGCAGGCAAGAATGTCCGACGACGAAACGGCAAATTTGCTTCTTGTGAACCATGCCGGAAGGACAAGGTACGCTGCGACCACGGAATCCCCGTGTGCTCGCGCTGCTTCCAACGGGATACGGCAACACGCTGCTTCTATCATCCTGCACCTTTGACGCGCAAGTCGGAGAGAAAGAACTTGAGAGCGAGCCTTTCGAATGGTGGAAATGCACAGGAGTGAGTGATACTCTGCAACCCGGGTCAATGCTGCTCATTGACGGTGAAACAAGGCTACAGGACCAACAAGAAGCCACGACAGACGTGATCGCGGTCGAAGGACCGAATCGAGAACCGTCGCCCTTCAAAGCGTCTGCGTGTAACCCTGAGATTGAGACACCGCTTCCTGCAGGGTATCTGGGGCCGACCAGTTTTCTCGATGCGTTTGCAGAGACTCGGGATACCGACAACCAGCCGCCCACGGCCACCCAGACCGAGGCCGCAGAAGCACTGCCCGCCTACTGGGCACACAAAGTAGCCGAGATTCTCCGCTGGCTGAAGGAACTGCCCATTATCGAGCACTTGGTGCATGAGTATTACCGACTCAGCCAGTCCGCCGCCATACCCGCCCCGTTTATCCTGAACGCATTAGCCTCCTTGTTAGGGGACACTGCATCAGCCACGTCCGTTCTCCACAACACCAGCAAGCGCTTGGTGATTCCACCGACAACAGAGGGTAGTGAATTTCATGAGCTTTTCACCGGTCGCCATCTTCGACTCGAGATCATCGCCATTATTGGTGCCATCGCCGGCAAAGCTAGCTGCTTCGCGCTGGCCCACGGCAAGGTGTCCAGACATTTCGGCCCAGACTACCAGGCCCGTTTCCCTCGAAGAATGATGACGATGTGTGACACGGTCCTCGAGGTCTGTCGGTTCCTTACACCGACCAATGATTTGACCGTGTGGCTACAGCACGAGAGCTTGCTTCTGTCTGGCTTGCTGCATGGTGATACAAGTGCGCTTACCCAGAATCTGGCTTGGGATTGGAAAGCTGACGAATGGATTCTGCACAGGCTCTACAACTTGGCACCGACTCGGCGAACTCTCCACCACCCTCTTCGAGCTCGGTCTCCACCGCGAATCCAACGATCTCCCCATCTTTCTCGCCGAAACTCGACGACGAATATTCGCCGCCGCGTACCAGCTCGACAAGACGGTCGCCACTTTCCTCGGTCGACCCCCGCGTATCTCCATCCGCCACTCTGATTGCAAGCCGCCACTCGATCTCGCGGACGAGATCCTCACATCCGACAGCGCACACCTACAACTCATTACCAAGACGCTGGACGAGAGCGGATGGAGCCTCCAAGAGCCCCCGGTCTTCCAGCGAGCATCCTGGATCCGCGTACGGTTCGAGCTCGGCACCCTCCGCGAGGAAATTCTCGAACTGTCTCTCCGCCCACCCAGCGCCGACACCGCCGCACAATTAAGGTAGCACCTCGGCCCTTTAAACACACACGATGAGATACTAACATAGACCTAGAGACATCTCCCTCCGCTCCGAAAAAACCTGGTCCTCCCTGCCGAAACACCTACGATCCTCTGCAGCTGCATGGAGGGAACCAGGCATCCTCTCCGTGAGCGCGCGCCTCATGCTAACGGTCGCCCACCTGGCGCACCTATACGATGAATTTCTCGTGCAGAGGCTGCTTCTACGCGAAGACAGTCAAGCACAGGGTGCACTGCTGAAGGTCAGCGCGCAAATCCTCTCGACGGTGTTGACGCTAGGAACATACGGGGAGGCTGCCACGGTGGACTTGCGCCGTGATTTTATTTGGGCTGTAAGATGCTTCGAGACAAAAAGCTTTGGCATCTAGGTGATTGACATTTACTGTGTACACAGGTCCTACTCTACGGCTTTCCCAGCGCAAGTGTGCTAGTGAAAGCACTGCAGACCCAGAGCCGAACTGGCCAACCGCTTCCCTATGTCTATGCCGGATCGCGAGCGGCGCTGATCCGCGACCTCAGCGTCTTCCTGTCACATCTGGAATCCATCGCGAAGACAGACAAGGTGCATGGGCTACTGTGTGAGCGCACGAGCAAAGCACTCTTGCAGATTTTGGACGAGGTGTTGGAATCGGGGCTACCGAGCGCACCGCTCCCTCCCTCCGAACTAGGCGATTTGTCGGATTTGGTGTCCGATGATTTGGGCTTACTTGGGGATGAGATGGATTTCTGGGGAGGTGTGGAGCCGGGGATTGTGTTTGATCAGTGGATACTGTGATTCGGTTGGCATGTACACTGGTGATACCAACCCCAGGACTGACTCCGATCTCCTGGTATCGTGGACTACGGTATTTGATAGTTGGCTATATCGACACCGTGAATATATTCAGCTCTATGTCTACCCCTCTAACATCTTACTATTGACCTTAGCATGTCCAGATCCTCTACCCGATCCAAAATACCATGATTATATACCGTCCAACCAAGACACAATCTACACAGCCTCATACTCCATCGCCAAGCAATCTCCTACCTACTTAGCCGACTGCGCAAAGATCTTCTCCGAAGCGTGCAACGCTCCAGCGACAGTGAAGGATGTAAACGGCGAAAGACAATACTGGCTCTACAACCGCAGAAGTCAGTAAGACCAGCCCCGCAACCACACACACGGGCACGTACCGTCAAAGCCTTGACAACCGTCAATTTCTCTTCCTCGGAGACATTCGCCAACTCGGCCAGCCCGGAGATGACCAACGACGGCGGCCCCGTCGGCATGAGCATCATACTGAACCAGAGAATGGGGTCATCGCCCAGCAGACTCGTCTTCGCGGCGAACACATACACCAACGAGATACTAATCCTATACTCCCGAAGTAGCAGCGTCAGCAATGCACTTCCTGCCAAAATGGAGGAGGAAACATACGCAGGCCACAGCACAAACCGCACGAGAAAGACAAACACGACAGCGCGCCAGGGGACGTGCCCGCTCTTGGCGCTGCGCTGAATATTCTGGAAGCTGACGCCGAGCTTCCCGCCCACGATGAACAGCTGCAGGGTGGTGAACAGCTTGCCGATGTTCTTGATGCTCAGCACGAGCCAGGCGTTGAAGATCCCGCCGTCCTCGTTCTTATTGAAGAACGCGCGGTGCAGCGGCGGCGTGAGGCCCAGCAGACCTCCCAGAAACAACCCCAGCAACATATTCAAAACGGTCGGGCTGTCGAACGAGAGCGCCTCCTCCTTCAGCTTGTCAGGAAGCAGGCGGAGGAGCGGGGCGCAGGCCGCGCGGGACTTCCCCCGGATCTGCGCGCCCGTCCGCCGGACAGACGCAGGGAGCAGCGGGCTCTGCTCATCCGCGCCATCCTCTTCACCCCCCTCACCTTCCCTATCACCCCTCGCATCTCCCTCCGCATCGTCACCCTCCGCATCCGCCTGCTGCAACAACTTCGGCCCAACCACATAGGTCAGAAGGTTACTCACCACCGCACAAATGAGCAGATAACTCTGCGACCGATCCACCGCATCGGACACACTATCCCCGTCTTTCAGCAGCCGCTTCAAACTCCCCGTACTCTCCAGCGACTGGATGAGCAACAGCGGCAGGGCCGTGGTATTATTGAACGCGCACGCGGCGGTCACCCACGCAGGGAGACGCAGGACGCGCTCGCCGAGCTTGCCGATCACCAGGGAGACGAAGACCACGATCGTGCTCCAGACTACGCCCATCAGTATCGTAGCCCATTCACACTGTGCCGGCCAATGCAACCAAAACTATGAAGACGAACATACCCAGGATAGGAAGATAGGTTAGTATGCTCGAGAGATGCAGGTTTGACCCGAGGTTCACGACCATCAGCGCCGGGAAGAAGAGTTTGATCCCGAGGCCGGAGACGTCCTTGATGGAGGTCTCGCTGACGAGGCCGGCGTAGCGGGCGATGACGCCGTAGGCCAGCGTCAGCAGGACGGAGACGCAGGCCTGGAAGGCGCCGAGGAAGGAGGTCCCCAGGTCTTGGAAGGAGACGGACATTGGAGCGCGATAGTGGTAGCGTGTTTCTACGTCAATTGGAGATACTGAGATCAGGGTACACGTGGGCGCAAGGATAGACTTCAGAGCAAAGGAGGGTCGAATGGGAATGTGATTGATACAGGAATTCCGGGGGGGAAAGGTGGAAGGAGGAAGTGGTGGGTGGAAATGACGTATGCTTCACGGGGAATGATGATGGTGGATCCACACGTCCGGGGTAAACAAGCTTTGGGCCGGAGATTTTGATGTCAATGGAAAGTTAATCTGGTGCAACCAGCGAGATTATGAGATGTCTACTGGTAGAATTGGATTACGGATGTTTGTGAGTGTCCTGTAAGTCACAGGGAAGCGCCAAAAAACTTCCGATTCTGACCAAAAAAGAAACCAAACGTCCTAGGAGAGGATCGAACTCTCAACCTCACGATTAACAGTCGTACGCGCTAACCAATTGCGCCACCAAGACGATTCGTTGGAAGTGACTAACTACCTTTGTTATATAACCAAAAAAACAATGGATCGAACTTATAGACACGCCTCTCGCAAGTAGTCTGCGTTGTGCTCCCGCCTAAGCCAAGCAGTCCACTATACTGACTGCACTAGGCGCACGTGGAGGACTACAGCAGACGCACCAACCGAGGGACCAGTCAGCCAGCCCAATAGTGATGGGATGTCTTGGTAGAGCACGCTTTACCTTCTCGATGGGGTCACCAGTATACTCGATGCGAACGACACCACAGGCACAAGATGATGTTGTCATGGCTTTTGCTGGCGTGGGAAAGTATGCAGGGGGGATGATATGTTGGATTTAGAAAAGTAAAAGAGAGAGGAGGGGGTGGACGTCTCCTAAGTATTAATTCTTGCCTGCGACTACACCACCTGCCGCCAGATAAAGGCCCTTCGTTGAGTTGCTTTTCCGAGTGTCCAGTCACAACAATCCTCTCGAAGCCAACTCGTTCAGCATACTATGTAGTGCTTCTCTCCCCACTCTTCAAGGCCCGACAGGAAAAGTCTCACTTGGTCTGTTCTCGGCATGGGAATGGGCCACGGATGAGAATCATCTTAAAAAGCAGTCACTGGACTTGTTTATAGTTCCTATTCCTTGGGCGCAGGGACGCGACCATGTGCGCCTCCCAACCAATCGGAATAAGCCCACTGGTCCACAACATCAGATGCCAGAACTACAGGCTACACGCGCACGGCCATCAACAGGACCTTTTTTTTTTTTTTTTTTTAGCATTTGATGTCTAGGTAGAACCCCCCCTTTTTCTTCCAAAAAAAAATGGAAGATCTCAATTTATTGTGAAAGAGTGGAGACTGATTTATATCTCTCAACTTGTACAAGGTGCAGTGGCGCCAGAGAAAACACTTTGAACCGGAGCCAGCCTATCTTTGTCTCGTCCAATCTCCCCTCGTCGTTTCGCCAAAATAGGCCTTGGCCAGGTTAGAACGAGTCAATTTCTCTGCACCCAGAAGGTATTGACGAATCTCTTCGATTGTCATCTCGGGTCGCATCCTTTCCACGTTCTCCATGATCCGTTGTAGCCCGGCCTTGGCCTTGCGGCGAATGTCCGCAATGTCGTGTCCGACCAGATGGCCGTCGCGTTTGCGAACCTCCCCCTTTACCATAACAGTGTCCACATCGGCCGGGCTGGAGTGCAGAACCGCCGTCGCAAGGGGATACGCCGATGCGCTCAGCGCGCGCTTGGAGGAGATGAGGACCACATCGGCCTGCTTGCCGGGTGTCAGGGTGCCGATTCGATCCAGCATTCCCACGGCTTCCGCACCGTTCCTCGTTCCCCAGCGGAGGGCATCGCGAACGCCAAAGTCCAGCTCGAGGGGCACCTGGCGGGTTCTGTGGACGGTGGCGTTGTCGAAACACCGCTGCATCTGCAGTGCGAGTCGCATCTGGGAGAGCAGATCGGGCGCCACCGCGCTGGAGGTGTCGATGCTTAGAGACGGCTGGATACCATGTTCGATGCACGCCCGGATGGGCGGGAGTCCCATGCCCATCTGCATCTCGGTTTCCGTCGCGATGGACACTTTACCCTGCGACCGGGCGATGAGGCCAATTTCCCGCTCCGTCAGGTTGGTGCAATGGATGTAGAGGTGGCCCGGCATCATCAGGCCGTGTTGCGCGCGTTCTTCGATGTCTTTGGTGCCGATGGAGTTCTCGATGGCGCACGAATGGGAGCAGCAGAAGAGCGCGTGCTCGTCGGCGAACTTGAGTTCCGTACGGGTCAAGTCAAAGGGAACTGTGCCGGGCTGACTGAGAGCCATTCCGATCTGGACGAGGGCGTCAGAAGGCGTTTTCGACTTGAGCTCTTCGACGTGGGCCAGACGGGCTTTCCAGCCGTCCATTCCAACCGCGGCGTTGCCGTATGCGTCGTCACTCATGGCAAAGCAGAAGAAAGCCCGGATTCCCGCTTTTTGCAACCCCCGGAGCTCAGCCTCTGCGTGTTCGCCGGAGTGGAAGGACTCGCAGGTATCAACAATCGTGGTCACCCCGCTGTCAAGCGCTTCCAACGCGCCCACGAACGAAGAGAGCTCCATGTCGGGGACACTCGTGGCTGGCAGCCATCTCAAGTAGGTGTTGGACAGGAAATGGAATAGCGATTGGTCTGCTCCCAAGCCGCGAGTCAAAGACATAGATGCGTGCCGGTGAGTGTCGACCATGCCGGGTATGAGGACCCCATCGGTTGCGTCGATGATTTCCGCGTCAGGGCTCTTGATATCTTCGGCCCTCCCAACAGCTGTGATGAGGCCATCTTCCACCAGCACCGCACCATTGGGGAAGTCTCCAAGCGAGTCATCCATGGTAGCAACATACCCCCCTGTGAACAGATACTTCCCAGCCATGGCGGATCTTGGGCCTTGGCGATTCAGATGAGAAGTGGTTCGAAGAAAAGAATGGGAAGGAGATAATAATTCACAATAACGTCGTCTGACAGGAAAAGGACGCATTTTTATGCTTTTCGGGGTCCCCCTCCGCCAAGCAAGATGTCCTGATCATCCAGGCCTACGGATCCTGCTTTTGGAAGCCGGCAAGGATGGTTCCACCAGCCATCTTCTCCCTTTCGCGAATGGGATGTATTCTGCCACAAGCAGGTCCGCCAAAAGTGAGACAGATCCATCCAAAGAAGAGATCCTTTACGTGTAGTGGTCTAATGGCCCACGTACGCGTCGCTGATCAGTTCCTCTCGGGGTGCTGTCAGCGAGTTGGTTCACTTCAGTACCCTCGGCCTCGACTTGAACGAGCTGGTAATGCATATGAAAATCCGCTATTTTTCATTGCGGGCGAAGTCCGAGCCGTAGGGGTGTTAAAAAAGTGGATCCGATGTTTTACTGGGAATATCCCAACGTGAAACTATCCAATCGGGGTCCTCCCACACTGGGGTGTTCTGTTGTCATTGATGTCCCGGTGCAAATAGACTGCGCAGGTGCCGCATAACCTGTTCAGCGCTGGGATCACAATCCGAGTAACCTCCGAATTTGTATTTTCGCTGAGCTGGCTTGAGTCCATCGCTGCCTTTCCTCCTGGCTTCTATGGCATCGCCTGCCTTGTATACCTCTCATTGCGGACCATGGCGGAAGCCCACAAGGAGCCCGTGGGATTCTTCGAATCTCGCATCAAGGATGTCAAATGCCGTGTTTATTATCAGTGGGCGACAACAGGTAGGAATTCCAGCATGGTGGCCGGAAGGAAATGGCACATCTCGCTGACTGTCGTACTCGGTTCTTCAGTATTGCTCCTATGTATCGTGATTCTCAGCGTCATGTCCCTTTTCGGGCATCGCAGTTCCGCGTCCCACAGAAAATGCACAACCTGACCGTTTGGGTGGTTGATTTTGATGGCCAGGAAGAGACTCGACATGATGTGAGGGAAGATCCATTCAGACAGTTACAGTAGGTGTAGCTCATTCCTGTAACCTTGGAAAGCCGGTCTCTATCCCTGGAGCACCGATTCCGACTGACCTGGACAACTACACAGTCAAGCAGGCAGAAACGACAAGTAACTCGTCGGAGCCCAACGGTTTTCTATAAAACCGACGTGTGTCTGCATACCTCCCGGAAACAGGATTTCGCCCAGGTAGTTTGTTTCGGTTTGTTGCATTGGCTGAATTTAGAGTTTGTGCGTGAAACGAGCTTATGCTGATTGATGCTCTTTTCGCCCTTAATCTCACTGCATTTGCGATTCTTTCTCCAGTTTACAGTATGGGGTCAATCAATAATGTCCCGCCCCAGCCCCGTGTGTGTGTGTGTGTGTGTGTGTGTGTGTGTTGTCAAGATGTGCAACGGGGTCCAAAGAACGTCAAGGACACCGGAGAACGGCCTTAGATGGCATCAAACTCAATAGTCATTGCTTATCCCGATATACAAGGGGTGTCAATCGGCCACCTCGCCTACCCGTCGAAGCAGGCGGTTGAAAGCCTGCCACGACCGACTTTCAATCCCGCTGAAAAATTCGTCCGAGTCGGTGCGTAAAAGCACCTTGGCAATGAGCCATATTTCGTTAGCCCGGTTCATGAAGCCGGCCAGCTCCATCTCTTCGGTGCTAATGCGTGACATCAGCCTCTCCCATAGCAGCTTCCATCTGGACAAGGCGCGATCCAGGGAAGGCAACTGTACTTGCATCATCCGGCTTGCAAAGGCCGAGAATATTACCACGTGCAGCCCTGGGAAACCATGAGTCTTGGTACTACGGTTCAAGGTTTCTGCGGGGTGTGGATACAGACCAGCTATCACAGTAAAAAGCCCGAAAACACCAAGGTTGTTGAGTGCGGGATGGCTTGGTCCGTCCCAGGCACCATTCATGAGGAGATCGATTACCTCGGGGACAGAAGGTGACCGTGGGATGTTGGCGCATGATGACGAATGGTAGTTGGCAAACAGGAGCTCGTTGCAGGGCAAATCTGCCTTTGATTCTGCGATCGTGATCATCGGAGGAGAGCGTAGACATACTACAAACTGGCTGTCAAGTAGCAGAATGAAGGCGGCCGTTCTGTGTCAGGGGATCAGTAATGCAAAATCGAGGCCGTGAAGCAAGCCCTAGACACGCGAGGTTCACACGTGTCTGCTATATTGCAAGGATGCGGGTTTACCTGATCATTGACTCCTTCTGGCAGGCCCGAGGTTTCCACGCTGACCGTGGCGACTCGTCATGGCGCCGACAACAAAAAAAGGATCGGGACCGCGCGGCATGTACTAACATGGGGAATCTCTGGTATCTTACTCTTTGCAGAATGCCAGGTTGATTGCGCCCGATTTGCAAGTGTAAGAGAATTACGCCTGCCTTTAGTGCCTCGTGTTCCTCTACCTCTGAAGACGGAGAATTCCTTTGACCTGGGTTAAATACTGGCAAGCTGAACAAAAATTCCTCGGCAATATCAAAACAATCCACGGCTAGATCAAAAGTATCTCTCGGATAGGAGTGTAACGAGCCGCCTAGAAAAAGGACCAATAGCAGTGGCACAGTTGTAGATTGAGCCTGCAATGCTGGGAGGTAAAGGATCGGACAATGTCGGTGGCAATGTTGCAGGTAGAGATGCGTAAATGCAAGTATGTTTTCGGCTGAGAAAAGATTCTGGTTGACGGCATTATCCAGATGGGTTCGTGAGGGGTTGCGGGTGGCAAAGCTCCTGAGAGCTTCAAGCACTTCTTGCGCGCGTTGGGTGAGAGTCTCGCCCACTATGTTGTCTTTGGGTTCTTTGGGTTCATCAGGAGTTGCATGAGTTATCCCTTGGTTATCCGGCTCAATACCCATAGGCCACCCAGATGAGTAATACCCCAGGTCGTCTTCAAAGGGGTAACAATCCGCAGTTTCAGGAGCTATATTGGCAGCCTGGCTCCCCAGGGTGGGCGGGTTAGAAGACTCGACAGTCCTTGCCTGCCCAGAATCAAGCGCCGGATACATGTCTAAGAACGTGTTTTGGGTATTGTAATATTTTAGCAGGAACGGAATCCGCGCCTTAATCAAGGTATCTTCAGAGTCCCCAGGCGGCGCAGAGGCGCTCTCCACTACCGTCCTATGGGCAGCTCCGACATCCTGTTCCGGAGGAGGCATCCCCGGCAGAGATTCCTGGAAAAGAGGCTGGACGCGCGTATAGAGACATACCAGGGCCTTGCTTTGGCAGTAGCCGCACGGATATTTCATATTACAAGATGCTTTGTTGTAAGCGCAATTATCACAGGACTGTCGCGGTCTTCCTTTCTTCTCGGTCCGGGGAAGTGGCCGACCATGTCTTTTCGGACATGTTTTCGCATGGCGACGGGCAGTGTCCCTAGTCAGGGCTTTCTTAGCATGCTTTGTGTCTCGAGAGAAGGTCTAGACGCACTTTCGGTGAAAGCTTGTTTCGCAAAAGAAGCATTGGTGTGGTTGTCGTGGAAAATCTAAGCAGTTCGTGCTGGGTCAGCAGAGCGGTACTACACACATTAGGAAAGGAAAGCCTACGGGATTCCTCATGTCGACGCAAATGGGTGTTGGTGGAAAACCTGGTGAGGCACTGCCTGCATATGAAAGGAGCAACCATGACGCCAAAGCCGACGAGATAAATGATGAATCAAGAACAAATGCAGACAGATCTACACACCTGGTCCACGTGAGGAGGGGGTGCCTGAGTCAGCATGTGGGACATCTCCGATTGGTTTCCAGACAGGCGGCCAGCGACATCTACCCACTGCCGTTTCATTACTATCTATTATGAGCATCTACTTTCGTGCCAACATTGGGATGAAAGGCTACTACAATAGCACAATTCACAAAAGGGAAAAATCAAAAACAATGATATTATCACTCCAAATTCCATTTACATTGTCTTCGCAAAAGTGTGAGAGTTGTCAACTAATATCAGCGGTTATCCGAGTAACATAATCCACATGCGGGCTGGCCACACAAGCGGCCGGCCAGCTAGCTAGGATTTTCAGTCAATATATTTATAAGGTTAAAATCTCTTTTGCTTGATATTAAATTCTTATAAAGTATTTTATATACATAGCTAAGTTGATTATAATCAGAGCAGGAAGATAGCACACATGTCACAAAGCACCTTTGGGTATGCATTTTAAAAAAATAACTATTATACTATCAGTAAGAGAACTAGAATATAAGGTTAATAGCTTTATACTATGTATATTATATAAGATTATATCAACATAAGATTTAAACAGATTAGATATTCTTTTGATAGAGTCCGGTCAAAAACGGGAGAACATGCTCTGAAGAGTAATACCTATTTTAAGCCCAACAGCATTAGGAGTAGGTACAAAGAATGCAACACAAGATGATAAGAACTTTCAGTTATTTCAAGAGATAGTTGTAGGAGGGAGCCACTTGCCACTTTCACACAAGTGAGACTTAAAGAAATTGGTAAGTCAGGAGATAGATGGCTGCCGACCCCAGGCTCGGTGGCCTCTAGTCTTCCACCGCGCAGAACAAAAGCATAAGTGAGCTCAAAGTAAAGCCAGAGATGTGCAGAAGGTCAGTAGTGAGATGTCAAATATCGCTCTGGATTGTAATGGCAGTTAGGAAAGGATTCTTAGAAGTTCTTCCAATAAAATTCACATCCCTTGTTTATGTAAAGTGCCGACGAGGTCGGACTCTCATAGCCATGTGAGAACTGATATCTATTGGCAGCAGTTCACGATGAACAAGTATCACAGACCAACCAGAACCAGAACTGTTCACTGTTCAGAGTTGTCGTCCCTATCAAAGTATCATCCATTCACTCTCTGGCCGATCCCCCCAAAGGCATTGCTAGTGAGAAAACAAAGAATTCACCAGGCCCGCTATAACACACAAACACCGCTCCACGAGAACAAGATGGGGATCTCCATCAACATCATAAAGACAGTCAGAAACTCTCCATGTCGATGAGTCCTTTCAAGAAGGATACCTGAAAGAATACATCGAATATAAACCTCAGCGCTCAACCTGCCTCCATCAGCACCCTACCACCCACGTCCCGGTCGACATCTCATCATCTTGATATCCACCAAACATCGACCCGCTGACAGACCACCAAATGCAGCCCTTCCAAGAGAAACGCGACAGGCTCAGCACCCTCAAGGGCCCGGAGTACTTCCAACTCCTAGCCGAGATCCGCCAGGACGACAAATGGTACAAGAAACTGCGGGAGGTAGTGGCCAGCAACCTGAGCGACCGCGACAGCGACAGCAAACTCGCCCGCATCTGCACGGTCCCGGCGGAACGTCTCAGCCCTTTGAAGCACATCCTCGACCCGGCGGTGCTATCCAGCGTGGTCCCCTACGAGTACGGCGGCCGGGCCGTGGATGTCGAGATCGCGGGCTGGGCGGTCTTCGAGGCGACGGGGCTCGCCATCTCGGGCCGCGTGTACGGGGTCCCCGGCGTCTGGGGCATCGATCAGGACTTCCTGTCCGACGGGCGCCGGTGCTGGAGCGTGATGGTGTTCCAGGGCACCGAGCTGGACCTGGAGCAATTCCCAGAAGTACTGCGCGACGCAGATTGGTTTATCATCCCTACAGGTGAGTCAACTCCCGTGACTGGCAAAGGGGGTGGATATTTGGGAGCGGACGCTGACAGTAATCAGACCACTGACGATCAAACTCCCCTTCCCAAGGAGACCCCTGATGAAACCGGGGAAGAGCAAACTCTGGTGCTCAGGCCGGGCAAAAAATCTCTGCCGATCCGTACGAAAACCCCACCCATATAGACTAAGCTTAACTGACTCTCCGAGTCTTGATAGATCAAGCAAAGTACTATGAGGCTTTGAGATGATATGATGAAGTATCGATTGGATTTTTCTACTTTATGCGCTGGTCGTCCATGACCATCTTTGTGCCGTATGATATTTTTCTTTCCTCCCCCACTCTCAGTATCGGATAATAGATTCTATTTATTAATATACCCTCTTTTGATCTAGTGAGCTTTGTTATCCTTTGCTAGGCGTCATCTGCTGTCCTTATTTTTCCCTTCGTGATTAGTGCAGATTCATAGGTGCGCGCGGACAAACGATCTTGATGAGATACATGATGCATGAAAAGTAAAGTACAGTAGATGGGCCCTCACCGTATCACAAATCCAGGGGCCGCTCAGCGCAAAGAGTTCTCCCGTTCCCCCAGCTCCGAGCCAAAAGCGCCGGGTCCCAGCATCCCCATCGACACCAGGAAAGAGCCCTAGCCGGCAGGGGCAGAGGCGACGCCTGGCTAAATACCAAGCTACCAGGTACTATGGAAAGGCGCCGTTTAGCCATTGCTGATCAACTTGTTGTACATAGAACGTAGACGTCCATAGTACATCGGAGTAGCAGGGATCCACTGTAAATAAAACTCCAAGGGTACCTTAGGTTCCAAGTTAGGGCAGCGGGGCAAAGGCTTCCATGTTCATTGAAGCCGATGACCGGACCGCCAATTAGTCGATCATGATTGACCCCTGAGCTTCTACAAACCATCAGTGTACACAAGAGTCGCTCATCTTTTGACCTTCCAAGAGCTGAAGAACTTTCGAGAAGCTGTGGTAGAACAATTATAGCAGTTTGAATCGGTCTGAGATATAACTTTATCATTCCTCATCTCCTGTAGGGGCTGCAAATGCTAGTGAGTAGAGAGGTCTTTCCTCTCCCTCTAGAAGAGTGCGGGGGCCGGCTCCGCATGGTCCGCGTCAAAGTTTAAAATAGGCCAAACTCTGCCAGGTAAGCAGTTGAAGATTCTTGTCTATCTTGATCCTTTGTTCGCTGAAGAGAATATGAAAGTACATCTTTAAATAGTGCTTGACAGAAGAAGGTCTTTCTGGTGGTCCTTATCAAAATTATCGGAGTTTGTCTATATCAGAATCTAGATTGGAAATAACTGTACAGAGATATGTTTTGTGTAGTTTTCATGAAGGTTCTCAACAATCACTAGCGACCAGAACTGAATATATGTTAACCATATATCTAGTATCTTTTGAGCTTATCCCCAATCCTCCATTTCATATACCTTAGCCGTGGGATTGTATGATAATACATATTCAAGAGAAGTTCTCTCAATCCTCGACCATGTGTTTGATACAAAAAGGACAAACACCGGCCAGTACTATACACATATACCTCTCCGGGACTGTGATACGTTCCGAATGACCCTCGACAACGCGAAGTTTGTGGGACATGAACCCAGGAATATCGCAATCCTTCTACTCGAGAACTGGGCTACTTTAGAAGCCGAGAAGGGATCACGGACAAACTCGGCGTGTGGATATTGACCACGGGTAGTAAGCTCTCCGAAAGCAGCATCCCCTTAACCCATATCGTACGTGGTATCTTTGGGAGTGTGTTGTAGTTGACATCTCTGTAATTCATCGTCACGAACAGCTACCGAAACTGTAGCTGACGCGCAGGTACAAGACATCATATAGGATAATACATTCAATCCAAACATATTCCAATAATTTCTGGTCATGAATGACACTCCTCCTTTTATGCCAGGTCGTGTCCCTCGGTCTTATGAAGTCATTTACCAATATCAGCGTGAGGGGAATACACAATCCGGTGTGCGATCATGAACGTCAGGCTATCCTCTCATGGCGGACCGTGGCTTTCGGTAACTGGTTCAGGCACGAAAATGGGAACGCCAGCTTGGCCACTGTGGCCACAATAGGGAAGGCTTGCGCGCTTTAGGTTCGGTTCCACGGGTTTGTACTTGATGGTTAGGGGGTGGCGACTCTTCCATCAATATTCATATCCTTTGCCCTCGCCGTGACAGCCATCCCGAGGGTAATCCCGTGCCAGTCATCCATGGTTCAAAAGTCAAATTTTTTGTACCATCTCAAAAAGTTTCCCCTGGCTCATGGAAACCGCAGGGAGCCCGGTAGGCGCAGGGTATCTATTTATTAGCCAGTTTTTCCCCATCATGCATCGAGAACTGGATTGCAACTCCTTTCCCGCAAGGGGCCGTCACGGACGAGGACCATCACCAACACCACGAACACCATGGCGCACGAAAATACCCTTGAAGACCAGGGGGGCGTTGCAAAACAGCCCTTCGTTTCCTCCAGCGAAGTCACGCTGACACCCCCCTACTGCGTGATCAGCACCCCGCGCAAAATCTTCATTATCACCCTGACCAGCCTCGCCATGATCGCCACGATGATCGCCACCAACATTGTCCTCCCCGTCCTCCCCATCCTGCAACAGAAGTATGGCGTCAGCACAACACAGATGAATCTCCTAGTCACCGTTTTCTCCCTGGTGCAGGGCATTACTCCGGCTCTGATGTCTTCCCTCTCCGACCTGCAGGGCCGCCGCCTAGCCTGGATGCTCACTTTAGCCCTCTACACAGCTGCCAACATCGGCCTTGCCCTGCAGAACAGCTACCCGGCGCTCATCATTCTCCGCGGTTTGCAGAGCCTCGGAAGTAGCTGCGCGATCCCTTTCGGATTCGCCGTTGCAGCGGATATCTCCTCGCCCGCGGAACGAGGCCGGTATATCGGACCCTTACAGGGGTGTGTGATGGGGGCGTTTGCGTTCGGCCCTGTGATCGGCGGTCTCTTGGAGCCAGCGTTCGGGTGGCGGAGTATCTTTTGGTTCCTTGGGATCTGTAGTGGGAGTGCGCTGCTGGCTTATTTCGTGGTCATCCCGGAGACGGCCCGGAGTATTGTTGGCGATGGCTCGGTTGAACCTGTCGGGTGGTGGCGGCGGCCTCTGGTGCAGAACGTTCAGCGAGGGTCGAGCCGTGATCGCGACTCTCGACATCCATACACGTACGAAAAGGACCCGTCACCCACCGGAGGCACTGAGAAGCGGCGGATCGACACCGCGGAGATACTACGCGCGTTTACGCTTCTCGGTGAGAAGGATGCCTTGATCCTTGTCATCTTCACCAGCCTGTTCTATGCGGGTGTCACGGCCATGTGGGCTACGACTGGCAGCCACTTTGCCAATATGTACAGGTTAAGTACACTGGAAGTCGGCTTCTCCTTCCTGTGAATACCCCCCTTCCGTCCCTTGCCCTTTGCATCCGATCCATCCTAGAGCTAAGGATAAACAGACCCTATGGCATCGCCGGCGCCATCGGCTCCATCCTCAGCGGCCGGGTCCTCGACTTCAACTACACCCGCATCCAAACGCAACTACGCCAGCAGACTGGAAACCTTGAAGACCCCTCCAAGGACCCCAGCGGAGATGATCCTTTCCCCTATGAGTGCGCCCGCCTCCAAGTTGCTGTCCCCTTTGCGCTCCTCGCCTCAGTATCCCTGTTGTCTTACGGCTGGATAGTTCAAACCCACTGCTCTCTCGCCGCCGCGCTCGTCTTCCAGAGTCTGATCGGCTTCAGCGGGACACCCCTACTCGGAATTATCTACACATTGCTGATAGACCTTTACCCGACCCAGGCGGTTGCAACGCAGGGAGCGGCGGATCTGGTCCGGTGCTGGCTGGGAGCGCTGTTTGCGGCCGTCATTGACTATATGATTGATTCGATGGGGTGGGGATGGTCATTTATGATCCTCGGGCTAAACATGATTCTTGCGATGCCGCTGTTGGGGGTCTTGTACCTTTATGGGCCGAAGTGGAGGAAGAGGAAGCAGGAGCGGGTCAAGGCGGGGACTTTGAGTGTCGGCGTGTCGTCTCCTATCTGCGGTATCGATATCCAAGCTTCGACCAGACCATCAGAATAATATGCCCTAGATTTGAAATTGGACTGTGCGTTCTTTCTAGTGTGTTAATCATGCAGTGTCTGTGACTCATTCGCCCCGGCTTGAGAGCTGCGTAAGCGTTGGACACCAATGAGGTAAACAGCTATTTCTGGTTCAAGATGCTGTCAAACTGGGACGGAAAATGGCCTGATACCACCACCTCCATGTAAAAGAGCGCCTATGATTGACTTGGCGCGTTAGTCTTGATTAGGCGCCAGAACTCCTAAGTCTAGGAGTCTATGCCGAGAGCCTAGCAAATAAATCCGCCTTTTAAATAGTATATTTATACTGTCTAGCAGCTATAGTGACAGAGATTCCAATTGCACATTGTAGTGGCCGATTGTGCTATTCCAAATCTCGTGAATAGAGGATTATAGAGCAACCTGTCTAAACAGTTTTCTTCCATTCGAATAAAAGTCTTCATTTCTTTATTTTGCAAAACTAGAAGCACTATCTGGGCTATTATTAATGCATTCTGTATGTGGAATTTGGACAGTCTTGATCTTGTGGTCTTTTATCAGGTCTTCATTAATAAAAAGGTTCCTGATTTTTTCATCTCTATATCAGTATTATACATCATATTAGTATTATGAATCTAGAAAAGTATTAGTTTATATACCGTTTAAGCAATCTGCTTTTGTTATATATTCTACTGCAGTACATAAACATAATCTAGTTAGAGATTGTTAACCAGGCGAATCAAAGCAATCTCGCAGCAACCGGGGTTTCTGGATATGTACTCTATAAGTAATCTTTAAGCAGCCTAGAGTATATACAGATGCTTTATATACTGCTTTTATCAACGGCAGCATATTAATTAGGTAGGCAAACGCGAGTCGCAGCAAAATGGTTCACTTATACACAAGTGCATAGCCCCCATATTTCACCCGATCTAAAATGGAGATGATCATCAAATTCCGCCAAAGAAAGAGGGGTATTGCGTGGTTCAAGGGATACCCCTGTCGGGACGGATTAGTGATCAAATAGGAAGGACTGTACCTGTCACGAATAATCTAATTCGATCGGGACACTGAAGACTAGGCCAGTGGTTGAGGGCAGGTCGCTGTCGACCACGAGTTGCTGACAGGCTAGGGCGCAGATACACGGCATCTCAGCCTGCCTGGCTGTGTTGCTTGACTCATTCTTGAATGATGTGCGATTGGAACAGGTCTCAGACTCCAAGACCTGCCACAGAGCCTAAGCACGATGACGGAACCGGAACATGCGCAGTATCAGCACTGGCAAGTGTCTCAACAAGACGACAAGCTGAATACTCATCTATTTGTTCTTGGACTAGCTTGCCGAAGGTAGGAACCTTGTTGCCATGAGGCGACCGCGAAGATGCACGTGGAAAGTGCAGGCGAACCCCGTCTGGGGCAGCAAGGAAAACGGGGTTTCAGCCTTTGTGTCCAGTACTCTAGTGCTCGCGGAAAATTGTACGACCACAGCACGCCCAGACCTACATGAGTATAATGAAATTAGATTGTCAATAGATGAGGGCACATTTGAAGAAAAACATCCGACACGGTGGAGACTCACTTTTGGCCCCCAAGTACTGCAGCAGCCAATGTGGATGAGCGATGGTGGACAAGCGACATCCACCGTCGTGCCTCTAAACAGGCCAAAGACTCTAAATTAGTGCCGGCATGGCCATCCTTTCCCGTTACGGACATCCTTCCCGGGACTTTTCCTTCACACCTGCCGATCTCCACTTAGTCAGGGTCAACCCCAATGCTTCTCAACACTCAATTGATCCAGCCGTGAATCCCCGTGCAGCTCTGTTATCTTCCTGCTCCGCTTTTCTCCGCTCGCTGACCACCTTCTGCCATGGTCGCATTCTTCACGCCTCCTGTCAGCATGCCATGTGAGGGTGGAAGGAATGGTCTCGCTATTTAGCCGATAGTCTGTCCGAAACTGACTTGTGTAACCATCAGCACAGCGGAACGGACCATTGAGCGTGGGAGAAATGATAGTAAGATCCGGAAAAGAGACAATTCTGGAGGATCGAGCGTGCCGCAAAAAAGGCATGGCACTAGATGGACGCAGTATTCTGATCGTCAACTCACCATCTTCCTGCACTGGTCTCTTTTGAGCGACTTCTCCTGCATGAGAGCCAAGCCGACCTAAGTCCGTCGCAAATTAGTGTCTGCTTTATGTGAGGGGATGTACATAGCGGCAGGGGGGAGACAGAATCTGATTTATACCGCTGTCTGTCCTGAGACAGCCCTCCCCCAGCAACCCATGCGTCTCTCGTGACAATTTTTTCTCCGCTCTGCACTCATAGCAGACTCTTCCCTCTGGTGACAATCTGGCTGATGCGTGATGGCCGGCAATGGTACCGAAACAGCGGGTTGGGTTGACGCGCCCAATGTACGCGGGTCGATAGACATCCTCTGGTCATGTGCTTTGGTGTTATCGACAGCTTTGTACACCGTTTTGCACTTGAACATCCCTGGTCCGAATGATAGCTTGATGGTGGTCATAATGCGCAAGATACGCTGGGGTATGTTGGCCATCCTGGCCCCGGACTTGCTGGTGTACTTCTCGGCCATGCAGTGGGAGGCCGCACAGCAAGCCGTCGAGCAGATGCACCGGATGGGCCACAAGCACTGGACGCTGAAGCACGCTTTTTATGCCAACAGCGGGGGCTTTGTCCTGCGATCGATCGACTACCGGCCGTTTCCTATCACATCCGCAGCCCTCCAGTACCTCGTTGAGGCAGACTATATCGAGTGCCCAACTATCACCGAGGAGGAGATTTGGGACAAGAGCAAGGCAGATGTCTTTGCGAAATGTGTGGCCTTGGTCCAAACCGCTTGGTTGGCGGTACAGGCGATCGCACGGGTCATTCAGGGGCTATCCGTGACCCCGCTGGAGCTCTTCTCGCTTGGGTTCGTCCTGTCGACTATGATGAGCTACTACTTCTGGATGCACAAGCCGCAGAATGTCAGCGTACCCACGTATATCGACCTCAAATATGGGAGTGTCAACGCCATTCTGAGTCAGGGTGGTAACACCTCCGTGGAAGAGTTTCAGCACACCCCCCTAGATTTTGTGGAGAAGCCGATGCAGCGGTGGCACCGTCGGCCCACGCTGGAGAAATTCGGCCTGGAGGAGGGACCGCTGCAGCGCATGCCCGACGACAAGATTCCGGTGATCAACATGCGCCGGCAGACTTGGATTTTAGTGACGGTCCAAGCGATGGTACATCCTGCCATTCACTGTTTGGGATGGAACCACCTGTTTCCGACCCCGACAGAGAGGCTATTGTGGCGTATCGGTGCCCTGGTACTGGCGTCCGGACTTCCGCTCGCTACCACGGTGCGGGTGGCTCTGACAGCTCTGGGGTTCAAGGGTCACCGGTCGCTGACCTATATTTGGATTCAGCCAACGGAGCGACCGCCGGGATGGCGACCGTGGGTGCTCGACATAATCTCTACCCTCATCAGCATGTGCTTAGTTCCTGCGCGGCTGTATATCATCGTCGAGGCGTTCATCAGTCTGCGGCGACTACCGGTCAGCTCGTTCCAGACGGTAGCATGGACGGGCTTTATTCCGCATGTGTGAGACGTTCACGGCTGGCGATTATCGATTGTTAAAATAGCTTGTGACTGGGGAAGGTACGTGCAAGTGTCAGTCTTGACAAGAAAGAATCCGGTTCTAACAATCTTCCAACAGCTTGTTAGATGAGGCATAACCGAAGCTCCATTTCGTATCAAGTCATGCTGAGGTAGACTCAAGTACCGATGTCATTTCCCACGAGTCGAGTCGAGCGCGATAATGGCAACGAAGAATGGTCACAATAAGCTTCTCACGTACCCCGCACAATCCTTCGGAATAGCAACAAATAATGGTCCCGTGATCAAGCCAAGGAGTCGAAGGATTCAGTGACGGAATCAATTCCCAGCCTCATGGTCCTGCCAATTGTCCGGTCGCATTGACTCTGCCGCTGCGTTCTTACCTGTTGCTCATCTCCCCCACCAAGCCGTGTCCGCCTTGTTGGCGCAAATGTCATGGTGATTTTGATTTGACCGAGAATGAAGACGATGATCGAGACACCGAGGGATGATGGTTGATGAATCGATAACTGCTGAGAATGGCATGAAGAGAGTAGGAAGGAAGGAAGGAAGGAAGGAAGGAAAGAGGAAGAACTGGCGGGATGAGCCGAACCTGCTGCGGTTTCTTTGTCTGCGACTAAAATTAGCATGCTTTCCACCTTCACGTTTTCCAACACTAGAGTTTCTATTGACTGCTATGGAATTGGAATCATACTTTCATAGCTAATTCTTAATGCATCACGAAACCTAAGTTCACATGTTGTTCTGTCCGTACCCGGAATCAAATCATCTTCACAGCCTAGACCTTCACAAGCCTCCCTAGACGACTTCTGTCTTTCCCGAACCGAGTCTGTTGGAGACCTCAGCCGGAGCAGAGATTCAAGAGTCCATACTCTAGAAGATGACAATGTTCTCGCAGCTCAATGCCCCACTTGATTGATTGTACCCCTCAGTCAAAATGTCTCGATAGACGCATATTCGATAAGCTAAATTAACAGACAAAACAACCCCGGAATTCCCCATGACATTACTATCCACCTTGGCCATCCTCCCATCGTACCAACCACACCCAGTCCCCAGACTACTATTGAAAGAGATAGATAGATCAGCAGTTATAAATCAACTTGAACCCAAGATCCGCGCCCTGCGTGAAATCCACCTGCCCCTCAGCCCCCTGCCAATCGCTCAGCAGCGCCAAGAAGCTCATCGTGTTGGAGCAGGTATTCGACGCCAGGTTCTGCTGGATCGGGGTGGTGGTCGCCCCCGTCGGGAACTGGAAGGTAGAGACCATCTGGCCGCGGGTTGGCGGGTTGCTCCAGGTCGGGGCGTTCGCGGCGGTCCAGGGGGTGGTCGTCCAGAACTCTGCCTGGTTGGAGCCCTTGGCGATCTGGTTGGCTGTGGTCAACGGCGGTACGTTGACCTGGAGGGTGCAGCCGGTGGCCCCGGCGGGGATATTGGTGAAGGTAAAGGCGGAGATCTTATTGTTGGTCACTGGGGAGCCGGAGCGCCGGAGGGTGAAGCGCTGGCCGACGTTGGCCGTGTTCGGGTGGGCACTGTCGAGGACGTCGATAAACGAAGGGAGAATAGTGGTGCAGGCGCGAGGAACGACGTCGCCTGCGGGAGATGGAGCTGCCAGGGCAAGAGTGGCAAGGGCTCCGAGGATGGCAATGATTTTGGTCATTTTGATGAAGGATGGATGAGTACGTTCAGGGTTGATGAGCAGATAGTTTAGTTGCAGGCTTTGGGAGCGATTGCTTGATTGTTTGTGATGAACGACAGCAGATGGTCAAGCGAGCTCTTTTTATATTCTTTTGATATTGTTGTGAAAGCTCACTGTGTTCGTCGTAGGTCACATCGTGGTAGTGATGATCTGCTATAATGGGAGTGAGGGTTCTGAATGCGGAAGCTCGTATACTTCCCAACGCGGCGCGGGTAATACGAGTCCTGACCGAAACCCATCCAGTGCCCGAAAAGTATTATGCGGATTCCAAACTTACCACCCCAGATCCATTGATGATCTTTCTGGCAACATAATATCTACATTCAAAGGGTAGTGTAACGTCAGTCAGCGAAAGTGGCCTTCGCTGTGGTTACACAATATTGAAGGGGTTGGTGGTTTCGGCGGTGCATAGCGGGTAGCGTGGCTTTTGGCCAGATCTGTCCGACGTCAACAACGTCCTGGATTCGTGTTCTGGCATCGAGACCTGAACAGTCAGATGCAGTGTGACCTTGCCAAGAAGTAGATGTCTCGGTGAAAGCTATTCACATAAGCAGAATTTGTGCCCAAAAGAGGGACTCTTAACCAGACTGGGGTGGATTGTATGTGACCTGTCAGATCCCGATCACTTTCAAGGGGGCGCGATGGAATCCATATATCATTCTAGGAATACCAATAATCAATACTCAAACAGTCAATGGGTCCGAAGCAAGGAGGCTCATCTGTTTTGATGATACCTGGGAGAAAGGAAAGGCAAGGTCGAGATCTGGTGACTCGAGGTTTCGTTAAGGTTAGCAGGCCAGGATTTGATCCGCAGGGAGCGATATTGCCGTGCGATCGACAGCACCCCGCTTTCAAAATTCCATTGGCTTAGGGCAGGCAAGTCTTTTTTTAGTATCAGAAGACCTCTATTATAAGCAAGTAATTCGACAAACATACCATCGATTGGCGCTCCTTCGTGTGGGGTTGCATTGGCCTCAGGTCTTGCATTGCCCAGCATTCTTCGAGTCTACCTCAGTCATTTAGCCAGTCGCATGACAGTAAACTAGGCGTAGATTTGACTAACTCTGAGTATACGATCAGCGCCGCAATCCTTGAATTGCTGATAGAGTTTTTGATTGAGAGATTTTGTAAGACAGAAGAAGTCGTGAGAAAGCAGGAGTATTCTTTTATTGCCCAATAGCGGATAGCAGTCAAATCATAGTCATCAGGGAGATGAAATGGTCGGTCGCATGTGGAAGGAGTCGACAACTACTATACCTTAAATTCGTAACGTCCAAAGAATTCGAAGCAGATAAGCAGATTGTTATTCGAGTTTCTGGCGCCAGAACAAGGCTGATTTCATTCATCTTCCAATGAGAGACTTCGTAGTCAGTACTCTCTTCTCCAAGTATAATGTTATGGTGGGGCTTTCACGTTTTGGCCTCTGAGCATCAGGCACCAAAACTACCTGGTAGCTACCATGGCACCTCTGCACCGTCGTGAAAGCCCAGCCCATTCACATAGATATGATAGAACTTGCTGTTGTGAGTGCTTGTCGCAGAAGAAATGAGATCGAATACGGCGGTGGCGCTCTGCTGGGGCGTCAATTTGGCATTGTCGCTTCCAAAATCTGCTTTTACCCACTGGACATTGTCAGAACTCGAATACGAGAAATGATGAGTGGAAGAGGCTTACACTAGACGAGATGATCATGAAGATGAAACCCTCTCTGGCAAAAGACTGGACATATTGTACGGTCAACATGCTGAGGGCCGCCTTGGTGATCTTGCGGCACGGACAGACCTCGACGCCCTGGCGATGGAACCAAAGGTGGAGGATCTGAGGTCTCACATTAGCGCTTAGCGATAATTGAGCAGTGAGGTCCTTACACGTTGATCGCCTCCAAAGTACCATGTTCTAATAATTCCAAGAAGGCACTCGTGACCATATGAGCGCCGGTCACATTGGTGCGAAAGGTGGAGTCCAAGTCGGTCCTGCTGGAGGTTAGTGACTCTCAGTCAACAGATTAGGATGAATTCGCAGTCTGCCTACACTTACATCGTCTCAATTCCATCGGGCGCAAATGGCCTGACCCCGGCGTTGTTGACTAGGTAGTACGTCGAGTCCCCGACCAGCCAAGACCTTCTCGACGGTCGCGGCTGCCGACCCCATGTTTCGGTTTTCGGTAACATCCATCTCAACCTGAGAAACGCGCCCAGAAAACTGCGCAACCAATCGTGTCAATGCATCAGCCTGTGTTCGTGCGGCTGCGAAGACCACTGCCACCTCTGTACTGGGCTTGGAAGCCAGAAGACGGACCAGAGCCAGCCCAATCCCTCTTGAAATTCCCTTCGTGAGATAAGATGCAATGGTGCAGTTCAAGACAGAATGCATTTGCTTCTGCCGATCAAGTATCGAAGCTGACTTCAAACAAACTTCTTAGGGAAGGCATTGGAAGGTATAGCTTGCTTAACAACTGAATGCTGCGAAATCAGGTGTACTGTCAGTGACGTCGGTGGTAACGAAGTTAACACAGCGACCAGTTGGAGAACTAAGAAAATAAGCCCGACCCTTGTCTCTACGAGCCGAACCCTCAGACCTAACTTACCCAACGTCTACCTAGTACTATCAACTCCAAACTACACCAGACTACAGGATGGTCTTTACCCAGTGACGCCAAGGCCACACCTGATCCAATGCAGCGCACGGACCAGACACAGCCTCGTCAGCGTTGATGATCTAATCGGAGACAGACCCTGTTCACAATTTCACTTCAACAGCCCACTTCTGGCAGCAGCGCCAATCCTCGGAGATACACCAGCGATATCTATAACTCGAAAATGCAGCTCTTATTCGTTGAGAACAAGTAGAGTCCCCCAACTGCTGCAGGTACCCTTCCTGACTGCCATTACTGTATCTAGTCTTGTCGTCCAAAAATTGTGTCATCGCATCGGCCAAACACTAGGCTGTGAGGTGGTTGCCATTGGCTCTGGCACCGCAGCCCTTGACCACTTGGCCACGGCCCCTACCCTACCACATATCATCTTCATAAAGGCGTGTTGCCGGGTGACCCTATCGTTCACTGTTCAGACTTAGAGCCCCCACTGACTGATTGTGTAGACCTCCCTTCCAGGAATGAGTGGCTACGATCTGGTTCGTATCATCCGCACGCAGCCGCCCTTCTGTAACGATCTCCAACTACAAACGATTCCGCTCATCGGACTGACGGCGTCGGCGTCCGGAACCAACTTGTCTCGCGAGAGAGCAACTGGCTACAATGATTTCCTTCGCGCTCCCTTGCGGGTAAGCACGGTGGGGGAGACAATTGGCCATTGGACCCGTCGACAGATTATGGGCCCGGCCGACGTGCCCGCTTGGCAAATGAAGGCGTGGCATAGGCTTCATCGCGGTCCGCGATCACGGCTGTGATACCCGTATGTGATGAAGATGAAGAGGGATGACCCGGAGACTTGATCAAGAGCGACTGCTGCAGAATTTTCAATAGATGAAGAGAATACAACGCATTTAGGTCATGGTTTCTGCCAAGCCTTTCGACGCGTAGCCAGCCTTTACCGTGCGTGGTCTGATTCCTGACAGAAGTGACATGGGGAACGGAATTCATCGAGCATTCGAATTGAGTCAGGGAAAACGGGAGGAAACATGGTTCATCGTCTGAGCACTTTCCCATTCGGACCGGACGACTCGTGGTGGGCGCGCCACATAATCAAGGTCAGCCTTACGGAAGGGCGTTGTTGGCGCTGCTTGGTTCACGTGGGCGCATTCTTGGCTGTCTGCACGCCAATCGGTGATCCTCACGAGTTATCAAGCGCAAGCTAAGAGATTGAAAGCTTTCGCCGTGGGGAAAGTTGATGGGTGGGAAATGCATCAACAAACACCACAGCAAGAGATGAGAGCGAAGATAAGCTACACGTGCCGCCCCAAACATGGAACGTGCAGTTGCTGTGTCATGTGATTGGAGGGTATTCCCCGGGTGGGAACGGGCCGAGTTTTGCCTATGATTGGTCCGGTAGTGATGTTGGCCGGCCCTGTCTATATCCAGTTTAGTTACTTGCCAGTGGCTGCAGGACAAGGAATGAATCAATATACTGATTGAGAGATAGCACCGATAATCGCATCCTTGACTGGATTGACTACTGCAACAGGATTAAGGTCACATCCAGCATGCCTCCACCAATAGTCTCTGTCATTCGCCTCCAAACCCGGATATAAAGCACGAGGGACGGGCTGTTCGCCTTCCTGCCGACTTTTCCTCACCACAAAGGCAACCTTTCTGCAAAGGGCTCTGTGCTATTCTCTACCACTGCGCTTGAGGTAGTCTAGCAACATGTCTGCAACACCAGACGCCTCACTTGCTCCCAAAGGAGATCTCCAGACCGTCATTCAGGCCGCCTCTCATGACGGAGAGACCATCTCCGATGCGGAAGCCCAGAAGAAGCGCCGCACTCTCTCGGACCTTATCACAATTGTGAGTTCCTGCATCCTCTTGTCCTGCAGACCACACATATTGATTTAAATCATAGGTTGCCAGCGGCTTTGCCTTAATCAGTGATGGATACCAGAACAATTTGATGTAGGTGTATCCTGCCTAAATCGTCTCACTCAACTAACCGCTGGCTAGGACGATGGTCAACGTGCTACTTGCCAGTCAATACAAGGAGCAGTACACCTCAGCTGTCAAGACTCGGGTCTCCAACGCTCTCTTAGTCGGTGAAGTTATCGGTCAGATTGCTATTGGGTAAGACGCAGCCATAACGATTCCCAGCCATCCTCCAGCGCTAACGTCACCCAGACTCACCTGTGATTACCTCGGCCGCAAGGCCGCTCTGGTGTTTACAACGGCTATGATCGTGGTCGGAGGAATATTAGCCACCGCATCGAACGGGTACACTATCGACGGAATGTTCTGGATGATGACGGTAGCGCGTGGTATCGTTGGTTTCGGTGAGTGCCGACACATCTCGCAACTCGGCGCGGTAGCTGACGGTTGACAGGCACCGGTGGTGAATATCCCGCTTCATCGACATCAGCATCCGAGGCCGCCAACGACCTGACCCCCAAGCAACGCGGGCCGGCCTTCATCATGGTGACCAATTTCCCTCTCTCGTTTGGCGGGCCATTCGCGGTCGCGATCTTCCTGATCGTCCTCTCCGCCTGCCACCAGTCGCACTACAGCACCGTCTGGCGCGTTTGCTTCGGTATCGGCTGTATTTGGCCGCTGTCTGTCTTCTACTTCCGGTTCCGGATGATGAACTCCGCCCTCTACCGCCGCGGCGCGATCAAGAAGCATGTCCCCTACATCCTTGTAGTCAAATACTACTGGAAATCTCTGATTGGAACCTGCGGAGCCTGGTTCTTGTACGGTGTGTAGTCTCTTATGTCTTCGTGACAAACAATTACAGTTACTGACTGACAATCTCACCTTCCCAGACTTTGTCACATTCCCCAACGGCGTCTTCTCCGGCACGATCATCTCCTCCGTCATCAAAGACAGCTCCGTGATGAAGACCGGCGAATGGCAGCTCCTGCTGGGCGTGATCGCTCTTCCAGGCGTCTTCCTCGGCGCCGTTCTGTGCAACCGCGTCGGGCGCAAGAACATCATGATGATCGGATTCACCGGCTACCTGGTGTTCGGCTTGATCATCGGCTGTGCATACGATAAGATCATCAAGATTATCCCCCTATTCGTGATCTTCTACGGGTTGATGCAGAGCTCCGGGAATTTCGGTCCGGGGAATATGCTGGGTCTGCTCTCGTCGGAGATGTACGCGACCGGCGTGCGGGGCACGTGCTATGGTATTTCGGCTGCGTTTGGCAAGGCAGGCGGTGCGATCGGGACGCAGGTGTTCACGCCGATAGAAAACCACCTGGGCAAAAAGTGGACGTTCATCATCGCTGCAATCTGCGGTGTGGTCGGGGTGCTGGTGACGTACTTTTTCGTGGAGGATATCTCCGGGGAGGATCTGCGGGTCCGCGATGAGAAGTTCCGTGCTTATCTGGTCGCGCACGGTTGGGATGGGGAGATGGGGGAGGACGATCTTAAGGCAGTTGCAGACGAGGGGATTCCTCCTGCTCTGTTCGAAGAAAGCAAGACCGCCCACTGATTTGGCATGAGATATGATATATGAGCAAAAGTCTATTTGGCTGCGTTGGCGTAATTGTGAATAATATTATCTGTGTAGATCGATTTCTGTCAAGTGCATATTCCAATTCCTGAATCGTCTCGACCCCCTTCAGCTATTCTCCCTGTATGCTGTCCTGATCAGATACGCCAGATGTTCCACCTCGTGCTTCACCCACGGCATGGCATGGTGATAATCCACCTCGAACAGCTCACTCCGCTTAGGCTCATAATACGTCGCCAGCTGATGTCGACTCAATGGCAGCACCGGATCCTTCAAGCCATGCACGTGTATCGTGGGGATGGAGACAAGCTCGGCGTCGGATTCTGCCCCTGCAACCATCACAGTCAACCCTCACAGTTAGCTTTTGATCAAAAAATTGTCAGGGGGAATGAACATACGATGCGCGCTCTCCGCCACCATAGGCGCGCCAGCCCCCATACACATAACTCCGAACTTCAAGCTCGCCCCCTGTGTTGTTGATGCCGTTGACTCTCCGCTCGCAGCCCTCCGCTGTTGATCCAGCAACAACCCGCCCGCGGGCCTCGTTCCCTGGCTGAACCCCATCACCCCGACCCAAGGACCCCCGGGGCTGTGCTGGTCTCTCTCCCGCATCAGCTTCCAGATCCGCTCGACGCCATCCCGACCGGTTATATCATACCCACTGCCGTCGGCGAGCTCGGTGCCGGAGCCATCCTGCGTGAACCAGGAGCGGAAGGGCTCGTAGCCGCGAAAGGCAGGGAGGACGCCGGGCCCAGCGTCGCGGAAGAAGGGTCCGTCGAAGAAGACGAGTTCGAAGTCCGGTTCGAGGAGCTTGGCGAGGTGGCTGCATTGGACTTCGTAGACGGACGCGCGCGAGCCGCCGCCGTGGAAGCAGGCTATGCGGGGGCGGTTGGCGGGCTTGGTCATTCTGCGGAGGTTGTGGTAGGTGTGTGGTTTTTTCTGGCGAGGGAGTGTGTCTCCTTTGCGATGGATGAAGAGAGAGGGGCGTAAGTCGAGGTCAGAAAGTTGGTGAAAGGAGTGGAGGGACTAGCTTGGCTGGTGTTGGTGTAATGTCATGTGAGGGGTACGCGGGATGAATTGGCAGCGGATCATTACAGAGCATTGGCACTAATGATGTCAGCTTGGATCCTGCACGTAGGATTGCTGCGCAGCATACCGTTCAAAGTTTTGTCTTAATTCTCATTCGATTGATAAAATCAGTCTAGATATGAGGTAAGTAGCTCTTTCCAAATTAATTGTTTTCGTCGGAATATCCAGCTATCATCTCCTGCGAATGCCCAGTAAACAAACATCCGCCCAATTCGGCAATCCCCCGCAACCCCCACAAACCCCGCACTTCTCCCCTCCATATCAACAAAACCACCACGTAGTCCACCTCCATCCCCTCAGCATAGCAACACAAATCACCATGTCCAAACGCATCATCATAACAGGCGGCTCCGGCAAAGCCGGCCAATTTATCATCGCCCACCTCCTCCGCCAGAACTACACCATCCTAAACCTCGACCTGCACCCGCTGCCGGCCCCGCTCGCGGCCCGCGTGCACACCATCCGCGTCGACCTCACCGACACCGGCCAAGTCCACAGTGCCTTCCACTCGCACTTCGCGTTGACCGAGCCCTTCCGCGAACCACTCCACCAAGCCCCTCACGCAGTGATCCACCTCGCCGGCTACGCGCGCAACATGATCGTCCCCGACAACGAGACGTACCGCGGAAACGTGCTGGCCTTCTACAACGTCCTCGAAGCCGCCTGTCACATGGGCATCCGCAAGATCCTCCTGGCGTCGTCGATCTGTGTCTACGGGGTCGCGTTCGCCGAGGGCGATGTCGACTACGCTTCCTTCCCGGTGGATGAGTCCGTCCCCGCACAGCCGATGGACGCGTACGCCATCTCGAAGGTGTGTGGGGAGCAGACTGCTGCTGGGTTTGCGAGGCGGTTTCCCGGGATGGATATCTACGTGTATCGGCTTGGGGCGGTGGTGAGTCCCGAGGAGTTTCAGGAGAAGTTTAGGGGGTATGTGGAGCGGCCGGAGGAGTGGAAGGTGCATGGTTGGGCGTATACGGATGCAAGAGATCTGGGAGGGATGGTGGAGAGGGGGTTAGTTGTGGATGGGTTGGGGTTTCAGGTGTTCAATGCGGTCAATGATGAGATGACGAATTTTGAGGAATCGACGCAGGCGTTTTTGGCGAGGGTCTGTCCTGGGGTGCCGGTTACGAGGGAGTTGGTGGGCAGAGAGGCGCCGGTGTCAAATAGAAAGCTGAGGGAGGTGTTGGGGTTTGTGCAGCGGGTGCGGTGGCAGGATGAGTATCAGATGTAGGATCCTGAGTTTATTGGACTGCTGGAAAGGTGGTGTAGATATCTTTTGATGACTATCTGTAGATATGTAACTAAAGAGTTATCTTGAAGCATCATAAAAAGTGGACAGGTAAAGAAAGGTACAGTCATCATATCAATCATGAACAGAGAAGTAAGCAGACAAACTTGAAAGTCAGCAGTCAGATCCATTCATGACAGGGTTCACACGTCTTCTAGAAACAGTCTGGATCCATCATCTTCTCGTCCGTCCCGGTAAAGTCTTCAAGGGTAATAGTACCTCCTAGGCCCGAAGTATCTGCAAGACAAAGAGACAAACCCTCCATCTCCAGCCGAAGCAGGTCTTCATTGTCACACTTGTGGGTAGACTCGAAATCAATCAAGATAGCCTTTCCATTGCTGATAAGGAAGTTGTGACGGTTTGTATCGCCGTGCCGAAACCCCAAGGCATGTAGTTGAGACAACGCCTGCCTGCAGAGGCCAATATCCTCAGATCTAGCGTGCCGCGCATCAGGAATTCGCTCCATGAAGAAGCCGATAACACGACCATGTTCAGTCAGATGGCCAAGGAAACGAGGCCCAATCCCGTGGCCGTTCAACCACTGATAGACTGTAGTTTCGTTCTCCATGGAATCCATATACCAGTACCAGGGCTGGAGTTTGGCGACCACAGTGTCGTCAAACTGTGGACATTTGACCTCATAAACTTCAAATTGAACTCTGTCACCCAATTCAGCGTCCAGTAGGTCGATGGAGGTTTCATGCCAGGTGTTCTCCACGCCGGGAAAGTCGGTCAGGTTGATACGTGTAAAGTAGGGGCGACCGTCTTCATCTTTGGCCACAACACCATCGTTCCAATTCCCAGTGGGGAACCTGGGGAGGATAGTGTATAGAAGTGGTGGAAAGCACATTTCATCATTCTCATAGGTGTCCGGTTCGACAGTGAGATATTTGACTTGCTTGCCGTCAACCAGAAGACGGAAGTAGCTTTCCGTTTTCTTGTCGCAACTGTTGTTGAGTAACTTGATCTCCGGGAAGTTACTCATTTTCGCACTGGACACTTTCCTAAGTATCCAAAGTTCTTTTAGCTTCGACCGGAGATTGTTGTAATGATCTTAATACCTTCAAGTTGTCTTATCTCTGCCCAAGACAAAACTTGCTGAATCTTACTGTCGAGATCTCAAGACTGATGTTGGCTAGTGAAAGTTAGGCAGTAGGAAGATAGGCAGTGGCAGGATAGGCAGAGTCAAGAAGAAGCTGCGAGAAGATGTAACACACTCGCTCTGGTGAATGTGAGAAATAAAAAGATGTGGATCTCTTACTCTGATCATGTGAGTGAATCTGAACCTTTGACCTGACCTTTCCTCCAATTATCTCTGTGTTAACTACTTTCCTCTACAACTCAACCCTTGACCTGATCACCGAAACCCCCAAGTTGACTGATCCAACAAATATCTATTCCATCTCTTTTCCGTCCCACCCAATCTAGCCACATTGCAAACTGCCCAGAAAAGCTTCTTAGATCCACCGAGATCTCGTGTTTCGAAAACATTCAAAGTATGTTTGATAGGATTGGTACTGGTAATCTGGGGTCACTAATGATTTTGAGTACAGTCCTGTCGATCTAGGAAGCTTTGTCAAGTCTTACAATTTCGTACATCTGAACTCAAGAAGTAAGTTTCTACCCCTTAAGCTAGATACCTTATTTCGATTCTAATTGGGACCCAGTCATCGAGATGTGCATCAAGTATTTCGCTAGATACACTTGTGGCTGTTTGAGAGAGACACGCTTCGTCCAATGCCAGGCACGCGTGGGCACAAATGTGAGATGTGACCCTTTTACAAAGGAGCTGGATTTCAATACTCCTCACATGTGTGCACGCCACCTTGTCAAGCCCAACACCGATGAGATGAGAAGATGATCCGCGACAAGAAGCAGAAGGCCAAATAGGTTCTTCTCAAATGGGAATTTTCCACAGCTTGGAGAAGTAGGGAAATTTCGTCAAGATCAGGGATGCTCGGATGGGATTTTTACAGCTCGGAGAAGTGAAAAAATTTCTTAAATTTGTGGTTAATCCGCTCTTGTACTAAGCTACCTTGCACTATCTCCTGGGGAATATAGCAGAAGCTATATGGCTGTCTAACATCAATCGTGCTTCGTAGGCTTATATTCCAAGTAATTTTCATCAATGGTTGGGTTTATCTCAGACACGGAATAGGTTGAAATTGATACTTGGGATGATGACCAGAATAGGACTAAATTAGCAGTAATATGTGCTATTGCCCACAGCAGCACCAAAGATGATCAGAATCTATTCTCCCTCGATACGAATTCTCAAAAGTAGGCTTATTCTGAGGTCTGGGACTGTTGGTGATAGTAACTGATATGCTTGTTCAATGCTAAGAATGATTTAGTTCTCTAATTGTCTGTACAACCTGCAAGTTTCTCTTCAATTATCCTGTCTAAATCGATTATGTGATACTGAACACTATCTGGCAGGGCATGTCTTGCATACTTCACAAATTGGTGTGTTGGTCGATCAACCTAATGAGAACATCTATGCTTGACGCAGGGTCCACCTTGTCTTAAATAACAGGTCTGGACGTCAAGCACCTAGCGTAAACCATGGCTGGGAAGTGCCAAATCTGGTTTAAACTCCACCATCAGTTTACTTGGACACTGCGGGACTAATTTCCACCTTGAGTATGGGAAGGCCTCCGCCTCGACAGTGGATGCTCGGAGTTACTGATGATTGGTGCTGGGCGGAACCGGCAGCTGAGTCAGCGGCCGCGAGCCTGAGTCAGCGGGCCGATGGCGGGCCTGTTTCTGCCTCCGACCTCTCACACTCGCACACCGAGACTGCATCCCACTCAATCTCTCGGCCATCCATCCTAGCTCTGCCCTATACCCCCTTATCCCCGAGCTTGCTATGGCTCCGGACGTTTTCCGTTAATCTCGATTGGTCCACTGCTGCTCTAGACAGACCCTTGAGCCCTCATTGATGCAGATGTCCACCTCCACTCCATCCTCGGATGGTGGTGAGCGTCCCCCCTCGGCGCCCCCTTTGCGCCGCACGGCCCGGGCCTGTGACTCGTGCCACCGGAGAAAAGTAAATCTTCACCCTCTTGCTGCCTTTTGGGTAACCTGCCTGACCGCTCTTTAGATCCAGTGTGATCCATCCATTCCATGCAACTGGTGCCGCCACCATGATCTGGACTGCACTTTCAATAGGCCCATAGGGGGAAGTAAGCGCAAGAGAGCCGCCAATGAGCCGAACCCCATGACTCAGTACGTATCGTGCGTTGCGGATCATTTCCAAGTCGTCTAACATCCTGGCAGCCCGCCCCGACAGCAGCTCCCCCCCGGGGAAGACCTCGAGGACAGGGTAACGAAGCTAGAGCAGCTTCTGGTGCGATCTATGCCGACCAATGAGCACCAACGTAATTGTACCTCGCTGATCTCCCAAGGGTCCTGGCCATCGGACCCGGCCGCTTATTTCGGCCCCCCACGGACGTCGGCCGATGGTCCCTCAGCCAGCGACTACATGCCTCGTTCCAGCAGTGGTCTGTGCTTCGGCAAGATACACTTCGCAGGTCACTATGTGGGCGACTTAAACTCATACAATGGTATTCCAAGCCTCTCGCTTGACGGTCAGGAATGGGTGCAGTCACGCACCGGCGAAGACAAGAGATTCAACAGCCTTTGGCCCTCTCAGCCTCAACGACCGACACCACAGCCACCCAGATCCTTCTCACATACACTGCATGGCTATGCGGGTGTCCCCGATCTTCCGGACCGATCCGTCGTAGATCAATATGTCCAGCGATACTTTTCTTCTTTCATCCGATTCATTTTTCCTCTTATCGACGCCTTACTGTTCAAAGAGACTGTCGACCTCGCCTATTCCTCATACCAAGATCCTCTACCGGTGGAGATGATAAGCGCCAAAACGTGTGTGATGACCTTTTTGGCACTTATGTCGATGATCCTCCGGCCGCAAGATAATCTTCCTACGGTGGACGCGGACGTCTATGCAGTCAAGGCACAGAATCTCTTGCCCCAAATCATGAATGATGTCAGCCTGTCTACCTTTCAAGCAATGTTAATGCTGGTCAGTTTACATTTCCTGTGCGATTTGAGATTTCCCGAATAAAAATTATAAATCATGCTGACACGTCAAGACCATGAATCGAGTCTTCTCTGGTCAACTTCAAGCTGCCAATCAATGTCACGCCATGGGTTGTCGGGTCATGTTCTCACTAGGAGCCCAGCTTTTACCCAACGAGCGACCGGCTCCCCCGTCACCACATGATGTCGAGGATCGTGTTTGGCGTTATCACAAACAGCTGCGGAACTTGTTCTGGCTCTGCTATACCCATGACAAGGAAATCTGTCTCCGATCGGGGCAGCCGCCGATCATTGATGATGAACACTGCAACCTCTCTCTTCCTGCCGATTACATGCAGATACAGTATCTTGAAGACGAAGGCGCCGACAGATCCATGTTTGATTTTATCGGGCTTCCTCACTCCCCGGTCGATCTGCGAATGACTGTGATTAAGTCAAAGGCCTACCGGGCACTGTACTCCTCCAAGTCCCTGCTCAAGTCCGATGCCCAGCTCTTGCAGGATATTCGGGAGCTCGACGACGAGCTGGAGCGTTGGCGCATGGATGTCCCGCCTAAATTTCGTCCATCCTTAGGACACTCTTTCGAGAGTCATGAGAATCCCTTTCTTCGCATGCAAGCTATAGTCTCTCGGCTGGAATACCACTATCTGATGGTAACGATTCATCGAGCGGCGGGCCGCTGTCAATCCTGGGCAAATACCGACACTGGGGTCATGGAGGGAATCAATTCGAGCATGCTACTCGCGGTGGAAGCAAGTCGCTCCACCTTGTTGTTTCTGCGCCCGACTATCGATTCGATATTTCCCGAGGCATTCTGGTGAGCTTTTTCGTCTTGCTTCCTATATCCTACACTCACCACCATAGATTAACTCCATGCACTGACCATAACAGGATGATCACCTTTTACCCCATGTCTGCTATTCTCACGATATTCTGCAACATCCTGCTATTTCCACTCGACCCGCGTGCGGAGGAAGACCTTACACTTCTTGGCTCAGTCCCCGACCTTATCAAGGGCTTTCGTCTACAACGCTTGAAGGATAACGAAGCGGCGCATATGACAATGGTGGCAGACTTTGTGGCCGAACTCACACGCTTGGGCAATTGCGCTATCCGTAAAGCCCGATATAGTGTGTCGCCGAGATAAAAGTTACGTTCTTGTCTTGTACATATTAATGATTTGGACATACGATAGATACCCACACGGTGACACGCTTTAGCCAGTCAATTGCGCTTAGATGAGTCAATTATTTATTCTTTAGCAAAAGAGTCAAGATCGAGGCCGGTTTCGCAGAGTTCGCGTTGGATTCTATTAGGTATTGAGTCATATGGTCGGCCAACGGAACGCCGATATATACTGAATCACCCGAAGTGAGTCACGGTGGCAGTGTCATGGTCAGTACAACATGTAAGTACGCAGATACCCCATCTTAGATAACCGTCAAGATTGGAATACGCTACTATAGAGAGTATATCAAACAATCGATGCGAGGTGACTTACTTGCACGACGTGCCAACCAAAAAGCAATCAAAGCTTAAAGTTGTCGAGGTCCACGACCATACTGATAAGCCGATCAATTGGGCGCTTATCGGAACCTCACCACGTGATCTGCACCCGACGGATGACATAAGCCACGCACGGGAAAGTTTCCCCTCCACCCCGCCGATAAGTCCAATCTTTTGTCGTTCAGCACCGTCACCACGCGACCTTTGTCCTCCTATCCTCGATTCCTTTAGACCAATCGCCCATCATGACGGACGCTGTCGTTGAAGCGACGGCCAAGCTTCAGCTCGATGAGGAGACCGGGGAGATGGTCTCCAAGGGAGAGCTGAAGAAGCGGTTGCAGAAGCGTGCCAAAAAGGCGGCGAAGGCGGCCAACGCGGCCGCTGCTCCCAAGCAAACCGCGGCCACCCCCAAGCCTGCGGCCACCCCCAAGCCCGAGGAGGAGCAGATCGACCCGGATGCCATGTTCAAGCAGGGTTTCCTGGCTGCGGTCCACAAGGAGCGGCCTGTTGTGCCGTTGACGCGCTTCCCCCCGGAGCCCAATGGATACTTGCATCTGGGTCACGCCAAGGCGATCGCTGTCAACTTTGGTTTCGCTAGACATTATGGTGGAAAGACGGTACGTTCGATTCTGAATTGGAATTGGGAATGCTGCTAACCATTGCAAAGATTCTTAGGTATTCCTCCCATCGTCCCCGACTCGAGTGAGCAAAGCGACTAATGATTAGATTCGATGATACCAACCCGGAGGCTGAGGAGGAGAAATACTTTGTGGCTATTGAGGAGATTATCCAGTGGCTAGGTATGAGAAGCGCATGAGGTGGTCAGGTGTGTGCTGACAGGGTCGTTTCACAGGCTTCAAGCCCGCCGCTATCACCCACTCGAGCGACAACTTCCAGAAGCTCTACGACCAGGCTGAGAAGTTGATCACCATGGGCAGAGCCTACGTTTGCCACTGCAGCGACACCGAGATCAAGCTCCAGCGCGGAGGAGAGAATCACGGCCCCAGATACCGCTGCAAGCACGCCGAGCAGGATGTCGAGACAAACCTCCAGAAGTTCCGGGATATGAAGGCTGGCAAATACGAGCCCCAGACCGCTTTCCTGCGCATGCTCCAGGACATTGAGGACCCCAACCCTCAAATGTGGGATCTGGCCGCATACCGCATCCTCAAGCAGGAGCACTTCCGCACCAAGAACGAGTGGTGCATTTACCCCACCTACGATTTCGTATGTAAGGTCCAGCATGCTTGATGATGCTTGCTAACACTGTACTAGGCCCACTGTCTGTGTGATAGTTTCGAGAACATTACGCACAGTCTCTGCACGACCGAATTCCAGCTTTCCCGCACTTCCTACGAGTGGCTGAACAGCACCCTGGGCGTCTACGAGCCCATGCAGCGCGAATACGGTCGCCTGAACGTTAGTGGAACCGTCATGTCGAAACGTAAGTTGAAGAAACTGGTGGACGACGGATACGTCCGCGGCTGGGATGATCCCCGCCTGTACACACTGATTGCTCTGCGCCGCCGTGGTGTGCCCCCCGAGGCGATCCTCTCCTTCATCAACGAACTCGGTGTGACGACTGCTCTCAGTCTGATCAAGATCTCGCGCTTCGAGCAGACTGTCCGGACATACCTTGAGAGCCGTGTTCCCCGGTTGATGCTTGTGATTGACCCCGTTCCGGTGGTCATCGAGGACTTCGAGACGGTTGAGGATGGTCAGCTCAACTGCGATATTCCTTTCTCTCCCAAGAACCCTGCTATGGGCACTCACGAGATTCGCCTGACCAAGACCATTTACATCGATCGGTCGGATTTCCGCGAGGAGGATGCCAAGGGCTACTTCCGTCTGGCCCCCGGAAAGAGCGTCGGTCTCTGGCGCGCACCCTACCCCGTCAAGGCCACCACTTTCACCAAGGATGCTGACGGTAAGGTCACCGAGATTCGGGCTGTTTGGGATAAGGAGGGCGGCAAGCCCAAGACCTACATCCAGTGGGTCCCAGATAACTCGCGCAAGGTGGAGGTCCGTATCCACGACCCGCTTTTCAAGTCGGAGGACCCCGGTGCTGCTGAGGGTGGCTTTTTGAACGATATCAACCCCAACAGTGAGACCATCTACAAGGATGCTCTGATCGAGGCGGGCTTCGATGAGGTCCGTCGGAGGGCTCCTTGGCCGGAGGCTGCCGGCGAGAAGGAGAAGGGCAAGAGTGGACCGGAGAGTGTCCGTTTCCAGGGCATGCGTGTGGCCTACTTCGTGAGTCACTCTTTCATGATTGCTGGATTTATTTTCGCTAATTTTATATTAGGCTGTCGATTCGGATTCCACGGAAGACCGCGTCGTGCTGAACCGCATCGTGTCTCTGAAGCAGGATGTTGGGCGCAACTAGATGCTGGGCAAGTATGCTTGAGAACGTGATAGACATGCGGAAGCGGCGCTGCCCGATGTTCTTCAGGTGCGAGATTACGGGACTGCACGACCCTGATAGCCGTCTATAGTACCTGCATGGGTAGTGAGGCGCTAGTTATCACCCTGCAGAAATGTGGGCGCATGACTGGGTGAGAAGCTTGGTCTGTTGAATGGTGTGTTTTTAGCGTGATGATTCTTATGCAGAGTTGAGGAGTGCCAAGGTGTTGATAAGGTACCATGCAGGATTCAGATAGTCATAAATGAAGTTATAAATGAATAGGCAGGGGAGTTATATCAGCCTGTGCTATACATTCTTAATCTTACGATTCCGCCGGCTCCCGAGTGAGGTAACATCGTGCCGAGTACCTGCTTTGCTTGGCTGCAGCATTGCGCAAGGGAAACGTGGGTGTTATCAGTTCCCCTCACTGGTCCAACTCCCACTTTCTCAACTGCAAGCATTCCCCCTCTCACCTGCAATCATGAGCCACTGCTTCTCTGGAAGGACATTTAAACCACCGTGATGGCTGCTATCGAGTACTCAGAGCAACGAAGCATTCATCAAGAGCGCCATTCCACAAGATGCGCGCTCCCTTACTTTCCACGGTCGCATTGCTGGTGCAGACCGCGGTCGCAGTCACCATCAACGAGATCACTGGGGACCGGTACATCTCTCCATATGCCGGTACCGAAGTCACTGGCCTTGAAGGTCTGGTGACTGCCAAAGGTTCCTCTGGGTTCTATCTGCGCTCCACCAGTCCCGATTCTGACGACAAGACCTCGAACTCGGTCTATGTCTATGGAAGCACCGCGACCAAGAGCGTCACCGTGGGAGACATCATCACCCTGAGCGGCAAGGTCACAGAGTATCGGTCCACGTCCAGCTATGTCTATTTGACCGAGATCGAGTCTGCGACCGACATCACGGTGGTCTCGAGCGGCAACACTGTGACTCCCATTGTGATCGGCGGGAATGGACGCAGCCCTCCCACCGAGCAGTTCACATCGCTTGACAATGGGGACCCGTTCAGCCTGCCAGGGAACAGCAGCCAGCTCTCAACGGCCAATCCCGTTTTGGATACCACCGCTTACGGGATGGACTTCTGGCAGAGTCTGACCGGGGAGTTTGTCAGCTTGTCGGGCCTGACAGCCATCTCCAAGGCCAATTCTTACGGCGATACTTGGGTCATCGGGGACTGGACGGTTTCAGGGAAAAATGAACGTGGAGGGTTGACGATGACTGCCAATGGTTGCTTGCTCTGAGCCTCCTATCAATAGCTTTAGCTTGCTAACTCGTGTGTTGTTAGACTCTAACCCCGAAGCACTCATCGTTGGCTCGCCCCTTGATGGAAGCAAGAACCCGACCGACGTCAAGTTGGGAGATGCACTGGGGGATATCACCGGGATCATCACTCAGGCGTACGGCTACTACGCCCTGCTACCGTCGACTGCGTTGTCCGTAACGTCCTCGAACGCGACCGAAGTACCCAAGACGTCGTTGGTCTCGAACAAGAAATGTAAAATCACCTTTGGCGATTACAATGTGGACAACCTGGGGCCGGACTCATCGACACTCCCCGGCGTCGCTGGTCATATTGCGAACTATTTGCAGAGCCCGGATATCGTCTTCCTCCAAGAGATTCAGGATAATGATGGTTCGACGAATGACGGTGGTATGTGCTCCCTATTTCGCTGGGATAAAATCCTGACACTTTCTCTTGCTCAGTGGTATCGGCCAATGTGACACTCTCAACGCTGGTCAGCTCGATCGTCGAGCAGGGCGGTGTCCAGTACGAATTCTTTGACATTGATCCGGTCGACGGCACCAACGGCGGCGAAAGTGGTGGCAATATCCGATGTGCTTACCTGTACAATCCTGAAGTCGTGCAGTTGCGCGACGCTAACCCAGGCACCAGCACGACGGGCACGACCGTCAAGTCCGGAGGCACGTTGAGTTACAACCCGGGGTTGATTGACCCCACGAACGAGGCCTGGGACGCGAGTCGGAAGCCCCTGGTGGCGCAGTGGGAGAGGGCGGATGGGAGGAACACCTTCTACACCATCAACGTGCACCTGACCTCCAAGTACGGCAGCACGTCTCTGGAAGGCGACCTCCGGCCACCTGTCAACGGTGATGTGGAGAAGCGAGCTTCGCAGCTAAGTGTGATTGCGGTAAGTCTCGGTGAAATTGCCATGTTCCCCCCGAAGCTAGTCGAAACTAATCATGTTGGTGCAATTAGGACTTTGTGAGCTCTCTTTTCGCGGAGGTAGCCGACGCCAGAGTCATTGTGGCGGGCGATTATAATGAATATTCATTTACGGACATTTTCAACGTGTTCACAGAGGTGGGCCTGCAGGAGATCGATGAAGTCGCTGGGCTTGCGGCCACGGAGCGATACACCTACCTATACGATCAGAACAGTGAGCAGCTGGATCATATGTTTATCAGTTCGGCACTGGCCACAGGGGCAAAGGTGGAACACGTCCACGTGAACACATGGGTCTCAACCGCAGACCAAAGTTCTGATCACGATGCGACAGTCGCTCAGATGAGTGTGTGCCAATAAAGGGCGACAGCCTACCAGAATATACTAGCGGACTAGCGAAATCAAGGACGGCTAGATCGCATTCTCTCGTGTTCTCATCTCCACTAATCTAACTGTTACGTGATAAGATCCGTGCATTCTCAGCTGTAATCACCAGTGTTCACGCCAAATATTGCCGAGATGGGCTTGGTAGATGTTTACCGGGAGTCCGGGACCAGCATCGGCTGGGGTTGCAACTCTGCGAGTGCCTGCGAAACTGCGACAAACCATCTGGAAGGAGAGGAACCGCAACATGGCAGGATTCTGGTAGCGAGGGCCACAGCAAACCTTTCCACGTGGGCGGGCCTGGGCCGCGGCTTTCCTGGTGGTGCGCTGGAGTCCTGGTCGGTGGGAAATTTTCCTACCCGAGCGCTCGGGCATGCGAAGGCTCCACTGCAAGCATGGAATCCCGATCGATAGTCAATCTTGAATCAGCCCGTCTGTAGCCGGTGAACCAATCATTCGCTACAGGGCCTGCTTCGGCCGATGGTACAGTGGATCCTGGAATTGCGACCACTGGTGAGGGGTGAGGGTCTGTAACGCCCGTTTTCCATGGTTCAAGCCCCTCGAGACGGAAGCCAGGCACTTTTTCTGATTTCTGCCCCGAGGGGGACGTCATTTCGGCCACGCCGTGTTTGAGATAATAAGAAAATGTCTTCCCGGGCTCAGCGCGGCAGTCTGGGATTCTGGTATTCTCACCACTGCTCACCACCATGGCCGAAGATCGCAGCCTAACCGTGCGTGCGGTTGCCGCGGTCTTCCTGGCCCTGGCAACCATCACGACCGTCCTGCGATGCTATGTGCGTCTTCGGATCGTCAAGGCTTTTGGCTGGGACGATGGGATTATGGTCTTGGCCTACATCTTCTATGTCTTCTTCTCCGCTTGTATGATTGGTGGTAGTCTTTGGGGGACAGGCCAACATCTCAATCAACTGGATAACCACCATCGCGTGACCGCTATGAAGGTATGTCTTTGTGAACAAGGAACCACGCAGGGTACTCAATGCTGACTGAGTTGCTCTAGTATTGGTTCTATTGCGACATTGGCTACGCGATTGGTTCTATCCTATGCAAAATCTCCGTATCGATCTTCATTCTCCGCATCACCATCCACAGAGTCCACCGAATCGTCATCGGAGTCGTCGTCGGCCTGGTTGTCGTTGCTGGGTTTGCGTTCTTCGTAATTCTCCTCACACAATGCAAGCCAATGGCCTTTTGGTATCTTCGTCTTAGCACTGAGGAGGTTGGCAAGGGCACCTGCATATCCACACATGTCGCGATGGATGCGCTCTATGCCTTTAGTGCAACCTCGGCGGTTTTTGACATGACGATCGCGGTCCTCCCTATCCTGCTGGTTCGGAAGCTGAAGATGCAAAGTGACGTGAAAATTGCGGTGGCTGGTCTGCTCAGCATGGCCTGCGTGTATGAAATCTGGTTCCTTTCGACAGACCACTGCTAATCCCAACCAGGGCGTCCGTCGCTGTCATTGTCCGCATTCCTTACATCCCGACGCTCCTTAAAACCGACTTCTTGTACGAAACCACCCCTGTCGCCATCTGGTCGAACATCGAAACCGGTCTGGGTATCTTCGCCGGCAGCATGGCCACCCTCCGACCCCTGTTGCGCAAGTTCCGGCCATCGACCTACCAAAACACCTGGCCCAGCTCCTCGCGCGGCAAGCGCAGCAAGTCGATGCCGCTGCAGTCGAGCCAGCGGCAGGATTCCGACCGCATCCCCTTGGAAGATCGTTTGTACGGCACCACCTTTTTCACCGTCGAAGCGGGTAATGATCGGTATTCTTCCACAGGGTTGGACCAGGTTCCGATATTACCGAAGCAGACATACATGCCACAGATTAGCGTGAAGCGGGAGGTTCATGTGACGACTGTTTAGGACTGGACGGGATGGTGAAGGTCTGATGAGACGAAGTCTGAGGTCGGAGGACCGTGAATACGCCGCATAGTAGGGCTGCAATCTAGTCCTGCTCGGTCAGCCATAGGACAGTCCACGATGTCTGAGATCTAGAGGTTTCATTTCTCAGATTGGTCGTGGACAAATCGCCAACACGCATCAAGCGACTGGTTGGGGCCACGCCGTGTCTATCAGACACTGCAGCAGCAAGACCGCTCAATTGGGATAGAAGGAGCATCAAGCCCTGGGCATGAGCATGAGGACAGCACGGAAGTTGTTGAGGACTAGCAACTTCTACAGCCATCTCACTCAGCGCATCAGCCATCAATCCCACGGTCGGCGATAGCCGACTGGGGGTGAACAATCCATCACAATTATACCCCGATCGACCACACCGCACACGGTCGCATCGATGTCATGACCCTATAGAATATAATGTTTACTTTGTCTATCCCTATCTCGGTAGCTTCACGCTTCCTCAACTCAATCTCCGAAAAGAAGCTGCGACCAGATATCTTCTGTATCCCAACGGCGTATAGATCAGATAAGATGCGATCGGCATGGACCTACTGAACGAAGTGGACACCTTCCCTGGGATCGAAGCTAGAGTTGGAAGCATCAAAAGCGATCAGCGCGCTATCGGGTTGTGGGCGATCGGCAGATGAAGTTGCCGAATGGGGAATGCGACAATAAAATTTCAACATTCTTCTGCTCCATCTGATCCATCGGATGCGACCGTGCCTGAGGAGTGCGTGCAAGAGGAATGCGGTCTCTCAATTGGTTTGACTCAGTCGGCCTAGTTTTTGTTAGTGACACTAACCTACTGACTATTCTTAAGGAGAATCGACCACCATACATGTCCAGACATATACAGAGAACGGTGTGGTTGGTTGATCTTGATCGAACAACACACTGTCATAGATAAAGTAACTCTTTTTCTGGCCAATAGACCTTAGATATCAGAACTCGGCAAACTAAGTGTCAACGTGCCAGCATAAAGCTTTAACGAGGGCCTGTCTACAGCTGACGCCCGCTGGTCAGAGGCGTTGTCGGCCCAGTGTACCACTGCACCAAGGCCCGTACTTGCATCTTCTTAAGCCCTGTTCTAAGCGTCTTGTCTAAAAGATCATTGAGCGGGTACTCTTTGAGCGCTCCTTAATATCTCACTAGAGTCATCTTAACCACTCTTCATATGACTGTCAGAGCACTTTTTCAGTCAAGATCACGTGACATTCTCCAGATACTCAGCCTCCCACACAGCAGGTAACAAGAAACGCAACCATCGGCTTTCACATGTATCTCACTGCATGTAGCACATTCAACGCCTTGCTAAACACCCTTCAAGACACTTTCTTAGAGTCGATGAACCCCTAATATATTGAGCCAGACCTACAACCTGAATATGCAGCGGGGCCTTCCCTAATACCGAGCAGAAAAGGTAAAGTCACGTGGCAGTATTAAGGAGACAGCCAAGTCACTAAATATAGAGCAGGAAGCAGCCAATCAACGGACATCACACTCCGACGGCCTGAGGCCCTGGTAAAGTCACGGGTTCCATCTGGCGGCTCGCAGGCGATTCTCACCAAACAGATCAAACAAAAACATATACCAGCGGATCACCAGTTCTCGCCCGTGCATAAAACTCACCCACTCCAATACACATAAACCACAACACAAACTCATCCGCATAACCCGGACCTCGGAGAACCCTTCCCCTTCCCCTTTTCTGTTTCTCCCTCCGTTCCCCAAGCCCCCCCCCCCCCATTCCCATCAACAAGCAAGAAAAGGCAAGCTAGATCGACCCATGCCCCGCCGTCTCAAACGGCAACCCCCAACACACGACCCCGACCACCACCCACAGCGCCGCCGAGGCATAGATGGGCGCGGTGGTGAAGCCCGTCTGCGACGCGACGAGGCTGGCGCACAGCCCGCCGAACCGCAGCAGGCTGGCCGCCGTGCCGGTGCCGGTGCCGCGGTGCGGCGCGGGGAAGGATTCCGGGGTGAAGGCGTACATGATTGCATACTCTGCAGAACCCGATCATTAGTTTGAGTGTTACACGTGGGTGCTTGGGTTCAGCTGGGCTCAGCTGGGTTAAGTTGGGCTAGAAAGAAGAAGCAGGCCTACCGAAATTCCCCAGCATGCCCGTGACGCACGCGAACGCCAACGAGGAAGTGGGGTTGCTGACGCCCACGTAGGCGAACAGGAACACCCCCGTGATGATGGACGAGAGGCCCATCATCCATCGGCGCCCGAAGATCGTGGTGACCAGGTATGCCGCGGACAGGGGGCCGACGACGCCGACGGCGGATTCGATGCAGTAGTTGCGGTAGGTGGTTGTTAGGCTTGCCGATGAGGTGAATTTCGTGGCTAGGTAGGAGGGGAGGAAGTTGAAGTAGAGGGGGTAGGCGATTCCTGCTCTGGTTAATATCGTTGGGGGAAGGGGGTGGGACGGATGGTAAGGGCAGACGAACCGATGGTCAACCATATCCCCCAGATGATCACGGTGTGTCGGGTTAATGGTCTGGTGGCGAAGAGCGCGCGATAGTGCTCGCCCTTGAAGTCTTTCATGTTCTCGCGGAGGATCTCGGTCGTCGAGAGGGCGGACGACGTCGTGGACGGGATGCCCAGTCGGGCGTCGATGTCCTGCAGCATGCTCAGGGTCAATGGGGCCGGCTTGCCGTTCGCCTTCGCGACGTGGTTGACGGCGTCCACGGCGGCTTGGTCGCGGCCCTTGGAGAGGAGGTATCGGGGTGTTTCGGGCAGTTTAAACACGAAGGTGCGGATGAGGGTGAAGGCGAGCGAGAGACTGCCCAGGGTTATGAGGGTGTACCTCCTGCATTGATACGGCATTAGCATTATCTCCCCCTCCCTCAGCTCTCTCCCTATCTGGGGCAGGAACTCACCACCCCATATTATCCCCCCGACGACACGTCTCCGGCGTCGAATCCGCCGCGCAGCTGAAATTCGCCAGAAACACCCACGCCACCAGCGAGACAATCAGCTGGCCCAGATTCCACCACGCAGACAGCGCAGTCAGCAGCCATTGATGACTGTCCTGTTAGCCCCCTATCCCCTCAGCATATCACCACCAAAAGAAGACTCACCTCCCCGGCACAAACTCCAGAAAGATCATACTATCCACCGGCACGTTCCCCCCGGCCGCCGTCCCGACCATCGCCCACATCGCGCTGAACCCCACGAAGTTCATCGTCCCCGCTGCCCCACAGAGAAAAATCCCGGCGATGAGCAACGTGCAGTTGAACGCGGGCTTGCGGCCGATGAGGTCGCTGGAGATGCCCCAGAAGGAGGCCCCCAGGATCAGGCCGATGTAGTAGGCGACGGAGCTGTAGCTGACCTGCACGATACCGGGGAATTCGAGCTCGATGGGTGGCTGCACGGCGCTGATGCCTTGGGATGCGAACTGGCTGGTCAGTTTGTCCAGGATGCTGGACCCAAAGGAGACGTACATTGTCCACGATCCATCCAAACCCCGTGACCACGAAGAGTTTCCATTGGAACCTGTGCACGTTAGTGATGCTGTCGGACGATGATCGAGGGGGCAACGTACCGCCCCATCCCTATCTCCTCCATGCATCGCCCGATGAGTTCTGACTTCAGGCGATACGCTTCCGTCGTGGACGTGCCGTAGAACTGCTGCACGTCGGGGTCGTCGAAGATCACGCCCTTCGTCTCGGCCTCGAGGCTGTGGTTGTCGTTGTCATGGCGAGCCTCTCGGATCGCGTCTGCAGCGTCTTTCTCCGGCTTGATGCTCTGGCTCTCGTTCTCGGGAGGGGTTCGTTGCACGTCATCCATGGTGTTGTCTTCGGACGTCTCGGGATAAACGGCCATATGATCACGTATCACGTCTTGGAGCGTCGACGACTGCCCTGTACTCTCTCAAATACTATACGAGCTGAGTTAGGGCTGGCGGTGCATGGACCACCTCCGCATTACGCAGCAACAACCACGGGAATCTTATCGGCATATCCAAGGGTGGGGGGTTGATATCATGCCTCCACTCCTGAAGGCAGTATAGTAGGTCCCCTTATTACCCAGTTCTCCTTCTGATTGGCAGGATGGGATGTAGGTGTTTGAGCTGTGGCGAACCACCCAAGAAGAAATCCGAATGGAAGAGTACTGTAAAGCGACAGGGGTTGAACTAGGTGATTTGATAAAGGCTCATATGTACAACTCAATCTAGACATGGACTACGCCCCGACAGGCGCCACCGGTGCCGCTACCTCCATCTTCGCCTTCATCTCCTGCTTGTACTTCTCCGCTCTACCGTAACTCTCTTTGTACGACGCCGTCACCATATCCTCGACCGTGATCGGGGGGTACTTGGGGTCCTCGCCCGGCTGCCGGCAGTTGGGCAGACACTCGCACAGGTAATCCGGGTTCCCGCTGAAGAAGAACGGGATGCTGTACCGCTCCTTGCCGGACTTGTTGATCACCCGGTGGATGTTGGATTTGTACCGGTCGTTGGCCATGCGCATGAACAGGTTGCCCAGGTTGACAACGTAGGCTCCGGGCACGGGTTCGACCTTCTCCCGTTAGTACCTCCTCACACCCCTGACAAGACACAAGCAAGAAACTTACATCCAGCCATTCGCCGGTCGGCGCGTCAAGAACTTGCAGCCCGTCCACCTCATCCTGCAGCAAGAGCGTAATACAACCAAAGTCGGTGTGTGCGCCAATCCCCCGGTTCAGCTTTTCGTCCGCGTCCTTCGGCTGGGCCGGGTAGTGCAGGTATCGCATCGTGGCGACCGCCCCGTCGGTCAAGGGGTCGAAGTAGTCTTCCGACACGTCGAGCGTCAGCGCCAACGCGCCCAGCACGTCCTTGGCCAGATCAAACACCGCGTGGTAGTATTCCATGGTCGTGCGTTTGAACTCCTCTTTGTCCGGGACGGTAGGCGGCCACTGGTTGGGGCCGCTGTTGAGCTTCTTCTGCACGAAATAGGGATGGTCCTCGGAAATCTCCTCGCCCACGTAGTATCCCTCCTTCAATTCGGGCCCGGTGCCGACTTCGAGCATCTGCGATCGGAGCAATTCGTAGCCACGGTTCCAGGTGTTGTGATCTACCCAAACTCTGCATTAGCGCGGGAAACAAATAAGCTGTGATCAGTGGGCGCACGTACTCTTGTCAACCAGAACCTTCTCCTCGAGGGGCAGATCAAAAAATCGTTTCGTGCAGGCCATGACGCGCTGCTGGAGCTCGCGCGGTACGCGGTGGCCCGTGATCTGGAAGAAGCCATTGTACAGACAGCATTCGCGGATCTGTTCGACGAGCTGTGCCTTTGCAGCGCTATCGCCGCCGTAGAACGCGGAGAAATCAAGGATTGGAGGGGCGCTGGGAGACATCTTGCTGACTGGGCTGGAAAACACGAGCTTGGATGGGTGAGGGGTCGATTGCCATTGTCCAGTGAATATATCCTTTATCGCGGGCTTTATCGCCCATTGAGGGGTCACTATCGTGGATGATGCTCGGAACGAATACCGAGGAGTTCGACGCGAGCAGTTCAGCAGCGGACAAGAGTGGGGGACGGTGAAGAATGGGGATTGACGAGGCCAGACCACCTTTTACGATAAGACTGATAACATGGATGCGGGGAAAGTCGAAATGGGAATAGTCGGTTATCAGAAAGGATATCGATAGGCAGGGTGGGTTACACCACAGATGCAAGGGAAATACCACTATTGGATATATCACCTCGCCGCCTCGTCCCAGCCCTCGCAAGGGGGCGTGGTGTAACTCCCATTGCCAGCATCATGTCATCCATCGACAAGGCCGAGAAGAGTGCGCCTCTACCATCAGAGTCCGAGATGAAGCCCGGCGAGAATGAGGTCTACATTGACCATGAAGCCGAGAGATCAGTTGGTATGTCGATCGCTGCGCTGCGAGACCAGCCCTAACCGGTCGCAGTGCGGAAGGTGGACCTGTTTGTGTTGCCCTTGCTATGTCTGGTGAGCATGTACTCCATCATACCTCAACTGCCAGACACTGAACTTGATAGATGTACTTCTTCGATTGCATGGATCGGGTAAGGCCAAACCCTATGTCAAACAAGGGGAGGTGTTAACCACAGCAGAGCAACCTGGCCAATGCCAAAACCGACGGACTCGACGAGGATATTCATCTCAAGGGGAATGATTATTCGCTGCTCGTGCTCCTCTTCTACATCCCCTTTGGACTGTTCGACTTGCCATGGAATCTCCTCCTCAAGCGCTACTCCGGTCGCATCACGCTATCTTTCAGTAGGTTCAGTCACTGGCACGATCCGGACCCAAGCTAATACCAGAAGTGACCGTCGTATGGGGAATCCTAGCTCTGTGTCAATGTGCCGTGAAGAGCTTCGGCAGCATGATCGCCGTGCGGATGATCTTGGGGTAAGCGACCGGTCCAAACATGCAGGTCTAGCTGCTGATTGTTTCAGTGTCTTTGAAGCAGGCTTCTTCGCTGGTGCAACCTTCTACCTAACTCTGTTCTACACCCGCGACCAGATGGGCTTCCGTCTGGCCATCATCCAATGTTTTGCCGTACTTGCTTCGGCATTCAGCGGACTCATCTCGTTCGGGGTGTTTCAGATCAACGACCCCGCCGTCAAAGGGTGGCAGTGGCTGTTCATCATTGAAGGCAGCATGACTTTCTTGACGGGTATTGTCTCGTTCTTCTTGCTGCCTGACGGACCTCAAAAAGCCTGGTTCTTGTCGGAGCGAGAACGAGCGGCTGCAACTGCCCGAATCCTGCGCGACACCTCGGCTGAGGTTGAGACGGGCTTGAACCTCAAGACTGCGTTCCAGATGTTCTCGGACTGGAAATTCCTGGTCTGGTGTGTGATCTCCTTCACGTACCCGGTAGCCTATGCGACAGCCATGAACTTCTTTCCTTTGGTAAGCCACAACCTCACGAACCCTAGAAATGATACTGACTGTCCAGATCGTCGGTCGCCTCGGCTATTCGACAGTCAAAACCAACCTCTGGACAGTCGCCCCAAATCTAGTAGGCGCCGTCGTGCTTCTCTGCGTCGCATGGTCATCCGACTACTTTCGCGAGCGAGGATTTCACACGGTTTTCTCATTGGTCCTGTCGCTGATTGGGATGATCATTCTGGCGACCATCGACGTGCTAGACAACAAAGGTGTGGCGTACTTTGCCTGCTTCCTTATGGCCGCCGGGGCCTACATTCCCTCGTGTCTGGTCCATGCCTGGCACAACAACAATAACGTGCACGAAAGCTCCCGCGCAGCCAATACAGGCTTCTTGGTTGGGTTGGGAAATCTGGCTGGAGTGCTGAGCGCAGCAACTTTCCGCACAGAATATGCACCTAAGTAAGTTCTCTTGCATCTTCAGCAGTACCGAGCTAATCATTATAGATATATCCCCACTCTCGTAGCGACATGTTGCTGTAACGGGGTGGCCATCGTGGTGATAACTGTCTTAAGCGTGTATTTTAGACTTGAGAATCGGCGACGAGACCGAAGGCAAGGCGTGCGACGGCGAGCAGAGGCCGTGGAGACTCGGCATTTGGCCGAAGGGGAGCGGAGTCCAGAATGGCGCTATTTTCTATAGTCTGACAGTAGATAAAGTAGCCTTGGTAGTCAAACTCGGTTATCGAACTTGATATCAAACCCTGTCTCTACGTATCTATGCTGATAAGGAGGGAGGATCCGCTGGCTGTCATTCGCGTAGCGCCACCCCCTCTCTTCCCCGCTTATCAATGCGCCATCGTGCATGCATGCACCCATGCATACGACCTCGCTAGGTATTTAATCTTCTCAGAGTTGGGGGGCGGGCGGCGATCTCGTCACGTCTCCTTTGTGTCCGTTTTTCTTCCGGCTGATAATGGCCCCTCATGAAGTCCCACGTCTGCCACTGGCCCGACTGCGGCAAAAGTTTCACGCGTGCTGAACATCTGCGACGCCATGCTTTGAACCACGAGCAAGCCCGTCAGGGCTACGTCTGCGAGCGATGCTCGGTGCATTTCCACCGCCCGGATCTTCTCAGTCGCCATCTCCTACGCCATGCCAAGCGAGATGAAGAAGCTGGAGGACCGGGGCTGGGAGTGCTAGAGACGCGCAAGAGGACGCGCCGGGCTGATAATGGTAATATCGTTGTCCGACCGCCGAAGCGACAGTCTCGGGGCAGCGCTCCTAGAAACAATATGCCCGAGTGCTCTGCTTCGGAGTCAGTCGCTTCGATGGAGCTGTCATCGGCCTCCTCGTGTGCATTGTCTGTTACCAGCTCTCACGAGTCGGATCCAATCCCCGGGGCGCCTGTATCACCGCCTCGCTCGACGAGTGATCCGACGACGCTGTCCTTGGATGATACAGATCCGCTACTAGCGCCCATGCTTCCCAATGGACCCTTCGAGCCGTACGTCGAGCCTATACCGGGACAATTCGATGCAGCCGATGGATCCTGGAGCTTCGATCAAGGGTCGATCGAGGATTTCTTCAACCTCGATACAGGTATGAACTCCTCTCCCGCCGTGCAAGTCAATGCTAAGATCAAACAGCGACCGATTTCAACATGCCGTTTGCCGCGACGAACAACTACAACTGGCTGTTTGATGTGGCTTCTCTGGACGACGCTTTCCCTCCCCTCGATATACCGTTAGAACCAGACTTGCTGGCCTGGACCGTTCCAGACCCCGATCCATCGGCCGTTCTGCTGCAGGCAGCCTCGTTTGTCGAGCGCACCCCGGATACCTCCCTTGACTGGCTGTGTGGACTGGACACAACCACAGACAACCCTTCAGCACCTCAGCTCCCATGTCTCTCAGATGAGGCCCGTGGAGGTCTGCTCGACTTGGTGGCTCGCAACCCGCCGTTGGGATTGGATGGCAAGCCCACGCCCCTCGACTCAGCCCTGCTCTCTCTGTCAGCGCTCCAGCAGTACTGCGATTTCTTCTTCACGCGGTTTAATGCGACCTATCCACTGATACACGCGCCCACCTTCGATCCCAACACAGTTGACCCCATTCTCCTGGGCGCGATCCTCTCCATGGGCGCCACCTACAGCAGCCGCGAGGCTCACCAGCTGGCCGTGGGTATCCATGATTTCTTGCGACCGCAGCTCTTCTGCCATCTCGATTTCTCACCCCAGCCGCCCTTATGGATTCTGCAAGCGATGTTGTTGATCGACTGTTTCGGCAAAATGCGGGCAGGCCCCAAGCAACGCGAACGAGCGCAGCTCTTCCACTGCGTGCTGATTAAGCTCATTCGGCGCAGCACCTGCTGCACGATCCGCTCGACCGCGTCCCCCGCGTTATCCGACGAGGACCTCGCGAGCAGCTGGCAGCAAGCCATGGAGGCGGAGCAGCGGAAGCGACTAGCCATGCACTGCTTCATGTGGGACGTGCAGCATGCGGTCCTCTTCTCGCAATCACTTTGCATGTCCGCTTTCGAGATCCGCGCCGCTTTACCCTGCGCGTCGGCGCTCTGGAACGCTCCGACCGCAGAAGCCTGGGCTAGAAGCTTTGCCTCGAGCCCCGACTCCGAGCCCTTGTTTCTGACTGTCTTGAAAGGCTATATCACGCCCGCCGCGGTTCCGCGACCGCGACAATTGAATCCGCTCGCGCGACTGGTGGTTCTGCACGGCCTGATGTCCGTGTCGGCGGATCTTAAACGTCGGGATCAAACGACCCTCCGCGGCGAGGATCCGGATCGCGTGGGAAGCTGGACCCGTCGCATGGGCCGTTCGTACGAGCTATGGAAGGCAGATTTTGATGCGGACGGGCTGGCGATGAAGCTGGGCGAGAGTCAACTCGGGTCGTCGGACAGCGCGGGCGTCTTTCATAGCGCGGCGCTGGTGCTGTATCGCGCAGCGCAACTGGCTCTTCAAGCGGAAGTTCTGGATCTCCAGATCGGAGCGGGCGCGACCAGTATTCTTGGTCGGACGGTCACGCAGACTGATCGCGACCGGTCGGCTCGGGCGTTGAGCCACTGGGTGCGCTCGGAGTCTGCGATGCAAGCGGCGAAACAGGCAGCGTGGATGGTTCGGGAGGCTGTTTCCAGCCGTCAGGGCAACTGGGAGGCTATGGACGCGTTCCACTTCCCGTGGTGTTTGTACCTAGGAACATTGGCCTGTTGGGCTGTGCATGGAGGAGGAGTGCACGAGTTTGGAGGGCAGCGGGTGAGTCTCGATCTGGCAAGTCTGCTTGTGTCTCTGACCGGAGAGCGAGTCAATGAGGGGCCCCGATATCAGTATGATATGCGTGGGTTGATTCGGTCAGTGGCACAGCAATTGGCCACAGTTCGCTGGACGGTGGTGCATGAGGCGATGAAGGTGCTGACAGGGTTGGTGGAGGCATAGCTATCAATTGCCTATCAATTGAACTCATCAATGAAGCTACCCATGT